AAATGTGTTTTATGCCGCAAAAAGTGTACCATAACTGTTAAATGACTTTGCTGCCATCTACAGGATATTCTATGGTATTTAACTGTAATGGCGGCTATTAAGGAGCTATTTCCATTCTATTAGTCCAGAGATTAACATAGATGATTTGCTGAAATTCATTGCCTTCTCCAGGTGCTCTTACTTTATCCAGGTTGATCAGTTTGGGGTAGTCACTATGTGAGAGTCTCAGTGATGCTGTTTAGCATACATAGACAAACAGAGCGTTTAAACAAATCCTCACAGCTTAGAGTGTGTAAAATGAAATGTCATGGTCATGCAAGATGATTGAATTTTGAAATGTACAGGGCCACTATACTGAGGTGCGCCTGAACATCTATCAGCAGTAAACGGTGGCATTTCAAAACTGTGAAGTGACATGACTCCAGTCCTCATGGCCAGCTATTTTCTATGATCTGTTTTATGTTCTCCGGTTCTTTTCGACCATCTGCATCTGCAGCTAGAGCTCTACCCCTGAGTGATTGCTACTATTAAAAGCTGGCTCCTTTTCAAAATGAGAGAAGAGCTTCTCTCTCCGGTTCTCTATCCTTACTATCATCTTCCACCTTTTTTCTAACATCCTTCTCTTATCCAACCTATATATATATATACATTCTGTGTATATATAGGTAGGTATTGTTATTTTTCATTTTGTTTCACTTTTATTAGAAAGTGAAAAATTGCTTTTTCTTAAATCATCACCATTACACTAATTAATTCAATAATTTGAACAGATCTAGATGCAACATACCTTTGACATCAGTTTCACATGAGATGTTTGATCCCGTTAACTCAGTGTGAAATATGCTAGGCTTAGTGGTTTAGAAAACCGCACAATCACTTGGGCTCACTACCTATGCCCATACAAGGTCAAGGAATGTCACTGGTATAAAACAGTGTTATGTAATGCCCTGTCTCTGATTAGAAACAGCCATTATTCCGTTTATGTCTTCGCATAACTGTATGCTCCAACTGAAAAGTTTTTTCGAATGCGCCTCGTGTTGAGAGAGAACACTCAAGCCTTTTCTAAAAACTCATTTGGACTTCGGTCTCAAATGTCATCTGAAACACCCTGTTCATTAGCAGAATGGGCTGGTACAGTACAGATAATGTTTCTGTAATGGGAAATACAGCATAAGAGTGATGGGAGTGAATAAAAGCCTACAATGCTATCTGTTCTGTTGCTCTCTCAAATTAATTTTACAGTAATGATTAAGGATATATGAAACCATCTGCAGAGGAACCATTAAAGCCTCCATGTACACATGTCCATTTGAACACAATGATATCACATTCCAGCAGAGTAAGAAGCTGCGAAATTGAGTTCAGCCTGAAAAATTATGATAATGTATCATAATTCGACCAGAACCAGTACAGGCGGAGCCCACTAACTGAGCTGTATGTGTTCAGCCTCTTCAACCACTCTCTCATATTTGCATAAAGCACTCAGTCATCTCAGTCTGAATCAGCGAGAATGAGCATCAATAAAAAAAGGACATTCTATTACCATCACATCTTCTGAGCTGTATTACACAGAAATAATATTCAGAGAAAAAAAAAAAACAGAACAACAGAATTCCCTGCCTCTGTCTGCTTTATGTCATCATTTTGGCTTTGGGGGATGTCTCTCTCTCTGCTACTGCTGCTGCTATCAGCATAAGCTGATGTATGCCTCCTCTGAACTTGGTTGTGTGATCTTTAAGAAGGAGGATTACATGAGCACGTCATCATTTGCCCATCTGTTACAGGAGACATGGCCTTTTTTTCTCAAGTGGATACAACTACTGCTTTTGCTCACTCCACCCCTTTCCCCCCCCACAGGAAAAACCTCTTTTGACATAGGTTGCACAATGGCACTTAATGTCTGAGACTGCTACAAGGCTAACTAAAAGACATATTTTCAGATCTTGGTAGACCCAAGACAGTGTGACAGGGATATAGATACCAGAGCGTTTTTGTGTTTGTGTGGATTTATGAAATGATCAATTACTCCACGTCAAACAAATATAATAATGAATTACAGATATTGTTGACATATTTTATTTATCATTTAACATATTTTGAAAAGTTCTAAAAAGAAAATGAAAAGTGGGTGCATTTACATTGATAAGTTAGGATAGGATACATTGCAACTTGATTCTGTTAGTCAAAAGATGCTTCCAAATTACTTCAAATGAGTTTGTTTTTTTAAAGAGAGTAGGATGTCCTTACATCAGAGATTCTGAATCAATTTACCTTTAATTGAAATAATACTTTTGTATTTATTTGAGTAGTTGCTGTGGTATATTTACTGAGAGTATTGTACCTCAATAGATCTTGTTTAAGACAAAAAGGTAAGCTGTTTTGTAATATACAGTAGCAGTCACATTCATTTGAAGGTAAATGGTGGGCTCCCATCTGTGTGGCAGCCATTGGTTTGCTTATTATTGTTTGCTGGTATGGTTTGATTGTGTACTTTCCCAGGCTTATTCAGATTACTTTGACAAATTTCCCATAGAGGAATATGGGGCTAATGTCCTCCATGTTGTTGTGTCTATGAAAGGGCATTTGTCATTTTAAGGTTTTGGCATTCGTCCTTTTTTTGTATGTGTGGTGTTGTGGTTAGTCCTTGTGTCACTGCAGAAGGTTTCCCGGTTCGATTCCTTGGGGGACCAGGACCTTTAGAGGTTGCAAGTTCATCCCTGTAAATGTGTGGTCTCTCTGCAGGTACTCCAGCTTCTTCCCACCTTCCACAAACGTGCATGTTAAGTTAGTTGAACTCTCCAAATTGAGGGTGTGGGGTTGTTTGTGTCTGTGTGATGGACTGGCAAGCTGACCCGGGCGTTCCCCGCCTCTCACCCATTGTCAAGTGGATTAGGCTCCAGCCAGCCCGGGATTGTGACGAATGACTTGCAATTGTTATTTTAACTGTTAATAACAGAAGCTGTGTCAGTGTATGAAACATTAAGAAATGGAAAATAAAGTTATCCTGAGTGAAGTAACCAAACTCTGTTTCTCAAGTTCTGATTTAAAAAACGTTGAATGGATTTATATAGCTTCTGGATTTGTGCAAAGCAACTGGACATTCAGTTGCATTGATGACAAAGTGAGCAGAAATATAAAAAAATGTCACTGCAGAATAGGAATTTTGTGAAAGTAAACACATTCTAAACATACGTGCAGTTTGGTTGCATGATGTTAAATTAATGTAAAGCTGAAAGTAATGTACAGTAAGGAGGTACAACAGAGACACAGCAAAGAGTTGAAAAAAAAAGTAATTTTTGTGTGAGAGCTTTTAATATTCTGCCAGGAAGAGTACAAAGCTGAGTGCCAATTGCCCTGTTATGGTCAGGGCTGATTGTGCATGATTTTGAGGACATCCCTCTGAGTCCTTTTAGGACATTTGCCTGAGTAATAAGTAATACAATTTCCCCTTACAAAGATAACAGGAGCTGACAAAGACAAGTCAGGGTGAGCAGGTAAGCAACAAAGAGAGTGTAAGAAGCAAATCTGAATATTTATATGCAATTTTCAGAGACTGACTGGAACTGCGCCGTGAAAACTTAATTGTAAGGTTAATAGGAGTTTCAAACTGCTCAGCAGCTGAACAATGAATCCAATATTCATCTTACAATGACAAAGACAACAAAAAAAATCAGCTGGATGAGATCACATGGGGTTACACTGAAGAAGAAATACAATTCAAGTGGTAAAATTACTTCCAATTTTCTTTTAGAATGAAAAAATATCCTTTTTTTCAGCTTAATTAGAACAGATTAATTGTTTTGAGAATATTTAAGAATTCAGCAAATCAGATGCAAAAGCAAATCACACAGCTGACCTTTGTATGATTATGGTTTGTTCCATAAAAGGAGGCAGTATATCTGACTTTTTTGTCTTTTACTTCTCTTTTACTTCTAGTTTAACAAATAAACTTATTGTTATGCCCATTAAGTTAGTGAAAAGAAAACATTGTCTGCAAACAGGAAATCATTACTTGGCTGTAGTTCCAAAAAGTGCTTATCAAGGGCTAGAATTCCTGTTAGATTCCTTTGTTCATGTCTGTTTTTTTTAGAAAAGTTGGAAAGCTTTTCCCAGCTGAGACGCAAAGACTAGAGCTGTGAGTGTCAACACATCAATAAAATGCCATTTTGGAGTAAAGGAACATTTTCAGTTCCAGCCTCAAGTTACAGCTCTGTGCCTGACAACTATGGGACGTCTGCTGTCATCTGAGTTCAAACCGTAGTTTTCTCACTTATTTTACGTCACATGCTGAGGTTTTGTTAAGATATTACGATGAAATAACACAAAATGGGTCTTTTGATTTTGCCGTAAAAAGTGTCAGGATTTTATAAATGTTTAAGCTGACAGTCATGGTATACTTTCAAGATATACAGAAATTGGTCTAAGATGTTTGCCCATCAAACAATCTCAAGAATGTTTATCTTCTTTGGTGTGGATACACATCTAACAACCCATTCCTCACTAAAAGGCTGTGGCAGCCATGGCCACATCTGCTTTCCATAACCTTTTTTTTCATCTTTGGAACAAAAACCATGTATGTTTTCAGTTTTCAGAGAGTTTTATGGGAGTACTTTCACAACTTTTCACCTTCCCACTTATTGCAGTAAACTAGTTATAATTTTCATATAATCTTTATTGCTGAAGTATAAATCATTTTCAATTAAAAGCATCTGGCCATCTTTATTTTGATTAAAACATTTCATTTTACCCACTTATTTTCCCAATGGAACCCACTTAAATTTCCGCATTACTTATAACTTTCCCATAACATCACTTCCCCATACATAAAGAAAATGCATGCCTTTTCCCCTCTTTGTGCACTTTGACAATTACCAATGTACATTCCTCTAACACATAATTTACAGTCTTCCTCAAGCCTTTCCCCCTTCTGACAATGTCTTCCTGGGAGGAGTGAGCTAAGCAAAAGGAAATGTGACCAGAAGGGGAGAGATGACTATCTCAGCTACTGTCGAAGAGAACTTGGCAGAAAGAAGGAAGAGGAGAGGAGTCAGAGCTAATAATGTTAGCGAGCTGTTACATTGGGCTTTTTTTCACAATTTCCATCAGCTGGGACTAACTGTTCATCCCTTCTTGTGTGATTATTGTTCCTGTCATCAATAGCAAAATAATACAGATGGAGAAATAAACACTCTTCAACCAAGAGTCAAGCTGCTCTTTGAAAAACTTCAGTAAGGGTAAGTTAAACTCAATTACTCAAAAGAGTATAACAAAGAAAAAATATTTTATGATTTTTTTCTGCATGAATAAATACCTAAGTAAGATAGAGGACAGGGATCCTTGGTTGTGACAATAGCTTTCTCCCTTTTTGCATGAAAATTGCATTGCATGCTATATATTAAAAGAAATGTGAATTACTTATTTGCTAGTTTGACACCTTGCCTGGGAAAAGTTTTTCTTTTGTTTTCCTTACCAATCTAATTTCATCCTTGACGCTTGGCAGAACATAAAATGTAAGAAACTCTCACATTTTACTGGATAGAGTCAGAAAAAGACCCCTAAAAGTGCTACACTGTTTACACTGTAAACAGTTTACATTGTTTACAAGCTGACAGTTTTCACCGATTTACAGGCCCCCAGTCTCTCAAAATTCTGCAAGCACACCAGTACATAAACCAGACCACCCTCTGCTCACTCTGGTGATTTAGTTTGTTTTCAGATATTTCAGGGCAAAAAAATCATAGCCTACCTTTTAATGAAATTTTGAATTTATCCGCGCAGTCCTCACCATCACTAAGTGACGGTGACAGAAAATGAAGCCATTCCCAAAAAATTCAATGAGTAAAACAGAACTAATCGATTTCTAAAAGTAAAGGAAAGATAGAGATACGGTTACTATGAAGCCAATGTAACATGACGTCTGCTGGTGACCGGGGATCAGTTTAGATTTTTCAAATGGGAAGAAGTGCCATTCAGACCTGATGTATGTCATTGTTCATCATTCTGCTGGAGTGGAGCCTAAAACTGTGATCCGGCCCCCCAAACTTTGTGGGTAAAAACAGTGGGTAGGACTGCTGGCTGCACTGCTATGCTGACTGCATTCCAGTTGAGGAGGGTGTTCTTAATTTTAGAAAAGTTGATGGGAGTGGACAGCCTATGATCCTGTTGACTGCATTCAGTCTTCCTATTTTGATCACAGCAGCTTCCGTACTCTACAAACATCAAGGCAGCCATGGTGCTTTTGTGGAAAGTTGTCATAGTGTCCGTCAACACCACCCTTTCCTGCCCAGATATGCCAGCTCTCTGTCTATATTTTTATGCTCCGTTTCTCTCTCCAATTCTGTCCCCTGCTACTACTGTCTACGTGTCAAGTCTCATGTTTGTGTGTTTGAAACTGTCAAAGCTACCACCTTTATTTGGTCATGTTTGCAAAAAAGCTCTAACATAGTTGAATTCTTAGTCTTAAATTTTCATAGTTTGTACTTTGCGAGGTTAAGTAACAATTGATACGCAAATTTTGTGTCAACTTACCTACAAATTACAGATGCATAGAAAAAGGGGTTGAAAATTCAACAGCCTTAGAAGTGTGCTCCAAAATTTCATCAACTTGTGATTCTCACTTAACATTTATTCGACAGAAATCTTTGGGAAATTTGGAAATAGCTACCTTTTTCAAAGCAGAATGGCCCTTTTAATATATTCACTGTGTTGATAAGTCTGCTCTCCATTCTTTTGTCTGAAACAAATAGACTAATTTCCTGGTCTTTAAATGGTTGAAAATTTGTGTTTTGAATTGATGGATGATTGTAATCCATTTCCAGTTAACACACAGTGTAACAAAGGTTAGTAGACTATTTTTCTCAGGCATGTATGGAAATGTCTTTTGCATCACATGCATTTATGATGTTTTTTTCTAACTGCTGTGTTTTCTACAAGCCATATGTAGGACAAATATCCTTCAAATCTAACTTTTCTATGTCTTCGTTTTTTTTTAGGCTGAATGAGAACCATGAACAACAACAGTCACACACCACTCTGCTACTCCAACACCAGCACACCATTCAAATATGCCCCAGACTTGGGCAATGTCCTCTACTCAGCCACTTTCACCACTTTGGGCCTCGCCTCAAATCTCATTGCGTTCATAGTGCTCGTCAAATCCTTCCAGCGAACTCAAAGCCGCTCGCGCTCTTTCTTCCTCATCTTCCTGGGAGGCCTTGTAACCACCGACTTAATGGGTCTTCTGGTCACAGGCACCGTTGTGATCTCCTTCTACATCACACGGGTGGACTGGCGTCAGTCCGACCCCACCTGCCACTTCTGCAACTTCATGGGCATGTCAATGGTCTTCTATGGATTGTGCCCTTTAATGCTTGGCGCCACCATGGCCGTGGAGCGCTTCATTGGCATCAACCGTCCATTTGCGCGCTCCACCAGCATGTCCAAAGGACGGACAGTCTCCATGGTGCTGATGGTGTGGTTTGTTGCTGGCTGCATATCACTGCTGCCCCTGGCAGGCTTTGGAAGCTACCACATTCAGACTCCTGGCTCCTGGTGTTTTCTCAACATCAGCTCAGAGGGGACCGACTGGGCCTTCTCTGTGCTCTTCTCCCTTGTCGGTCTGTTTTGTATCACCGTGTCATTCCTGCTGAACACGGTGAGCGTGGTGACCCTGATTAAGGTGTGCTGCGGACCGGACAGGGCCCAGCGGCGCAGAGATCACGAGGTGGAAATGATGGTTCAGCTGATCCTGATCATGGCCATTGCTACTATATGCTGGTGCCCCCTATTGGTGAGTTTGCTGTTTTTGTTCTATTTTGTTTGTGAGTCAATGCATAATTCCTTCATTTCACCTGTTTGAAAAAAATTCTAAAGTTTTTTCTGCCATCACCAAGAGTTCAGATGCAATATCTTTGCCATTGCCTGCAGCTCGTGGTGCTTAATTTGGCGAATAGCATCCTTTCGAGATGTAATATGGTTTCTTCAGATGAATTTGCCCGCCAAACGAATTTCTATATATCTGAATTTCAGAAATCAGAAAAGCTGAGAATAAGATGTATTTATATTGTTGTGTAATAAGTCCCAAGTAAAATATTTTGTCATCATGATAGCAAAGCTCACTTCCATGTGTTCTATACACATTTCTAGCATTTGTTTGTATTGTGACGCCCTTTGGCTCCCAGTGAACTACTTGCTGAATGAAGAATGCTCCTTACACAAACAGAAGCTACCCACTTGACCATAACTATCCGGCCTGTTTTTTTATCAGCACTGTTCTCCAAATAATTGAACTGCTGAACCCTAGTGAAGTATCAAATGTTCCAAAGATCTTTGTCTGTGCTTTCCTGGGTATGCTTAATTTCGTCCCAGCAATTCAACTTCTAAACAAGCTCAGCTGGTCTAATGCCTTTTGATCTTACCCTGCATTCAACAGTCTCATAATTTCTGACTTGAAATGACACAGCTCATCTTGCGTGCATTAATTCAAAGAAATTCCCTCCTTAACAACTGTATTAATCATTATTAAAAATCATTCCACTGGTGAGATATAAAGCCAGGGGAACACATGAACACAAAAAGAAACGGTCGAATAAAACAGAAACAGAACATAGTCATCATTTCAGATTTAGCTTTGGGCTCTGCTTTTGAAATAATGTCTGAGTACTGTTGTTCTACACTGTTGAATATAAAACTAAAGTTGTTAAGAAGTCAACATCCTTTATGTTTTTCCCACTGCTTGTTTTTCTCTTTTAGCCTATTTTTTCTGAAGCTTCAAGTTTTTCAGCGCTTTCATTTAAGCACAATATCCCCATAATGGCATTTTCCTCTGTGCTTAATAGTCTGTGTTTAAGAATAGATTTGAAATCATTGTCTCTTCTTATTTTAATGAAAATAAGGCAACTCTAGTGAAAGATTGTGTTGATCTACCCTCTGTCAGAGAGGAGGAATAAAAAGGATACACATCACACATTATGTATACTATTATTCTGGTGTTCTGTCTAATCTTAGTTGTGTGATACCCTGAACAGATATATACGCTGAAGAGCGCAGTGACATCCTCTGCAAATTGTGAAATGATTTTGATCTACATTCGAATGGCCACCTTCAATCAGATATTTGACCCGTGGATTTACATTATGACTCAAGTGTCCAAACTGAGGCGAGTAAAAAGCTAAATCAAAATGCTGCTGCAAAAGCCCAGCTCACCATGGTGCTGCTCACCCCCATTTTAATTCACTTTTGGCAGTAGCTGGACACGCCACCATCAGCATGTCAAATTCATCTGCCAATGACATATCATTATCCATGAGCTTTTGGAATTAAAAAAAGAGCATGTTTGCCAGCACATTCTGTGTTCCATCTTAAGTTGCTGTTTGACACCTCATCAGATCTCATTCAGACCATTACAAATGTTTCACTAATATAGGTAAAGTCTCGACCATACACTTCCTTAAATGAACACCAATAGTTCCTCCAGAGGGGGGGTGTCACTTTTATGTTTGCAGTTTCATCAAGCTCATGATGAAACTTTTTTTTTTTTTATCTGACCAAATTCTTTTTTAAGTAAACGTACTGCATATCCTTTACCTTTTTCCCAAACCTCTGGCTTAATTTTTTTTTCTGCATCTTTATAACTTGAAGATGTGAAAAAAGAAAAGATGTTATCAAATTCAAATTGAAGTAAATAAATGTTGAAATGTTCCTTCTTCTTCACTCTGAGTTTACAAAAAATACCAATAATATAATTAATGAAGAGGAGGTCTCATTTTTCTCCATTTGCAAATGTCCTCCACAGAAATTGGTGTTGTCTTTTTTGGAACAGCCATGTTCCATATAATCCTATTTCACAGCATGGATGTGGGTATTATTACCTCTTAGAACATTTAATTATTATATTGTATGTAGTAAGATAAGTTGTTCTTTTTTTTGGTCTGAATAAGGGAATAGGGTAAGGAAGATGTAACCTGGCTCTCCTTTTGAAAATATTTTTTTTAAAAGACATGGATTTGCACTCTAAATTAAAATATTAATGTCATATTAGAATCTGTCTCCCAAACTGTCTTCCCATGCTTGCATACCCATCCTTGGATGTGAATCAGTGGAGAACCGATGTCCAACAGCTCATATAGTAGAAAGTATAAGCAAAGCAATGTCAACTTTTTAACTTGGCTTAGCATGTCTTGCCTCATCAGCAGCTTAATCAGGTTTATCATTTATGCATCACGCAAAATGTTGCAGCATGGAGCACTGGATTGAATTATGATATTGTGGCACTTTCCAAAGAGTGCAATATTAATGTATCGCACAATGGAATTTGCAAATAGTGATTGTGCATGTGCATTTGCAATATTATTACCCAAATGATTGGTTTGTTCGGTTGATATCATCTCTGCCTATTCTTTCAAGTATTTCAATTTTTTGCGTCTTTTCAATATATGTCCTTAACCAATCGGTTTAAATTGATTATTCTTTTGCCATCCTTATCATATTTTTTGCCTTTTTGACTTTACATACTTATGCATTACCTTTTTCCTACAAACAGGTGTTCATAGCTCAAACTGCCCTATCTGGAGGTCATGTAAACATCGTATACCTTCTCCGATGGATACGCTTCGCTACCTGGAACCAGATCCTAGACCCATGGGTTTACATCCTGTTTCGCAGGGCAGTTTTGAAGAGAGCTCACCCTCGTCTCGACTGGTCCCGCAGCTCCATAATAACCTTGTACCCATCGTTCAGAGACAGAGTTCGCAGAATGACACGCTCCTCGCTTGGAAGCAACCTGGGCTCAAACGGTGGAGAGGAGATGGAAAAATCAAATGTAGCGACATCCCCTGCCTCTCCATTATAAGATGGATTCAAAATCTAATTACAGCAAACTGACAATAAAATCCCTGTGTTTATTCTCTTTGGTGTGCTAGTCTTGTGCATTAAGATGATCTTTTTTTTTGCACTGATAATGTGAAAACTTTGCTTTATTTCATGCTCCTATCAGAAGAGACTGTGTTTGTTAATTGTAAGCTGAAACACTATTAACGTTGTCTCCATGCTCTGCTTCATCTTCTTTTACTATATGTAGTCCGTTGCTTCTTAAGTTTATGACTCTTATGCTAAACATAAAAATGCAATAACTGCTATAATAACATGGTTCAAACTTCTGTAACATGATACTCTTGCTTGTCACAGTGATATGGGAACATTTGAATATTTGTTGTTGCAAAATCCCAAAATACCTCTTATATTGTGTCTTGTTCAGATAAAAATGGTTGAGCGACTAAGTAATCCTAATAAGTTGGATGCACCACATACATACTCTACACTGGATAACGATACTTCAGGCACTGAAAATGGTTAAGTATCAACAACAAATAATAGTTTAATAAATGATTATGGTGTCATTAGTTTTTTGTAACTCTTCATTAGAATCACCGTACCTTTATTTTCTTGCTACTCTTGTTGTACAATTGTTAGGATACTGTAATTCTAGACTTGTCACCCAGGTTTGATAATGATAGTTAGGTCTGAGATTTTTGTACATTTTAAGTGAGTGTAGAGGAAAAATTCCAATCATCGTCAATATAACTGTTATGACTCATGTTCTCTCGCAGTGCTTACTTATTCTGATACAGAAGTAAATTGTTCAAATATGACTTGATATGACACATTTACCCTTGAAGTGCTTACTCTTCACTGTTCACAGGATATCTTATCTTAAAGGAAGATTAGGCCTTGCTGACTAGACTGTCGGGCTAAATAAAATAAATAGCTATGCAAATTTCTGTACAGGCAGAGTGGTTTGGTAAGTCACATGTAGTGGCGCTGGGTTTTTCTGTCACTTCATGAAGTTGGATTTCTCCTTTTAATGATTTGTTGCCCCCTCAGACGGACAAAGACTCTTATATATATAAAAAAAACTTCACAATAGTGAGAAACAATTTTTTACAGAACTAAGCTCAACACTGAATACAGACTCACTGTGATCCAACCTACTGATTGGTTGAACTTTGAAAAGCAAATTAAAGCATGTCATGCTTTAAAAAAAATATTATGTATGTTTGTATGTTTTGGAAAGAAGTTAAACTGATCTTTAAAAGAAATAAAAGGTTTTTCTAAAGGTCTCCCATCAATTTTATTGACAGATGCTCCAAGGTTACATACAGTCCAGATATAGATTTGCAATATGACTGTTACTGCATGGTATATTAATCAAACAAAAGACAAATAATAGTTTGTTGTAACTGCCGCCAAAGTTTTTAGATAAGGAGTTCAACATGTGATGGATATTCCACATACCAAGTATAAGTTTATCACACCAGTGATCAACACACCCAGGCTCTTGCCTTTGTCTGTTTCAGCGCACCTCGATCGAGGTCTCAAATCCCTTTTAGTCAGATCCCTCCCTTGAGACTTTAACAGACAGATTTGGTCTTTGTCAGCGGTGATAAAGGCAAAGCTTTTAATTTACATCTCAATCTTTGTTCCAACCTTCATTTTTGGTCACAAGATTTGGGCCATGACGAAAGTGTGAGATAGCGGATACAACTGACTGAGATTGGTTTACTTCCAGTTCAACCTTAAAGATAAGGTCAGTAGCTTAGGTGTCCAATGGGAACTTGAAGTAGAAGCCCCGTTCCTCCACGCTAGAGGAAGTAAGCTGAGGTGTTTTGGGTATCTGTTTAGATTGCCTCCCTGTGGAGGTTTTCTGGGAACGCCCTACAGGGAAAAGACACCAGGGTCGACCCATAACCTGATAGAGGGATTTTATTTCCCCTTTGGTCTTGGAATGCGTCAGAAGTCCCCAGGAGGATCTGGAGATTGTCAGTAGGGAGAGAGCTGTTTCGGTTTCACTCGTGAACTTCCTGCCTCCATGACCTGACCTTAAATAACCGTTACAGGATTGATGAATTGCGTGAGAGTAACCTCCGTAGGAAAAGGTCAGGATTCATCGTATAATTTGGATTTCCAATATCTACTTGATAGCTGCTGTTTGTTGCTATTACAGTGTCATGAATCCCAAGGGAGAAGAAAAACAGGAGGCTGATGACCCAGATGCAGGATGTCCTGAGGAAGGACTCAAGGACAGGGAGTTGTGATTAAGGATATTATTTGAATAATCAAAAACTACTGTCAAGGCAGGATCAAGAAAAAGTCAAAAGATCTCACAAACAAAGAGTGCTGAGAGATTTACTATACAGATGAAGTCAGAAGACGTCAATGAACCCCGTAAAGAGCACTGAAATAGAAAAACAATATATCTTGAAAGGGTGATTTCAAAGTTAGAGGCAGGTTAGGCAAAATTGACAAAAAGGAGAAAATGGAACACAACTCACAATGGAAAAAAACTACAAAATAACAGAGAATGCAAGGGAGCTAATGGCCAAGAACTAAACCAAAAAAGCCCCAAAACCACATAGGCAAGGACAAACTGTACATCACAATGCAAAGACAAAGTTCAAGAGCAACACTTAAGCAGTGAACCATGACACCGAAAATACTGGCTGTGACAACTTATGTCTTCTGTATATTTCACACACAGTTAAAAGGAATAGATTTTTTTACTCTCTCTGAAATGGAGATACAAAATACTATGGATTGTGATAGTGATTTTTAAGAGTAGGAATAGATCATTTTATTTTGTGATTCAGGAAAAATTGTTTAAAGGTTCCAAGGAAACAGTTTACAGGCACTCAAGCATGCATGCAGGAATGACTTTAATCTTTTCACTTCTGTCCATGCAAAGTGGGCTGGATTCCTGCTTGACTGGAATGTTTATCACGGAGTCCTTGATAATTTAGTGGGATATACGACCATTGGTATGTCTCACCATGAGCTTGATTAATTACTTGACATTAGTTTTTATAGATATCTCAATGTATTATTTTGTTCTTATTAAATATTTGGGTCTCTTTGTTTAATAGTTCCTTCAGATAGGATTTAAAAGTAAATCTAAATCCTCCCAAACAGATGATCACATGGACGTGCATGTGTGCTAAATACAGTTTAGCATGAAAAATACTTCAAATGCTCCTCTGGATGGAAAACAGATGCCTAATCTAATCTCTTTCTCCTTGAAGGGACTCACTAGTATGGTCTGAAAAGACCAGAAGCTGGCCAAATTCTCAGAGCACGTGTTTCTTATTATAAAGCCTGAAATGACAAACAGTAGACTGATGTTTGAATTTTACTGCACTGAAGGAAAAACGATAACATTTCCACAGAGTAACGTCATTTAAAATTGTTGCCTGATAGTACAAACATGGACTGCTTTTCCCAGCACACTTACATCAGAGAAAAAGAGTTTCCTGTTTCTTATCCGACTTCTCCTACTCTTAACAATAAAACTATCCTGCATGTTATATTTTGTGTGGGGTTTTTTTGTTTTTTTTTACAATTAGATGTTACAAAGAACTTGATTATTTCTCTATGTTGTTTTACTGTTTACATTCTGCCATTTTTAACATCTCCAATAGCTCCCCATACATCGAACAGAAACACATCAGGGAAGGCAAAATCGCCAAGAACCGAATCCAAAGCCTCGGCAAAGTCATCTGGATTTTTCTTGTCTTTTCCTGCTTCCACAATTGTAGTTGCTGTAAAACAAAATGCAAAAATGGTTAATAATTAATACTTTTCTCTTAAACCTTCATTTTATTAAACCAAGTGAGTTCACAATATGTGTGAATGTGTGCTAAAATGTCTTGTCGAATGTAGAGTTAAGTTATCTTTACCAATGCAAATATGTTTTTTACAGAATGTCTCAGACATTTCCATCTTACCTCTGGCTTAATTTTTTGTACCCCAATATTTAAACTAACACAGTATTTTCCAATCATGTTTGAATCCCTGCCAACAATTAGTAAAAGTGTTAATTCTGAAGTATATTTTGAGATCTGGGAGAGGGCAAAGTAAACTCAAAATATCATTACCATAAATCACAAGTGTTTTGTTCTTCATCTTTTGAAGCCCATTTAATTCTCTAATGATATTGTCTTTTTTTTTGGCTTTAAAAATGTTTTCGTTGAGCATCACTTAAGATTGGTTGAGTCTAACAGGAAGTCAAACTTAAATCATGGTCCATTTATTTTTTCTGTTGTTTTTTTTGTATTTTTTACCCTTTCTAATGGGCCTCTTATGTTGCTTGTTGCACAAATTAGGTAGCATGCCTTTTGTCCCCATGACAGTTGAGTTTCAGCTGGGAAGAGAATGTAATGTGGTCAAAAGCTTTCAGAAAAATTCCTGTAGCTAATCTCATTGAAGATTATGTCAGATGAAGGATAAAAAAATGTTAAGTGGAACATAAGAGCACTTGAAAGTACTGATATTCCATACACAGACATTACTTGTCCTGGAGGCACATGTCATTCCTTGAATACTTATTTGGTCATCTTATGTGGTGGAGATGACTACATGTGACCACATAATCATGACCACATGATTATGTGGTCATCTTACCTCATATAGCAATCAGTGAGTCAACAGGAGCAAAGACCCTACAATAAATGTCAGTGTTTGCGTTTGCCGGTCAGTATCTCTCTGAGGATAACCTCCAGAGGTCCAAATGTGAAAATGAAAGTTGAAGTCTTCATTTTGGACAACGTCTTACCGAGTTCCAGATCCCTAATGCCCATGTAGCTTTCCAAGAGGTCGTCCACTTTCCTGGTGGCCTGTTCTTCAAACTCATTTTGCTAAAAGGGAAGACAAGGACAGAGCTGTATCCTCCAGCCAAAAACTTTGGCACTTTTGGGTCATGTTTAATGTCACACTGTATCATGTGAATATACTGAAGTTCACAGCCATGTTAAAGACAGAGGTCATAAACCCTGGTTCATACCAAGTCTTGAGGTTCCATATGTAAAAACCACCTCAAAATCACAATTGCACATCACTTTTAAATTTAATGTATTACATAAACTAAGCCAAGAAACAGAATTAGCATTTCTAAAACCCAGTACACACTTGTTGCTTTCATAATCATGGAGAGGCTAAGATGCTGCTGATTAAATAAGTTGATTGAGTGATAAATTGATCAACTCACTTTACAGATGTCTTTAAGTGGGAACTGGAGTTAAGGGAATAAGAATAATCTCCAGCTAAACTGCCCAGTTTATTACAGGTGTGGAATATTCATTGTGAATGTGGTTCATTTCAAGTTCCGTCTCTACTGAGCTATGGGAATTTTTCACACGAGATAAGTAGACAAAAAAACCCCACATAAAATCATAACAACACATGTTGCAATTTCGAGCTTAGAGATGCATCTAATATAATACATATTTTGTATGCACGTGTGTACATGTTAGTATTTATGAGCTTCAGACCAGAAAGTTCAGATATTCATAGTTCAACAGAGCATGTGAAACTCACCACTTCCTGAACTGTGGCTGCACCCTTCGAGCGAAGTCGCAATGTTTCTTTGCCGTTCACCATCTTGCCCTCATTAGATTTTGGCGCTTTAGTCCTCATTCCAATCATGTCTAATAACACAATTACAGAGGTTGACAGTCATTCATCAATTTATTTTTTGTTTAGTTTGTGGTGACTTGTCTTTATTTGCTTGTTGGTCATCTTCTGAAGTTACACTCTTTTTGGTAATTTGATTGCTAAATACAAGTTGGAGAGACAGATAAGCAAAGTCAGAAAGGTCGATGTCACTGTTTAAGAAGGGTGGTCTAAGTTAGATAGTTTCTCAGCTGGATGTTTTTATCTGACTGCAAGAAAGTTCAATAACTCCTTTGGGGGAAATTAACTGGATAGTGGGAGGTCTCATGTCAACATCCACTGTGTCACAGGATACTTGTGAATGATTCAAAGAATAATTCTGCTAGATTCTAAAAGCAAGATATGTATTGACAGAAAGATAGAGGCAACATATTCTCATAATCATGTGGTCATTACACCATTTACTATCAGTAATTTCTGTAACTGCCAAACAGTGGAAAGTCATATGATATAAATCTCCATGACATGTGCAGCAAATGCACATGTTCCCACAGAATACAGCCAAAGAAAATGTATTTATGCTCGTTACAGCTTCTTCTCATTAGCTCACAATGTTAGCTGTTGCTAACAGTATTAAAACATGTTCTCAATGGTTTGTTGTATTCGAAAGAACTCCCTATGTACAGTCATTGCATTTAGTTGGAAGCAGCAATACACAGAATTGTGATGACCTGGTGCAGCTGGCCTTGAAGAACCAGATCAAAATGGTTCCAGTTTCAGTGTGCTAGTATTTCCATGTGTTGTTCTACAGAAGTGTACTAACAGATACTGATTGGTAGCAGCCATTAGACACTTTGGTTTACTGTCTGACAAACTACCAGCACCTATTAGAAAATGAGTCATCCTACAGTGCTTTCCATGTTCTGAATCTAATGCACTACACACATATCCTATTGTTGAGTTGCAAACAACTTATTGAAAAACAAATTCTTAAACATCTTATTTGTAAAAGGAATGATAAAGAGGTGAAAAACAAACTGATATATGAGCACAAGCAATGCAGACCAGCTGATGTCAATCAATATATATGGCACTAAAGAATATAAAAACGTCTTTGGGGACATTTGTGAGTGAGATATCTATGAGTTAATCCTATTTCAATCAATTATCCTGCATGAGGACATCTAACCTGAGATCCAACGACCTCTCTCCTGTAATTCCTCTTCCAGCTCTTTAATTTCTCCAGTGAATCTTTGATCTGCCTTACCAATGGGATGTGTGAATAAACACTTACTCTAGGAGGTGTCTAGAGGCACATAAGATCCCATTCAAACAGGTCAATATGTACAAATCTTTATGTAAAATGCAATCACATTTTATTCAATTAAATGAAGAAAATTAGGGTTGCAATGTGCTCTGGTGGTAATCACTGTCCCCTTCCATCAAAAACTCGCCACATGTGTATTTCTGTGGGAAGCTTTAATGTTCAGGTTCGCCAGTTGCTTCCCACTGCCAAATAACAAGCATAAATGAATCAGTTGCTCTAAGCCAACGTGGGTTTGCATGGTTGTTTGTCTCATTTGTCTCAGAGTTGGCCCTGTGATGGAGTGCATGGAAAAAACAATTGGTGAATTAAGTCTTCAGTCACAACCAGATGCAATTAATATGGTTACCTTGATGTTCAACCTGTGTGTATGAAATTCTGTTGATGTAAAAAGTCAAATCCTGAAGGTGGTGTGCCTCTTTCCACAAAGCCACATTGGACCACCATTTATCAAAACTCAGTGTCACCAAATACCACAAAAGGATTGGACAGCTCAGGCTGGATGATAGGTGGGGTGTTGTACCCTCTGTTAAAAATATGTCTTAAGGTAGTTTTTTACTCCAGTGAAGCTACAAGTGTGGGTATTAAGCATGGTGAGCCATGGTGCTCTCATTATATCCTTTCATCATGGCTTAGTTTACAGAAAGGAAGGGATGATATCATTTTTGGTCTAAATATTTGTGAAGGCTGATTAGTGTAATGATTCCAGTGTACTGCTTCAGTGCCACTCATGCACAAAGTGTAATCCTAACAACTATCGTTTAATGATGCCGAAGTCTATACATGGATTTTGGAGTGCCTCTCTAAAGCGCATGACCATAATTCTCACATAACATTTAACATCCACTCACCAAAGGCCTTCTTAGGCCCAACAAGGCGAAGAGTGAAAGGTATGCCTCTGGGTTGCTCTTTTAGCATCTTAGCCACCTCATAGTGTCGACATCCCACAATGCTCTGGTCATTAATAGCTTCAATGTGGTCACCAACACAAACTGACTTGAGCCTGTCAATGGTGCTGCCTTCCTTTATCCTCTGGAGAAAAATATGGCAAATGTTAGAAGTGTATGTGATACACAGTCTTCAGATATTCATGATAATTATGATCATTTGCAAACAATCAAGAAGAATAGAATATATACTGTATATATATTGGTCACCTTAATAAAAGCATATCCTGCTCCATTGTCTGTAATGGTGAGACCCAATGCATCCTCTGTCTTTGTCACCTCCACTTCTTTGGTCTCCCCTCTGACATGAGCAAAAATGAAGTCTTCGAGTCCAATCTGTCCCCCCAGTAACTTCTGCATGTCCACTTTATGCGAGTTTAGAGTGCAGAAAAGGATCTGAAGGAAAGATATATTGCACAAACTGGTAAATAACAATAATAATATTATAATAATATTAATTATATTAATATTAACACAAGCGTGCAACAGTTACCACTCACCAGTGACTTTTCAATAAAAATTTGAATATAATACTCCCTAAAGCTGTTTTACTAGTGAGTCACTGAACTGGATATTTCTATTACAAATCATGTCCATCCTCTGTTTGAGATCATTTCAAAGAAACATACAGCCTAACAGAATTTCTTTCGTTATGCAGTACAGATACTAACCAGCAGATGTCAGTCAAGACAAAAGAATTGGATATTATTTTCCTTTTTGTCATGATTTAAACACCTGTACGTCAAATGTTCTAATGGCTCACTTATTGAGAAATCCTCTGCCGATTGCATTTCAAGAAAAAATAATACTTAATGAAAGTTTTTGATTAGCTGACAAGTACTTGAATAAAACATTTTCCTTTAAGGATACACATTGAGTTTTTTTTTACCATCAGTACAAATATGATAATTGTTCTTCATCATGTACTCTCTCAGGTGATGTGTTTCATACTGAGGATCAAGTTTGCAGCTTGAAACAAATGACCAAATGTCCCTGATGTGGTGAGTTGTGGATTCTGAAACCTCAGTTAAAGTTCAAGTCTAGTTTGACCATCCTTACAGTCAGGAAATCTAAGACAACCTAAATGAGCTGCTATCATTGAAATATTATTGCTAAGACAAACAGACTGAACTGTGCCAAAGTTCAAGGTCTTCGACTATATCTGGCTGTACAATAAATTGTAAACCGATTGGAGTGTTCAGTCTTTTGGAGGTCAAGGAACCTGTGCCACTGTAACAGGTTATAGGACAACTTTTCTTTTCTTTGTTCTTTTGCATCTTTTTTGTGGTGTAAGGAGGCTTGCATACATGTCAAGGTCTTGCAGATATTGTAGTTATAAAATCCCTATTCAGAGAAAAAACTGTGCATAGTACATGAAACCAAATCTACCCAAGAAATGCATTTTCATCTTTACTTATTGTCAGTAGACTCAGTACACTGACTTCAGAACTGAAAGTCTAAATCCAGATAATCAAACAGAAGAAAAAGGTTTTGCTAATCAATTTGTAACAATGTAAGTATCCACCTGTTGCATTACGATTAGGATAGCCTATAATAGATGTCAAATTTTCTATCTCTGTTTGTCAGAGAGAGATTGAAATATCATGTATCTTTTTGACGCTGTGTCATGTGTGCATAAGGTGCATTTGCAGCTGGTTGTCTGAAAACAACACTAATCAGTTTGGAGAGTACTTGAGTACTTTTAGTTTTATCTTTAAAAAATGTAAACAATGGCAAGAAAAGCCAATTGGGAAAGAAAAGGAAAAAGTCTTAATGGTGGCTTTTTGTACCAACAAGTGTTTGATGAGGCCAGTGACTGGCAAGTGCTGTTGAGTGTTGATATGATTTATCCAGTAGTGCAACAGAACAGTAACAACCACACTTGTCAGAATTGAAAGGAAAACTTGAAGCTTTTCAGGGCTGCTGTTTTGTACTTGATTATAATTAGTTGAAGATACCTTCAGTCAAAAGAAGTGCTAATATAGAGACATCTTTGATACCACAGAAAATGAAATGACAGTGCAGCATGCAGGTTTGGCTAACACTTACTTTCTGGAAGTAAAATCTCCGACCTAAATTGGTGTGATTTGACCGCACATAGTAGTAACTATCTTGTAAAACATTTTTAAAAAATGTGTGCTGTGCTTTGCTTGATGTCTTTTGTATTGTATAAAAATAGTTGCTAATATCATTTTTAGGTGTGTCATTATTCCATTCTTATGCAACCATGCGTTGTTGAGATAAATGTACTAGTGTTTACTGATTACAAGGCGCAATCTCGTCATTTGTTTCCGCTATTGATTCTTGTTAAGATACAGCTGAGGACAAAGTCTATCACAGTCATTAGAGCAAATTATCTCTAATGGTACATCATGGAAAAAACTTTGAAACCTAATACCTTTTCACAACTTCCCTAACAGACCAGAAAGGTAAGGCCGACCTACAAATAAATACTACTCGACTATTTTTATTGTAACTGAACGTGTGACTTTAGAACCATGGTGCTGTCATACCTCTGAAGGAGAGATGTTGAACACTTCTGCAATCTTGGCATACAGTTCTTTAACATTAGTGAATCCATGGATCCGGCCTGTTGGGCTGCCATGAGCCAGCTGGGTGTGGAAGATAAGCCTTGGCCTTGGGTATTCTGGTGGCCCAGGTGGTGGTGGTGGCGAGGGCGGAGGTAGCGGAGGCGCAGTGGGCTCATCGCAGCCTTGATTCCGGTTCTGCCCTCCCTGGTCTTCCATGGTCTCAACCCCTGCTGCCTTGGAGTCCTGAGGGCTCATAGTCTCCCCGTTCTGCATTTGCCCCCCCGGCTTAGGTTCTTCTTTCAGAGCCCGACTGGTTTGAAGCACAAACAGAAGGAAAAGCACCGTCTTTGTCCAAGCCTAGATGGCCAAGCATCCGCCAACCAGCCACTCACCCCGAGCTTCAGGGTGAGCAACTCAGATAAATTAGTGATGAGTGCAGCCTGGTAACAGGAGCTGAAAGAGGCCAGCCAGGCTCAGCCCGGTAGTAACCCAACACCCTTTGAGTTGAGGATTGTATGTGTTACACCTGAGCCTTTAGCAGCTCATGCATAGAAAACATGAACAAAACACACCTGGTAAAGGTTCCTCCAAACATAACACAGATAAAACTCTTATGCTTTACGCCACCCTAGGAAATGTCACAGACCCAGGATCCCCAATGTGTGAACATTGTTCTACAGGATGAAAATGACTGGTATAATGACTCCTATAAAAGATTACTGCAGCACTGGGTCATCACAGACAATGTCTCAATGTTTCAGGTAAGATGAAACCACAAGATGGCCAGTAAATTGCCACTACCCACCAGCCAAGTTGAAAAAAGGGGTTCTTGCTGGGGTGAATCATTGGTGATGCACTTACCTTTCTGACCCGGCTAAAAGACACGTGAGATGACCGTTTAAATTTGAACATACGTTAAAATTTAAAAGGTTTGCTTTGTACAATTAATCATTTTTATAAAGAACTATTTTTTCTCTTCCCTCATAAGATGTGTTTCTACATGTCTAGACAGCCTTTGAATTAGTAGGGTGATGGAAGAGAAGAGAGAGATTAAAGACAGTAATAGTTTGGAAAGGGAATTTCCAATCATCACCTGACTTGGAGCTGACGTATCAGCACACACAACTGCTAGAGGTTCACTGAGGTCCAAACAGGGGAATAGTCACAAAAATCCAAAGCATACTTCACGTTTCCTATCCATTCCGCTATGGTGATAATTTACCCATGACACCATGTTTGTTTCACATATTTCCATGTGATGCAAATTGGGAAAAAATGTTCAACTCAGGAAACAAAAAGCTGTTTGTTTGTGCAGTGAAAACAGATTTTTGTTTCCTGTCATGGTATGCATATGCATATGCACATAAATCTAATTTTATACTTGACACATGCTTTGGAATCACCAGCATTGTTTTTCCCATTTGGTTAAGCATTTCATAGGGTATTATAAGATTGTTGATACGAAAATGTTCAAACATTTTATTATTTTATAAGAAAACCCTCATATGATACATGTTATAAACATTATTGAAATGTCCAGGCATTTACATTGCTTTAGATATAATAAGTACTATACTGCCGTTTCTAATTTGCTCCTGATTGACTGTCAAATGTCAAATTATTGCATCCTATACTCTAAATTGTTACCATGATCTCATATAAAAGCGGACTTATAACTTCTCTATTAGCATTGAAAAACAAAGACCATTTAAAAGTTGAAATCGCTCATTGTTTGTGACTGATTAATAATAACTTAATTCTTTAGCCAGGGGTACCAGTTTTCTGCTTTATCAAAAACATGAACTTGTGTTTTTGTTTCCACTTTTTTGTTTTTATGGTCCATGGCTTAGCACTCAAATTTTTCCATCTTGCTATACTGATGTCTTGTTTGGTTGACCTTTTCACACCTTTTCACACCCTTTCCATTTTATTTGTACTTGCTCCAACCTTTACACACGGCTGATTGAATGACTGTTCACTTGATTGATTCAGTTTCTTGGCAGTGTTTTTCCTATAAAATAGAAGTCCTTTACAATGTTTCCAATGGCAGCGTTGTTGCTGAGGCCATTTCAAATTAACCAGAAACAACAACTTGGTATTTTCAGAGTGTATGGCAATTCCACAATAGCTGCAAAGGGATGCATATTAACTGGCCTGTCTAGTTAATAAAAAATGTTCACACTTTTGCTTCTTTAGAACTTATTCTTTCACTGGATTATTAGTTAAATTTTATATACTCTAATCTTATTGAAAGTGAGTCATCTTGTTGGATACTAATGTGTACATTAGTTCATTAGTTCAATTACCAGCAGTAAAATAATATGGTGTCTGTTTTCCTTTCACTTTATATCCACTTTGTTAGAATTGGGCTATAGTTACTAACTTTAGCATTGTATGCTATAACATGATCCATGCAAATGACTGATTGTCTTATTCCTTTTAGAACTATACTCTTGTGTTAAACTCTCCGGATGTGCCCACACATCCTCCTTCTCTCTCTGTTGCAGTAGATACACGTCTTCAAGATCAAAATTCACACACACACTTTCTTATCCCATTCCACTGAAATCTGCATGAATTAGGAGATGGCCTGTTCATGTCAGAGGTAACTGGCCAATAACACTCAGTTTCGTCGAGCCATCCTACTGTAAGGGTCGGGCCCGACCCAGAAGACAAATATCCATCACACCCAGATTTCGGGGCTCTTGCCAACTGAGATCTTCCGGGAACTTTGTCTTTTACTTGTGACCAACAAATGTCATATTTGTACTCTTGATCTACTCTGGTTTATTCTCAGGCTTCCAACTGAAGAATCGGGCTAACAGTTTGAATAAGATTTTCCTTGAATTTAGCCTAAATGACAAGAGGGTGAAAGAAGTCATTACCAACTGTTTTCGGCGCAATTATGTAATTTTGTAACCAGCAAAAGAAATACACATATTTATAGACACTCTGATGACAAGTGACTAAAACACTGTCTCCAGTATGAATTCCGCCTCATCACAAGGCAAGACCTCGTGATTTAATAGATCTTGTGTAAGGTTCACATGGCAAATTAAGTCCATGATTAATCAAATAAATTCACACACTGTGAGGGTGGATTTAAGATATTATTCTTATTTCCAAATAATAATTCATCACCCTCGCTGATGATTCAACACAGAAAAGCCTGTTACTGCCTACACTCCATTCAGGCAACTCTATGACATTACACACTTCCTCATGAAGTGTGATTTCCTCGGCTTTTTTCAGCTTTGTTTCCTGGTGGTGTGGCAGACGGATATGAATGGGTTTGGCTTGTGTGGGAGAAATTGTGTTGGTGTGCATTTGCTGTGTCATGACGCGATACACTGCCTCTTCTGTTCCTAGACACATGGCAGTGGCTGGACTGCACGGGAGGGGGGAAAAATCATTGCTAATTTTTGCATTACTTCCTTTAAACTGTTACTTGATTATAACCTTACTATTTCTTAAAATTCTCCATTAATATTTGATTTCCCTTTAAAAATGTGTGGGACTAGGAGTATTAGGCTTTATAAGCTATGGTGTGAGCAGTTATTTGTACAAGATAAGCGGAAATTTGAGTCTTGTCTAAAATATATTTTTCCTCTAGCACCATTCTGCTCTCCTTCTCTCTGAAGTCTAAGATTCATAACTTGCCCTAAAGAGGCTAAAGTTCAGGGTCAAACACAGAAAACCCACCCAAATGTCAAGGTTTCATTACTTGCTGTATCTAGAAGTTAGATATATTCCATGCTGTGCAGTAAAAAGTAAGTAAAGTAAAAAAACACTTTTAACATATTCCATTTCTAAATATCTCAAATATCAACCAAGGTCATCCAGTGGGATTATATTCAAATTAATGGCTGACTGCTTTAAGATTTCCTTTGTTTTATTAGTCTGATAATTGTAAATTGTGTGAATAGAACACACATAACTGTTAACAATAAGAATGTGCTTTGTATTTTATAATATGGGAACAAATGTCAGAAACAGATAAACAGTTTTTTTATGACTTCCCCTTAAACAAATAGGACTACATGTGCTTTGGTTGTGTATACATTCACAGCATAGAATTCAGATTTTACTTTATGAACACTATCAGCTTAAAGCAATTCAAATCAGAGTAAATACTGGCTAATGGGTACTCTTTTCAAATAAGCAGAATTGCCTATGGCAAAACACTCATATTTTATCAGATCATAGCTTGCATAGCTAACAAAAATATTTCTGCATGAACAACAGTATGCAAATTTGCACTTGTCTTGCCCCACCCAGGTATCTCACATCTACAGTGTTTCTCTCAATCTGATCACGTTTATTTAAATATCGCAAATAAAAGAGTGTTTTCAAAGTAACGTGTGTCCTGTTCCCGTATCACGTTATAGGATGGACTTCCTTAAATGTGTAGATTTGAAGGCCAATACAAACAGTAACAACAGGCCCTGCTTTATACGGGTCTCAATGCTTGGACAGCCCACTTGCCGTATAAGGTAATGGGCGGTTTGTCTGAGCCAACTACCTTAATCTGATTGGATAAAGCGTCTGACATGACTTTTTTTTTCTGGTCGTTGCAGATTGCCATTGGCTGCCTGACTTGGTCCGATTTGAGCTCATTATCCTAATCAGCTGTGGATGAAGTGAGAAGTGGGGAGAAAAAGAACCGGAGATAAAGAAGCACAGTGGGGTTTGACGTGGAAGGTCGTTTCTACGCGAGCCGACCACCGCTGGCCGAGGGGAGAATGCTTGAAAACAAAAGAGAGAGGTTGAAAACCTTCCTCCGGAAGATCGACGAGAAGGCCATCGTCAGAATAAAGCACTTCATGAAGGAGAGGTGAGCTGCGTAAATGTGGCTAGCCGAACCGTTATCTGCCCCGGCGGTAAACAAGGTGGACGCTAACGCTTAAAATATCTTACCTGACAACGTCCAATCTCACACGATTTAAGAGTGGGGGGATATTGTCAGTGTAATGTTGAATATAACCCTAGGAAATGTGTTTCGTGTAAAAAGAAATGCATAGAGTACTACGTTTCTCTGTTGTACAAACCGCTAGTATGCTAGCAGGTCTGAGGAAATGTTGGGGTTTTAAAGTGCTTTGAATTATAGATCCGTCACATTCAGGTGAACTCCCCGATGTATTATTATATGTCAGTGTTATCATGTTAAACTATTTGTGACGACATATTGTATGTTGTTATTGGGCAGTTATTTTTTTAATTGTCTTTAGCAACTCGGGTAAATCTGCATTGTCTTTAATTTGTACACTCCAGATACGTCAGGTCATCAAATGACTTAAATGGTGACTTATGCACCTGACCCATTATAACTTAACGTACTAAAGTAATTAATTTAGAATCATTTTCAAATGTCAGCAAGTTGTAATGTTATTATTGTGGGTCCACTAAAGACTTAGTAGGTGTTTGAATTTTTACGTTTTCTCAGTCTTTTCATTTCCAACAATATAGGTTTTAAGCTAGATCAGCCTTGTGTTTGTTAATGTTTATTTTTGTCAGATAGTATTTGGATAATCTAGTCATCTTAAATGGGTAGCTTTACAAAGGGGGGTGGCATAAAGAAAAGCTGTTCCAAATTTGGTCAGTTAATCTTTCCTTTGCCTGCTGCTCAGAAATCATGACTTCATCCAACTGCCCATGTGGGTCAGATTTAAATCAACATTTGTTGTTTCATCATGGTTAATCTGGGCCTCTCCGGTTCCACATTGGTCCAGCCTTACAGTTTAACATGTAGACATTACTGCCTTCATTCATCATAGTCTGAACGGTGGCACATACACTGTATGTTGTTCCTTCTACACCACGGGAAACATGTGCACACACTAGTCAAAAACTGCATAAACAAGTTTATGTATTCACATTGCATCCTATTCTTAGAACTCATGAGTTGACCGCTGATGGAACATAGTGTTATGTAAATATTCTCAGAATCTCATTATTAGTACTTCTGTTCCCTTTGCATTTAGCATTCCTTTCCTCAGATAGCAATTTGCTGAGGGGAAAAAGAGTCCTGCCCATCTGAAGTGGCCTGCTGGTTATCAGCACAGTTGTGGTGTGTCTGCTGCATGGCATGGTGGGTGATTATCAGTTTCCACTACACCACCACTCTTGTTATGACAGTAAAGCTAAAGTAAGCAAATGCCCTCGCCTCATAATGCAGCACCACCAAAGACATTTTGTCCCCTCACATACTTGCCTTTTCTATGTTTATGGATTTAGCAGACGTTTTTATCCAAAGCGACTTACAAAGTAGACACAATTTTTTACAGATGAATGAAAAAAATGATCATTGATAGCAAGTACACAGCAAATTAATTAATATTGACACACCTCATTGTTAGGTGTTTGTCCATAGGTCCACATAAAATTCTGTCAGAAAAATATGAATAGCCCACGAGAAGCCAGTACAGATGCAAAGCTTCTAGAATTGGAGTATCCCAGAATAGTCCGGGCGGGGCAGCTTTGCAGGCGTCCTGTTGGCTCCAGGAAGATGCTCCCAGGACAGAGCCTCTTTGCTTCTGTGGGTTCAAATGATCATATGTCCAGGCTTGGATAGAAAATCTGAGTTGGAGGAGGGAAACCACATCTGCAGCAGCGTTTATCACTTAATGGAGGGTTGAAAACTGGTCATGGGTTGAAGTTATATTTTGCGTCTGTCAGACTGTTGCAAAAGACAACTTCACCGCCCTGTAACACAGCCAAGAGGAAAATCTATGTTCTTGTTAGTTTTTTTCATGTCTCATTTTCACATTAGCCTGTGAAATTCCACTTAAAGTTGCTCCCAGAGGTTCTTCTAATTCAGACATCCTTTTCTGAGGCCTATCTTAGTCTAATGTTCACCTGCGAAGTAAAAATAAATTAAAATTAAGATGCTTTTTGATGGTAGGTCTGCTAATTGTGGCAAATTGAAAATAAAAATGCACATAGACATTACTTGAAGATGTGATTTGATGCTAGCTCCTCTGGTTCCTTATAATAGGCACTTTTTTTATTATGCATTTTTATTTTTTTACGTGAACAATGCAGCCAATATACTTTGCGATTAAAGTTTATTTTAAATATATTTCAGAATCTGAATTGGCTTTTAATTCCTTGAATTGAGCTTCCAGTGCAGTATAATTGTCAGATTTTATATTTAATGATTTAGAACACTCACATGGGTTATTCCAGCCCCCACAGTAGCACCATTTTCTTTGTGAACATGCTGTGTCACTATACAGTCATTTTGAAGAAAGACATTCTCTGTCTGTAGGCCCAGTTTGCACAGAGGAAATCAAGGGAGACTCTGCATGCACAAAGCCACATGACTTCCTGCTCCAGAACACGCATGCAGTTTTTCAGAAACAAAACCATCCAGTTACACTTTCTGTTCCACTTGGCACCTTCACTTGTACATAGTTTCTTACTGTAAAACCCTGGATAGTGGCTGCAAACTTTTCTTTTTGCCTCCGCCTCTGGTTCTTGTTTCTACTCTACTCTTTCACAGTCCATTGAGGATGTTTTTTTTTTTCTGTTTGGTTTCGTTATTTCTGGTGGGGAATTGAGGGTGGGTGAACATAAACTCATGGACCAACTTTGAATTGTTTTTAAACTCTTGCCTAGATGCAACTTTTTTTTGTTTGCTCTCTTAATCTAATTTAACGGCTAATTTGGCGTGAGGAAATGCTATCAATTTAGCTTTGGACTGGACAGGTTGTGAATGGAAGAAGGACAATCGGTTCAGCTGAAATAGCTTTGACTTCATAGCTGGTGTTTCAGAATAGTCCTCGGCTGTCCAGGAGATGGTGCTCTCAAACTGCACTGCTCTGATCATTCTTGGAGATTGGGCATAAAGATTGTTCAGGCCTCACATGTCAACCTAAGGCTCACGTTGCAACCGCAGCAGAGTTTGTCGTGGGGTTGGATTCTGTATAGAGTGAAATGTGCCTTAGAGGTACTACCACGGCAGACCAGCTGACATGGCTGACGTGTGTAGCAGGACTCCAGGGATCATCTTTCTCAAGTTCAGACACAAAATGGAAAACACTGGATCCTTACACCTTCGGGAGTTATTTTGCTGACTGAAAAGACTTGTGCTTGCGAAACTAGTTTGAACCTCAGACAAAGCTCTCGGAGATCAAAATCTTAGTCTTTAAACATACTGTATATGAATGCTGCTAGGCTTGAATGCGTTTCAGGGAAGATGAAAATGAAATGGTATGATTATTACAACAATAGTGTTTAAGTCTTTGCCTTTGACTCTGCTCATGGAACTGTTTTGTGTCCTATCCTCTCTCTGCCCCCTTTCCTGTCACGCCACTGTCAAATAGGGGCCACTAGAACCAAACCTCGAACAAAACATTGAAAAAATATATTGTGCAAGTATTATCTGTAGATAAAATGGAAAGACAAACGCACTGAGAGCTTACACAGTGCATTATAACAATTGGTATATTGTTTGCATTTAAGAAATGAATGAAACAATAATTTGTCCACTTGTATGAGGCTACAAATATTTGATGTAAACATTGCACTTGCTTTTCCCTGCTATATGTTTTACATCTGTGGGCTTGTCAATGTTAAATCACTAAAATGTTGAATGGTTGAGACTGACAAATGTTTTTTTTTGCTGTTTTTTTTTAAAGCATTAAGGAGTCTGGTTAACAGATAAACAATAGCGTATTTGCCAGTTCATTTGACCAGTATCACTGGATATGCAACCTTATTTTCAGATTTTAGTGCCTTATCCAAGACATTGTGGTATAGAAAGGGTCTAAGGGAGCTCAGAGCTATTGTAAACAAAAAAAAAGGATGTTTTCATCAACTAAATCAATGGCAAACTCAGCTGCCCCCTTTTTTATTTGACATTCAGGTCATTGCTACACATTTACTGTGACATCCTGGCAGTTGGTGTTGAAACAGGAGAGGTTAGTAGGTGATGAACAATGATTCAAATCGGGCTTATGTCACAAGTACTGTTGGACTTTTTTGAGTTCATAGGTGGTGACGTCTTTGTGACAAAAATACACAGCTGGTGAGTAATGACTTCTAGTCAAGATAACCTGTTGGAGCATTATAGACTTGAACTATATTGATTTTCCTTTTGTAAGCGATTGAAGCTTTTTAGTGTCACACAGCTGGTCTTGTGGTCCATTGCTCCTTTTACATCCTCCACAAAGGCTCAGCCAGCTATTGTCATGTATATTGTACTTGATGCTTTTAAAGCAATCCCCTTGTTCCTAATTAGAATAGGGTATTAAAAGCTGTGGTAGTTTTTTGTTTTTCCTTCCCCCACACCAAGAATAACCTTCCAATGTTCTCTCAACCCCCACATTTCCAAAAACTGTGTCCCACAGTTAACGTTTCCACATCAATACTGCCTAATACAGCACAGGAGGCTGAGTATTTGGGATTTTTAATTTTTTTTATTTTTAATTTTCATGTAATTTATTTTTCCTATTCTTAACCTTGCCCTGGTTTTTTGCTTCTTGCTGTTACTTTATCTTTATGCTGCTGCCCTTTATGACTTCAAAAGTCTGTCAAAAGGACCTTTACTCCCATCTGAGTTACCTGGTCAGAGTATAAAAGCATAAGGCACTTTCATGCTCTCATTTGGCTGCGTTTTTTTCCAGGAGTGGCTACCAGTTATTTGGGATTGCTGAAAAACGGATAGGTTATGGAGAAAAGAAAAGGCTTGCTGAACCAGCAGGGTTCTTCAGTTGATCTCAGTGGCTCTGTGGATTCAAAGAGGTAGCGTGAGCAAAAATATTTTCCTGATGTCGGCTGGCATTTCTACAAAGGTTATACAGAGCATGTTTGTCTTTTTGTAATGGTGCATTTTTCCACTAGCATGTGGGGCGAAATCTTCATTTCTCAGTAACTTCTTTTCTTGAATTTTCTTATGTTTCGTCAGTGCTTCACTTTAAATGTTTCTGAGACAAACATGTCTTTTAGGATTTATGTGCAAACGCAGATAAAGAAATCAAACTGAAGAATTTGTCAGCAAAAATAAATTGTTTGTGCTTTAGGAATGTGACTGAGTGTACCTGACTAAGCGTCCTGTATGTCTTTTGTATTCTGTGCTTTCTTTTGCATGTGTACACGTTGGTTGTGTAATTTGAGATGGCATTTCATCAGTAAACTAGGTCAGAGGTTATGTTCTCCGTGTGAAAAATGCACACCCCTGACAAGACAAGCCTCCCGCTACTTGCTAACTAGTGTGGTCATTTAGAGATTTACTGTCGCTGTACAGGTCATTGGTCATTTTTCATTTATTTATTTATTTTTAATGTTTTTTTTTTCTTCCCTTATCACCTTTTCACTTTTTCCTCGTTATCAACAGACACTATTGACCCATCTGACTTGGATGACTTTGACCCTTTGAACACTCATTGCCTGTCAGGCCTGTTTTCCTTATTATGAAATGTACTGACTTTTATCAATAGTGGATCTTAGTTATTTATTTAGTATTCACTTCCTGCTGGCTGTGCTTAAGTTGCACAATTTTAGGACAGAACAAAGCCTGTCAATTGGCACATCTTTTGATTATACAAAAAATATAAAGAAAGTTTGGTATTGTTGGGTTGTTAAAAAAACATTGTTTACACTAGTATAAACCCAATAGTAATAGTAGTGCATGTGAGAGTACTTTAATTATAATCTCAGTTGTATAAGTTTGTTTTGCTTTTTTTTTTTCCTCCTGTCTTACCGTCTGTGAAATCCCGGTAGTGGATCTTAAAGACAGCTGACTTAGTTGAAGTAAAACATTTTAAACTGTAATGTTTCTGTCCTCTCGCCTAGATTCTGTGGATACTGAGCCAAACCTTAGATAAGGCAAGGTTGGTTATCCTCTGCATATCCCTGGACTTTTACTTTCTGTATCAACCACAGACGTATCATGTCCTGCTATGCTTCAAAAGATGAATCTAGCTATGGCTCTTGTTGGTTGGTCGGAATATTTTGTGGGACTGGCTTCTTATGCTTGTCTGTGCCTGTGTTGCATACCAGAGTGTGTGTCTTTGTATAAGAGGGGGAGGAGAAAGAGGGGTAGTGTATGGGTCTTTTTTTATGCTTATTGCCTGTGGGGGAGTGGCGTAGTTTGACGTCACCCACTACGGAGTGTCACACCACCCTCAACACAAAGTAGCTTCCTCAAGCAGCAACACAGCTGCAGCCTTTTCTCAGCAGGATGTGGCAAAGAATCTTATTAGCAAACTAACTCGTCTTACCACACATTAAGAACAAAGAGGACTACATTTTTTAAAGACGCTTTTAAACATTTTTAATTGAAATTTTTTTTTTCTCTCTGTAAGAATAGGATATGCCTACTGTTAGTCGGTATATGAGTTTTCGTTCATCAAAGCGATTAAAGTTTAGCAGGTAAGTTAACTTGTGATTTCAGTTTCTGGCAGTTCTGCTAAACTTAATTTGCTCTAAAATGTCTATCAGTTGCTGCTACCTGTTGCATTTGGATCTTAGTACAAGTTATGTATAATTAGTTATGGCCCACAAGTTCTTTGGATTCTTGTTCATTTGTTCTTTTTTGTGGCTGTTTGGTACCAGTCAAGGACAGGTCAGGTTTTGTGAAGAACAATTTTATAGTAGCTTTCCTTTGATAGGAGGTTCCTTTTTTTTCTGCTCTAAAAAATATTGGCCATATTTGCGTTGGTTTGTCCCCCGCAATTATAAAACGGCTAGGAAGTGCGTTTGAACCCTCCGGTTGCTGACGCAACGCATACCTATAAAATTTTTCATTAGGAGAATTATGAGCGTTTCCAGCACATCATAAAGATAAGGCATTTGAGTTTCAGATGGCCATCCTGCCCTTACTGACTTCATTCTGAGCTGAAAGGAAGTCTACAGGAGATGGGTGTTATTTAAATGAATCGTTGATCTTGAGACGCTATTAGCTATTTCCAACTAAATAATTCCAATGTTTTCCTTTGGTTTGATATGAGGTCAAAAAGTCCTTTTGTTCTGTTACTCACCTCTGATAAAATGTTTCACTTCGTGTATGGTCTATGGTAGATTTTTAGCTATTTGTGTACTTTTTCAGTGAGGCAAGGAGTGTTTGCCAGTGGTTGATCTTGTTTTACATCACTCATTAATTTAGTTGCAAGAGTTCATGCTGTGGCATGTGTGTCTCCAAAGTAACCTTCTAACAAAGCATTCTCTGTGCATGTACATGCTAGTCCCTTGCAAAATAATATTTGATATTCAGCTAAATCTATGCTTCCCTCCATTATTTGCAGCAGCTACCCAGTCGAGAGCAGTGGCGGCGGGCTGCCAGCCAAAGCAAAGAAAAGCAGGAGCAGCCTAAGTAATGGAGCGGTCAAGAAGATGGAAACGAAGAAAGCCTTAAGTTTAGAGGCAGCCCAGCTTGAGTTTCAGCATCAGCAAAAAACCCTCACAAGACAAGTAGCTGTCAGGTAAGACCCACTGAGCGTGAATCAGAATGTTGACAATCACAACAAGGGCAAAAATCTTTGATACAAAGTGAAAATTAATTTCTGAACACAAACTTATAAACGCATACAGCTAAAAGATGTGATGGTATGGAAGACAACTACTGGATTCATTTGAAGAAAATCGCTTTTTTTCTGTATTGGAAACTCTTAGCTATTCCCGACAGGCATCACAAGACCTGACCTGACTCTCAGCTGTTGTGCAGTCATGTGTGTGTCATGACTGCACAGCCCCTGTAAGCTGATGGTATTTCCACATGATTTGAATGTTTTAAATAAATTTGTGACAGAATTTTTGAAGTACAAATTACAGTTATGATTTTTCTTACCCTGTAGTCACAGGTGCCATTTTCTGATATTGCTTTCAATACCACATAAGGAATAATCATGTCTTCTCGCCCTTCCTGCCCTGATATGTTCAGAAATATTTAGATTTCTTTTGCATCCTCACATTAACACTCTACCTGTTGAGGGCACCTTGACATATAGGAAAAGTATGGAAAATGTTACCACATGATTAAAGTATACTAACGACTTGTCTCTGAACAGATGTGTATTCATGGTGCATTTCCATATCTTAATACAGTCTCCATGGAGGTTTATCTGAACTGATAAGTGAGCTCTTTGTGTCTGCAGGTCTCAAACATTCGATGTGGACAGTACAATCTTGGACAAGACGGAGAGCAGTGGCACACAAAGTGTAAGAGCATCTTAATTTGAACTAAAGGATTTTTTTTATGGGACTATTACGTTTCCATTTTAGAGAAACATTTTTCACTAAAACATTTGGATCTAAATTCAGGTCAATCAATCTAATTTCACTCTTCTCTTTCCAGAGTTTCACAAAGCACAACAAGACATTCCACAAGTTGTTTTCAGACATTCCTGAAACTGAAGACTTGATACACGGTACGTAAAGAAAAATAGAATAAAAATCACAGTTCAACTGAAAATAGATAGATCTATGTAAAAAATATAAAGGTTTTTTTGTTTTTCTCCCCCCACAGCCTACATCTGTGCCCTGCAGAAGGAGGTGCCCTACCACGGTCGGCTGTACATCACTGATACCCACGCCTGTTTCTATTCTTCCGTTTTGCTCAAGGAAACTAAGGTAGACATCAACTCCTATGCGACTTAACATTGTTTTTAATCTCATTGTTTGACTTTTTCTGAACTTTCGTGTATGCTTTTGTGCTTTTGCAGGTAGTGATTCCAGTTTCCTCCATCCACATAGTAAAGAAGCAAAATACAGCGTTGCTGGTTCCCAACGCTTTGTCGATTCGGACCACAGAAGGAGACAAGGTCGGTGTCTTAAAGCTCCACATGTTGTCAACGCTTTAAAAACATACAATGCTATCATGCTCGGTCAAGCATTCTGTTCCAAACTACTGCAATTTGCAGCAGATGTGATATAACTATTGACGTGTTATTTTTAATAATCTAGAGTTTTCTTCATAGGTTGGCGGCTAACATTTTCTCTGCTTGCTCTTCTCATTGTTCAGTACCTCTTTGTGTCGCTGAGAAACAGAGAATCGTGTTACCAGCTCCTGCGCTCAGTCTGTCCGCAGATAGAGGTGAGAGGCTCAGGTTCATCACACGTATCCAAAAATCCAAAGTTCCACAGTTTATTCAAACATGGTAAAAGTGTAAATGCTTCAAGCTTAAAGTGATAACGTCATTGTGTGATATTTGGTTTTCTGTTACAGGATGGCAGCACAAATAGTAGCCCAATGTTTTCTTCAGGCGAAAACAGCTTTGACAAGAGCAAACTTGTGGTGAGAAACCTTTTTTTTTATTGATTTCATTATTTATTTTTGTATACCCCCCCCCCCCCCCCAAAAAAAAGAATATTATTGTATTATTTTATATATGTAAATACTCCTCCTTCACATTTAAACCACTGAACTCTGAAATTGTGATCATTTTATATTTCTCATGAACAGAACTCCAGTCAATCCAGTTTGGAAGACAGCTTTGAACAGTTGGATGACTCTGAAGCTCAGTCTTTACGGGTGCAGACGCTGCAGAGGCCTCACAGAGGTAAAAGACTTGAAAGCTTTGTTAATCAGTCAAGCAACACAGTGTTTCAACAGTGAAAAGAACTCCTAGGATCAATGTGTTCAATTCTTTGCATATAACACAGAATATGGCAGTTTTTCTGAATACATTTAAAATTATGGTAATTGGTTTCTCTCAAGTTTTTATTTCTGTTGTAGTTCCTTGACATGAAAGTTTCAAGGTCTATTAAAATTGAATTATTTTTCCTTTCTCTCCCCTCTCCAGAAGATGAACCCGATACAAAAGGCTCAACGTTCAGGAACTTGAACATGCAGCAAAATGATAACTCCTCAACTGAGGAGCTCTCAGAATCAGGTAATGCACACTTGGTGGTCAGTAATAAACATTAGTTTCCTGTTTAAATCTCTTACCAACTACATACTCAGTAAAAAAGATAGATGCTCACCATTTTAGCATTAAAGGGGCCTACAGATTGTGTTTTTGGTCAGGTAATGCATCTTTTTGCATTGCATTTATCCAATACATGTTTCTGAAACAGAGTGGTCATTACAATGTTTTTAAATGTTCTATTAACTAATGGCCTAATTTTTAAAGTAAATGGCATCTAAACTTAGAACCATTGACCGTTTTATTCACGTTACATTTTCCTTTCTCTTTTCAGGTGGCTCATGGGTGTGGAGTGTAACAGAAAAAGCAAAGTCTCTGCTGGTTCAGAGAGAGGCTGGCAACCTCAACACCCTCCTCTTCATTTACTTGATTTTGTAAGTCTGGCCTTTTTTTTTTTTTTTTCTCTAGTCTTCTCCGGCACATGTCTAAACTCCCTTTTTAATCCAGGTCCTTAACAACCCCTGAGATAATCTCTGTTGGTCACTTTGAAAGTCACAGCCTGTGACGGTTAAGACATTTCCACTGATAATCACCCAAATAATCTTCCAAAATCTAATCATAAGATCTCACCTGCATTATAGTGATCATTTGCATGCAATGTCTGCTACTCTTTTTCTGCTGTAATGGCTTCATTGGAGGTGCAGTTAGTTTAGAATAAAAACTCTGGCAGAACTAGCAGCGACTGACTCTGCTGTCGGACCTGTTTCTGTCTGCGCTGCAGGGTTGTGCTGCTGTTGCTGTCTTCTGGCTACATTGGTTTACGGATTGTTGCCCTGGAGGAGCAGCTTACATCCCTTGGCGCATTGCCGGAGTTCACCTTACAGAGCGGGTAGGTGAACTCTGCCTTGATTTCAGCCTCTAATTCTGTGTGGAGCCTTTAATAAATTAACAAGGTCCAGTTAGCCAGAATATTCCAGCCTTTCTCAGGATCCAGGTCTTTGAGCAGACTTTTGTCATTCAAAACGGTCACATTCAGTAAGCTATATGTCTTGAGTTTAAGGTCAAGTTCAACTTGTTTTTTTTGTGTATTTTTTTTAACTTCCTTCAAGGAAAAGGAAAGTATGTCCTGGGTGTAGCCTGACTTTCAAGTAAATGAAACTATGTAGGTATGCTCCTCTGAACTACTTTCATCTTTTGACAGGTATCACAAAGACACATAACACTCAGCGACGGAAGGAGAGATTGGTTGACTTATGATTGGAAAATAATCTCAGCCTCTTCTCAGAAGAACCAGAAGAGTCAAATCTACTGTACTCGACCTCTAGCCTGTGCCGCTAGCGTAGAGGTAGCGTTCAACCTGTGCAATTTCAGAGATGTCAACTTGAAGGGCTATTTTCCCTGACTGTGCAGTAAACTAAGGTAAATGCTGCAGCTTAGACACCCAGAGCCAAGCCAAATGTATGCTCACGCTGACCGGTTGCAGCGTGTCTGTTGTTCAAACCAAAGCTGAACGGCTCAGACTCATGAAGGTGTCGTATCAGCAAGGCTGACGGGCATCTGTCTTTCCGAAACATTTCCACATCTGTGAATTTCTACTGTCCTTTGTTCTCTTCTCCCTGAGCATGCAGTCAGAACAGGGCTATATCAGTCAGCATCAGCCTGCTGTAGTGTTCGTTATTGCACCTCAGCACTGGAGACATGGCGCTATGCATAGCCAAAGACGCACACGGTGCACATCTTTTGCATGAGTGCACAGAGCTGACTTTTTTTAATCTCTTACAAAACCCTCACTTTCTAAACTGTATACTCAGTCCTGTTTTCATCTTTATATTCAGTAAGTTTTGGGTACTTCAGATGGTTCTTATCTTTCTAATCAGGTGTGGGTGAAATGACGATTGGAGGCTAAAAAATGCAGATCAGCCCACAGAGGCATGAGAATTTCCTGATGGTCTTATCCTCTCTCTCTTTCGTAGTATAGAATAACTGCAGTATTACTTTACTCCTCTTTGACATGATTTAAAGCTGTTTAATGATCAATACTCAGAGGTTGCTTTCCCTCCAGTCTCTACTTGATGACGCATTATCAATGCACAAGTACTTAGTACTATAGGATATGAGGAGGTTGTTTCAGAAGCATTGTTTGTTTTGTTTTCTTTATGGATGTGCTAGGATGTTGGTCTTCAAGAGCAGATGCAATCTGTTTAGTCAGATATCTTGTTGTTTTCTGCCAGGAAAATCACCCACCTGTGTTGAATTCTAAACACTTTGACTGGCTTCTTGACTACCAGTCAGCATTATCAGGCTATTTTAAAGTAGCACAAATAATGTATTTCCAGTGCATCAATCTGCAGTCGCTGACACTTTGACTGATACCATTGCTCTTGTCACAGAGACAATTGAATTTCTAACATTTGCTACAAGGTCCATGTTTTCAAAAGCGAAAGAAGTGGTCCCAAAAAGAATTTTCAATATGCAAGAAATTATTATGCATGGAAAAAAATGTCCTTCATGTTTGTGTGCAGTTTTACGTGAAGCTTAATGTATGTGGGGAAGAAACTGTGCAAGAAAAAAAACAAAGTGAGGAAGAGGAACGGCTCAAGAGAGCGAGCGCACTTTAAAAAAAAAAAATGTGTTGTGCCTGTCACAGTCTAAAACACCTCGTTTGGATTGAGAAGAAATGGCAACGCTGGCGTTCTGTGGTATCTGATGGTGCTAAGACTTTTTTTTTTTCTTTTTAATTGTTTTCACTCAGGGGTAGTGGGCTACCTGCAATGTGGCTTCAGGTGTTCCAGCTTGTCATTTCAAGTCAAGTGCTCATGATGGGTTTCACATATTTTCGGATCTCTCGGATGGTTTCTTTATTAATCCTTGTAAGGGAGCAAAATAAAATCAAAATTTCACTTGACTTTACACCTGCACTCAGCTCCACTAAATTCTTGCCTTTTATTTGTTCCCCAGATTTGAATAATTTTTTTTAAAAAAACGTAACATGACAGTGCATATCCATACCGCATTTAAAGATCACCCTTGTCAAGGTGGTTGATTCTGATCTGTTTTTTCATCGTTAACTTTTGCTCCATCCCCATTTATCATCCAGAGCAAAGTTCATTGCCATGCCATGTTAAGTACTGTCAATAATTATTAGTCCCCACCAGGGGGCAGCACATGCAACCACTGCCCTCAAACAACTCCGGATGAGAGCAGTTTTTGTGTGGTTTTGCACTATTCAGTGTTGTAAATAATTTTGTACCAGTTGTCAGTGTCCTTAATTCTACTGTTCCTATAATATATATTTATTTGCATTCAGTGTAATTCAAAGTAGTCTCTGTGAGATCGCTTTGCTATTGTTAAAAATAAAACTTGTTTCGAAGTAAATACTTTCTGTGGATCTGCCTTTTTTTCCTTTTTTCTTTAAATCTCTCAAATATACTAACATTATTAAGCCCGGGAGATACAAAATCTTGTCATTTTCAATGTGCCAGGTGAATGAATTTATAGCCTGAATATCACATTTTTATATGGCATATTCATGCAGCAGCAGTGGTTAAATTATTAAAGCTAATAACATGGAGAGAATTTCTCTTAAATGCAGAAATTTAAATGGAATACCACATACAAAATCATTTGTCTGACTCCATTGGGGGGGGGGGGGGTGTAGAATGTGGATCAGATCTGCAGCCAAAACAGGACTCCATGATTTCTATTTATTTTCATTCTAAGTTGTCAAAAGCAACAAGAACATCTGCCACAGCAGTGCCAGAGCTAATGAGCCAGATTATCCTGCTCAGCTGTCCGGGTTATTTGGAGGGGCGGGGTCTCCGGTGGTGCGCTGATAAGCACAGAGCTGAAACACACCTAAAAACAAATGACAGACATTTTAGATAAATCCTAAGGAAGAAAAGTTTACCCTGGGAATGTTAGGATCTTTCTATGACCAGAAAGGTTGCATCTGAAAGCATAGACTGTAACTGTTGGTGGACATTACTAAATCCTATACACAAACATGTGATTTGGACCTAAGCGATTAGTTGGATTACTTTAATCTCATATGTTGGTGCTCAGTTTGACGTTGTATTGTAGGAAAAAGAATAAAGTTTGGTGTTTGACTGAAACTAAAGTCATTGCAGCGGATTCATCGTTTACCATGCTGACTAACAAAGTGTGATGCTGTGAACATCACCTCTATTTATGGAAATGGAGACGAAACGCAACACAAACCTGCTGCAAAAGCCAAAATGACAGCAATCCAGCCTATGATGTAGGACCAGGAAAAGCGCCAGTCCAGGAAGCGTTTGCCAAAGAAAGTGACGGTCACTCCTGTGTATATTGCCAAAGCCAGCAAAGAAAGAAAACCTGGGATAGAGAACAATGTCAAACTTAGCTGAGACAGACAGGGACACATGCATACATAATGACACACATTTACTGAAAAGCCCTTCCATGATAAAAAAAAAAAAATCAAGATGTGAACCTGATGTGGACATCTAAAAAACCTTATCACCCCAAATCAGCTCTGACTCTGTAAAGGTTCAGATGTAAAAAAAAAACATTCCTTCTTTACCTGACAGGACCAGAGCAATGCCACCCGTGCGGACTCTCCTGTTCTTGGTGCCATTGGTGAAGGCGGTCAGGCCGAGCACCACACCTGCAAAACAGCTAAGCACTGCCAGCAGCATGAAGGCCCGAGTAGCATCCCAGAAAGCTGCACACATAATATGACGAACACAAATCCATGGTGAATGTACACATACAGATATCAAACATCTGGGCCTGTCCCAGCTTGTGCATCCCAATTTTACACCCACAATCACCCGTGCACTTTTTGGAAGATTTAGTGTAAAATTTAGTGCAAACTTAAGGTACAAAGAGACAAAAATATCCAATGGCAATTCCTGTTGTACTTACCCACAGTTATGGTGTGGGCGTGGCATTTGTGGTTGATGCAGAACCTCCAAAGCCCTTGATTTGCCGAGCTGCCCGAGTACCGATACTGCATCCAGAAGTCTGTTGCCGTGGAAACAATGAGAAGCACGAGGGCGGCCACACCACAGAGAGTGCCCCCTCCTGCTAAAGTATACAGCATGGTGGAGAAGACACTGTCCCCCTAAACATCCAGCAACTGTTCAGGGTAGAGAGGACACATATATGACTGTCTGTTCACAAAGCCCTTTGCATGCATGGCATCACACACTTTAATCAAACAAATATGTTACACTACTCAATCAAAGCAACCCAAAGCATGATTTTTTTCTTAATAACATTGAATTAAGAAGCATCTCCTTGAAATTTCAGGTTGTAAATTAGACAATGGAAAGTTTTCTGCCTGCCTCAAGCCCTGCAAAGGTTTAAAAAGTTCCTTTAATTAATGCAAACCTGTCCGCGCTAATCTCATAGTCTCGGTTAATATTCATGACTAGCAAAAATAAATGAAAGCAGTTTTCACTTTCATTTATCACAAAGTAAATGTTCACTAGTGGAGGAGATTGAAGCTTAAAAAACACAGGCAGCAGTCATTACTTGTTCCCCTGCAAGATAAACAAAATAAATAATTCTTCATGCTGTAAAATTGGTTGCAGCCAGCAAACTGTTTGACAATAGGCTTGCCTATGAGGCATTTCGAAGCTTTTGTCCACCACTAATTCCCCTCTATACACCACAAACTCTTCCAATGCTGAGCAACTGAACCGTCAGCACTGCTGCTGTCTGTCACCCAGCCAGCAAACCACCGGTTTCATGCCCAGATTTGAACATGTCAACGCATCTCTGGAAAATGTTCAGAAAACCACTGATGATCCCAAACAAACACATGCACCTGAATCCCAAACCTGTCTACTTGTAACAATTCATATGGGGAAGAGAACAAAAACTCCAGGGTCCGAGGTCCAGTTTTAAAAAGCTGTGCAGATCTTTTTCACTGCAAGCACAGCAGAAAGAACAGGTCCTCAAACATAAACTTTTCTCTTTGTAGCAACTCCTGCTCCCCTAAAGCCACTTGACTGATTTTCACACCATGATCTCAAAGAAAGTTGCATCTTCCTGGTCATTAAATGGACGATAAATGCAGGCGATGTAAATCCAGGCAATTTGTGATACCTCCAGTTTGTCCGGTCTCTCTCTCATGGGCTGCTGTCAGTTAGCGGGTCCCTTTCCTTTTTAAAGCCCGCACCTCCGGCTCTCATTGTCAAGCGCACAAAAGAGGGAATGATCGAGTTGAGCATGTGAGTGATGGTAAATCCCTCTCTTGCCCTCCTCTTTTCTGTTTCCTCCATCCCTCCAACGCTCTGCTGTCTCTTGATATTTCTCCTTGTGCAAGGCTTGACTTATTTTTGTTTTGTTTTTTTGTCGTCATCCTGAAAAAAAAGGCCAATCAGTCTCGGAACTTTCATTCACATTTATTCCTTTTCGTGGCTTTGGCTCATATGTAAAGGACAAGCATCCACCTGCATGTGCACAATGATGTGCATTTTGCATACATCAAACCAGGAAAAACACACCCGTTCACTTCATATCTTTATTCCATAGGGTTATTCTAAAGAGCCTCGAAATTTCAATCTGTTATAAAGCAAATCGTATAATAAAAACAGCTCTGTGTTGTTATGATCGACATAACTCTGTGAACTCTGTGGTTACTTTATTTGTGCATAAACATCATGTAAGACTACACAGGTGGGCACAAACATATGACATTTCATTGACAGCCACAGATTAGGTGCAAATAAAAGTGAATTGATTCCCACTTTGGTTACTCATGAAGCACTCTTGCAAAAGCTCCCCTCTCTCTACAAGCTTACTGTTTAGGTTTTCAGTAAAAATGAGGATGAAATCAGGTACTCGTCAATCCTAGGGAAAAGACAGATTTGCCATTTCACGCTGCAGCAATTCCACCGTTAAAGTGCACCGTTGCCATTGTCCTCACCTCCTGTAACTTCTTTTGTAATTTTGTGCATTTCCTATTTGGCCAAGGACATCGGGTTTTCACACAAAATCTATTTTCTCAAAAAATTTGATTTGGGTGTGAAGCAATTCCAAGCATGGGTTGGCTAAGTATCATAGTTTGCCTGGACAGTTTTATTTCATTAATGGATAAGTCTATATACAAATCATTTGAAGGAATTTTATTTTTTACAGAACGGAGGAATTCAAATCCCTGCACTTAATTGGTCGACAGCTATTAGAAGAGGGTCAAAGGCTAGTGAAAGATTTCATTTTCATTAAAATATTATTTCCATTTATGTTAAAGTGTCTTTGTCTTGTTTGCTTAAAACTATACCATTTTTGTCTTTCTTTTCCACTGGGATCCCAAACCTTTACATGTTCTATTTAAACATTCATATACAGCACAGTAAGTGAAACAGAGTGGTAATATGTGGTTATTTTCCGCATTAGTGACTATGTGCACAGAATTTACAGCTAGCAAGCCATATATATATAAAAAATATCTAAATGAAAACATGATAAAATAAAACAGCAGGTGAATAATCTGTCAATAAAGACATTCAAATATTTCTATGGGCATTAAAAAAAGGCACATTATGATATGCATAACTGAGCGTGGCTTCTTTCCACTACATGGAACCCAGTCACTGTGTTAGAAAAATGTTATGAGGTTATACTGACAGAAAAGAACATTCTTTGACAGGCATTTCAAAGAATTTTCCTCACTGTTTGGCCTAGACAAAACGGCCCAATTCTTACTTTTTCCAGGTAGGCACAAGCATTTTTCAACGTTGCTCTCCAAATGGAAGGTATAAATAAGCTTCTGCTGTTTCAGTAGGTCCTCAGACAAGTGTGTACTGCTCCTTGCTGCTAAATAAAACTTGACTTTAAGCCTTATTGAGATTTTGGTGAACACAATTCTTCCCTTATAAAGCGGAAAACATAAACATGCCTAATTAACTCAATTTAAAGTGTTGATGTGGCACTAAGCGCTAATCATTCCATAAATCAGACTTTTTTGTGTCTTGTTTTCACCATGGCAAACTCAAATTTATCTATGTGTTACAGGGAGAAAAAAGTATTTTTTATATCTACCATTTTGTTTAGACTTTTGTAGCCACACAGCTCCCTCTCTGAACCACTAAAATGTATCACATCGAGCTTTACTTACAGTAAAACTGTAAAACCAAACACACACAGTCTATTACAGTATCATGTTTGTTTGCAAACGCGCACAACAACATGCTAACGCTACAAAGTGGTGTTCAAACACACGTACACACACACACGGACACACACACTTTCAAGTGACTGATGCCACAAGAATGGACTTGCCACACAGATTCTATACACTACATATGCTTGGCAATACACACAGGAACACACACCCCTAACAGCACTTGGTGATGCCATGCTGAGATGAATGTGTACACCGCTCTTCCACTCACTGCTGCTCTTGTTGTTAATGGCAGTATTTTGAATTCTCAGGGGCCCGGAGCCCAGAGCACAACAGTCCGATCAGCAGAAGAGGAGAGGAAGGCCCGGTCATGTGGATGCCACCTGCACTGGATGACTTTGTCCCAGTGCTCTCCAGCCAATGTCTGAGGGAGGGGCTTTGTCAGATCACCTACCATCAGAGAGAGAAAATAAATGTTTAAAAGAGCTGGTGCAAAAGTCAAACACAAAACCGCTCATCAAATTCTGTCCTTAAGTCCTTTATTCATTCGCAAGTAATAAAAACAGCAATGGAACAATATACACACAGAAAAATAGGAAATGTCTGAAAAATATAAACAAGTACAAAGGAATAAAATACAAATGAGAATAGAAAAATAAAATAGAGGTAAGAAGTCTTATAGTTTTAAATTCCCACAATTATATATGCATGGGATATTTACAATGACACACAGCAATATATAAAAAAAGGAACCAGACTAATTTCTATAGAAACAGTATATAGATGAATAACTAGATATTGCACAGAATACATACTGTCTGGAACATGTGGAGAATGTATATTTAATAAAGGGTAAATGCTCTAATTTATGATTTGATTCATATAATTGATTAAATGTGCTAATCTCTAGTTATGCATACTAGCAACATTCATTTTCTTTCTCTCCAATAAAGGTACTGGTACCTTGAAGGTCACTGATGAGGATCCTGTTGTCATAGGAACCAGTGAGGAGATGATGTGCTCCAGGTGAGAAGCGCACGGAGCGAATGTCACTGCTATGGGGGCGGCATGTCTGGACTATGCGGCCCCCTCGAATGTCGTACAACATGCAGGTGCTGTCTTCTTGACCAGTGGCCAGCAAGCGGCCGCTGGGATCCACACACACTGACGCTACTGCACTTCCTGTGTGTGTGACACAGAGAACATATACTGTAAGTGGGAGTATAATATTTCTGAAACATTTCATTAATTTCTCACAGTTTTCAGCTTCGCATTGGGCCAGGATTGATACATTCTTTGACAAACAAAAACAAGCCTCATAGGGAATCTTCTCCATGTTCAGGCACATAAACACAAAACAATGGATGACGCTGGCCAACACAATTAAAAAACTTTTCCTGCCTCATTTATGGGTCTCTGACAAAACACATATTCACATTAGCCTGCTCTGTTTTTATGAGAATGCACAGATGACGTGTAGTGGTGGGATCAGTCGTTTGAAACTGGTTCAAGGATCAGCTCCACTGCGCATTTGTCTGGATTGGTCTCACCTGAGCCGTGCAGAGTCGTGCCCAGCACCCGAACGCAGCTGGGAACCCGCAAGTCCCAGAACCGGACCGTCTTGTCCTGAGACCCTGAGGCGATCATCCAACCTCCCCATGTGTACAGAGTCAGAATATGCCCTGTTAAAAAATAAAACCTTACAGTATGTGACCGAAGCCTTGACTGTATCATAATTAACAGTTTTTTTGTATGATAAAACAAAGACAAAACATTTTAAAATATATTTTATGTTGACGCTCTACTGTAATTGTGAACTGAGTTTCTTTGGCGGGGGAGTACCTGTGTGTCCACTCAGGGCATGAAGGCCTTGTCCTCTCTGACAGTCGGTGGTGTAGATGTTGCAGTCCCCAGCCCCAGCACTGATCAAAATGGATCCGCCACTCTCAGGGCCCTCCATGAAAGCCAAGTCCCTTATGGTGCCATCGTGCATGCTGAACTCAAGGTCTGGGCCTGAACCAGAGGTGCACAAATAGGTAGAGAAGCAGGTTTACTAACAGAAACTCAACACCAAGAGTTGACATGGCCTACTCTTCTACTGCTTCAATCTACAATCTGCAGATCTAAATGTTCTGCTAGGCATCCTCTGAAGCTAAAATAATATGTATGTCTGTGTAGACTTTGAAACTTTGAAGACCTTTGTGATGCAAAACAAACAACGCTCACCACACAAACTGAACCAGTGAACAGTACCTGTAGCATTGCAGCTGTCTGCATTGAAAGGCAAAACCTTAACATATTTATCATTGGAGCCAGTCGCCAACAGCTGTCCACACTGGCTCCAGGCCACGCAGTAGATTGACCCTTTGTGATGTTTGTTCCTTCTGAAACGCACCATGGGCTGCTTGACGGCACCAGAACCACTTATGAAGCACAGACATAAGAGAAGAACAGTTGAGTGTATATTTTCCACCTCAAAACTCTTACATTTTCATCATTTTCATAAGACGTGTTATCCAAATGTATCATAATCCAACAGTCGCTAAAGTCATCATATTTGTCTAAACTTCTTAGAACATTTCTTGGTTGGAAAATATGAAAAGTGCCTTACTTGGTGGTCAGTGTTTCTGGGTAGGCGCACACTCTGAGTGTTTTTGAGTTGGAGCCGACAGCATAGAGTGCCCCTGACGGATGGAAAGCCACCGCACGCACGGCCTGTGAGTCCTCCAGCTGGCTCACCTTCACAAACTGTGCTTTTGACTTGCCGGGCTACAGAATAGCAGGAAAATCCCTTTCATTTAGTATGCAAATGGGACTGTTCATTTACTGTAACTTTTAAAGAAAAAGGATTTACTGTATTCAAAGTTGTTGTGCAGTATCAACTATGCAAAGAAAAGCTTGACAGGGGCCTGTTTCTGCTTTACCTCATGTGTGTTACGTGTTGTAGAGGAGCCAACGCCATCTTGGAGCGTGGGACCAGACTCTTTGATTCTTTCAGCACTGAGGATGTCAATGTACACGCTGAATCAGTTTAACGCTGCCCATCTGGTTTTTCACAACCACAAACCTTTGCAACAACTTGTAAATACCGTAAACAAAACCTGTGCAGACATTTGGTGAGCTCTAACCTCTGACTGGTGCGAACGGTGGGCTCGCTGTTAGAGCTAACGCCAGCTGGCTTGTCCCTCGACTGCCCTTTTGCTGCTGTTTGGGATGTGTCTGTCATCCTTGGGCTACAGGTGCCGTTGTTTCCTGACAGCCCCGTCCAGGGCTGGCCCAAGTGGCCCATCACTTCATCTGCTTTGTGGTCAATGCTGACGTTCATCTCCTCCAGCTTCTGAATGGATCTAGAGGAAATACGACTGCTGTTGTTGTGTTTCACTCAACAACGACACCAAAGCTTCTCGAGGGCCTCCCTGACCTGCTGAGAAACGTCTCTGTGAGGTTGTGCTGAGTTCCATCGTGAGGCTTCACCCCTCCTTCGAGCAGCATCTGCTGATAAAGCTGCTTCTGCTGCTGCTTCTGCTCCAGGTGCTGCTGCACGCGAAGACGCTGCCTGTAGTATTCCTGGATGTGTTCTGTAGAGTCACGACGCTAAGCACAAACGCACATACAGCCTGTGAGCCTACATTAGCAAATATAATAAAGAGAAGTTCATGGAATTCCTGGTTGAAAACTATTCAGAGAGCAGATGGGGACGCTGCAGTGCAATATCCACTGCCGCCTGATCAACTTTTTCCAAAAGCAACAACAAACACTCCTCAGTCTTCAAGGCCCTGTCCTCCATTATTATGCCATAAAAAAGTTTTCAAGGCCACACAGTGTTCTTTTATCCTTGGTCCCTCCCACACTCACAGACACACACACACACACAGAAAAAAAAACAATCTAATCTCAAAGTACTTTGCTCCTCTGGGATGCATAAAGATGACGGATGATGGAAGCAGCAAGTCATCGTAGGGCATAATAGCACATCAAACCAGGTTATGTGCTTCCAGGGTCTATGATATTCATCTACTACACTTGAGTAGATGGACAGGGGGGTTAAAGTACCCCGCGGTCAGATGTAGCAGAGATTTAGGCTAGATTTATGAAACAGTAGTGGTACTAAGAGCAGGCAGTTCAGGGATTCAGTGGATTTAATACTATGTCTCCTAAATCCTAAATCCATAGATGATTCATTTGCCTATACATACTTAACCGATGCATGGTTGATAGCTAATACCTCGTGTGTGTCTGCACTGCAGGGTGGTCCGCCATCTTTTCCAGGAGTTAAAGGTGTACGGGTTGCATTGGGCCCATCCAGCCCCTCTGGTGGATGCTTCCTGCACACAGGGAAACGTATGAATGATTTTAGATAACATGGATGGAAAAGAACTTGACAATATGCATTAACAGTCAAATAATAAAGCTATAGATTATTTAAGTAGGATTACACAGATACAATACAGGAGGAAAACAGAGTGAGAATCCTGTAGTAGCTTCTAAGAACAAGTGGCTTTTCTCTTTTGGCAGTTGTCACATTGCTTGCATCCAGCAGGTGGAGACAGAGAGCCTGGCAATGTGCTGTTTGCAATTTCAGAACATCTGTCTGATATGGCGTTGATAACTTTCCAATATCTCATAACTGAATTAGATGGCAAACTTAACTATCATGTCCCTATTCTTTAAATCATATAGCCAGGAGATGCGGCTTTCCAGATTTCCTGTTGAGTCTGACTTGGCTACGGTAATGAGAGGATGAATGGAGCGACCATGCTACAATTATACCTATGGTGTCAAATATCTCAAATTCCACACAGAAAAAATGTCTTTAATTATTAGGATAAATGGGGTAGAGGATGTGGCAAGAATGCAGCACGTCCATCAAGCAACACAACAAAAGTGCTTTGTGCAGCCCTGTTGACTGAGGAGGCATTACGGCTTTTTTAAAGAAGGGATAATGATATTAATGGTGTGATAGGTGGAGTCTTACAGGAAGATTTACTAATGGGTTAAAAATCAAGTTTGTTGATGCATTTGCTAATGGAAACAGCTAAGTAAGACAGCTCTAGCCCCAAAGTACATCTCTGGCATGCTAGAGCAATATGAACTGTGTAGTCAAATATAACTCCATCTGCAGCACACTTTTTTTCCCACTAAATTCTCAGGTGACCCACCTCTCTGGTGAATCATCCTCATGATGGACATTGTTCTCCACGAGACTCCGACTGAGATTAGACTTCACGTTGGCCTCCATGCCTCGCTTATCCTGCGCTGCCAAACCATGGGACAGGCCGTCCAGCGCTGGGTTGAGGGATCTGGACATGTAGGTGTCGGCCGAATGGGGTCGCTGACGAAACGGGGAGGTGGGACAGGGGGACAGACGGTTGATCAACGGGGTGAGAAGGTCGGCGTGCCCAGCCTTGCTGGGCTTCACCAGGCGGTCCACCTGGATGTTCAGGGTCTGCTGCTGGAAGGCGCAGGTGAAGGCAGCTGAGGAGAGGTTCTGCAGCCAGGAGAGCAGTGACAAGTCCAGCTCATCGCAGCCATTCCCGCACAACAAGTCCAAGCCCAGCAACACCTCGCCCTCTCTGATCTCCTCCCCCGTGGCTTTACTCTGGAAAACACAAATGTGCCATTAGATTGGATCTTGCTTCACAACCTGTTCTGTGAGCCTTCAGGTAAAACTTCAATGAAAAAAAAAATGTTCAAGTATATGAGCTAGTTTGTTGGGTGTAGCAAAGATCCTTTAACATTGCACTCAAGGTAAACTGTCATCGTTTTCCTGTTTCGAGAATTAATACCTGACAGAACTCAACGCAACACTCATAAAGGAGTCCTTTGATGAGTAGTTGAAAGAGGCGGTTCCCGCTTGCTCTGAAACCTGCTTCGCTCAGCTTCCTGTCCGCGGGGATGAACTCGGCCACCATTGCACAGGCCTCCTCGAAGCAGTGAACACGAGCTGTGCTCGGGTTCCAGTCTTTGAACTCTGCGTGGTGGGTCAGACGAGGCAGGGTGAGCAGGAGGCACAACTTGCTGTAGTCGTCTTTGGTCGGGCAGAAGTCCTCCAGACTGTGGAGACACTTGACCGCTTGTTGCATGGTGAGCTCCAGCTGCATGGCAGAAAATTCATGTGAGGCTAAGACTGCGGATGTGATGTATTAAGGTATTTAGGGACTGGTATTTACCAAATGAATGATGACATTTTCTGTTGAATACAAATGTAGAAGATCGCACAAATGCAAAACTGTAATCTGCAACCTTTCTCATTTAAAAGAGAACATATTGTGATGCTTTCTGAGCATATACATTAGCATTACAATTGAAAAACCTCAAATTCATTCCAAATGGGTTTATTGTGTATATAGAATAGTGATGAAATGCTTCATGTATTATAGGCTTTTGAAAGGCTGGCCTTTTCCAGGAGACAAATGAGACTGGAGCTAAATCCTGTATTAGTATTTAAGTGTTATTGTGACAGGTTTTGACAATTAGACCATATAATATGTAATCTTGACAGTTTGAAACAATCTTAACAAGTTAGCCAGTTTGTGTTTTATGCTCTAGTAAAGGCTTATGCTTTCTTGACCAATGATGTACATACATTATGAGGATCTTCAGCTGCTGATATGGCGTTATTTACACACAAAGCTTCCAGAAACTTCTGCTTCAGGATGATGTAACGAAACCTAGGAAAATACATTTAGCCATAAGAAATAGATTTTGGTGATAAACAGATAGGATAAATATGTTTTTGTGTTTTTTTTTTAAATGTAATCCATGTTGCTTCTCTACCTTTTCCTATCAAACTTGTCCATTCCTTCTAAAGGCTGAATGAACTGCATCACCTCCTCCCACTGGCCATCCAGAATGAGTTGCCTGTTGAAAGCAACCAGAGAAAAAATAAATAATTGTTGACCCCATCAGACCTGCAAACATGATGCTTTGGAGGTTGATGCATGTTATAAAAGTTTTTGGAAATGTTTCCTCTTGCATATCATCAAGCGTGCAGTCATACCTGAGAAAGAGCATGTCATCAGAGTAGAGTCCATTAATAATGCCACTCTCTTTCTCCAAAGCCAGCATGCTGATGTGCAGCCTCCTGGAGTTGAGGAAGTCCAGTATCAGCTTGACCACCTCTGCCTCCTTGATGTTGATGGTCTCCTCCGCTGTCATGATTACAGACGTACTGTGGCAGTTTATAGCTGGCTGAAAAATAGACAGGGGGAAGGACACAGGAGTTCTAATGGCAAAGTTAAGTTAAAATAGGAATTACAAAATACCTCACACTGATGTATCATCAAAAGGTTTAGAATGAAGTTATTGTTTACGGATGTTTCCTGTCATCAGGTCCAGGAATGTCAATCATGTCTACTCAACATTTTTGTACACTCAAGAATTCTGTTGTTATTTACATGTATGCTGTTTCTGCTGTCTGGTCCAAAGGTTCTGTGCTTCAAATGTGTTCACATAATCTGCAGGAGAAAGAACAACAGACACAATTAGACACATTTAGCTTCAGGAAATACTTAGATAAACCTTCGAGGGAATATCATACAATTAAGTTATGCATACTGCTGAAATAAAACATGTTTTCAATCATTGCAAAATTACAGGCAATTAGGCTAAAGGTGGTTTTTGATCATTGTGTCGAAAAAGCATTTAGTAAACAGTTAAACTGTAAAGTGTACCCAGGAATGTGCTAATAAATAACAAAATATGATCAGTAGACAGTTCAATCCTATCGATCCTATAGATTTAGAAAGAGGACTGCCTTCCACAGTGAAAAACTCCCCCCTTTTCTCCTTTGCAGTGAATCCATTTGAAATTATTTTAAACAGTTGCAACTGCAAGCAGATTTTAGACCTTGGCAGTGATACAAAAACGTTGCAGTTTTGCAGGGTGGGTAAATCAATGGTTAAACGTAGCTACATCACACGGGCAGTTCTAGAGAGACACTAAGCCGGGCTCAGTCGTCACTGTGCACGGTGTGCTCGTAAAGAGCGGAGAGAGCGGCGATGCCTCTGGGTGGCAGCTGGTGACACCGACTCGAAAAAAAAAATATATATATAAGAACAACGTCTAGCTTTGGTCCTGGGAATGCGGCCCAAACCAGACACACCTTCACCTTGTGCGCGCGCGCGTGACAACACTCGGCTCACCGGACACGCACCCAGCACGAGCAGGCGACAGCCATGTCATTAACCGTCCCCGTAAAACAGCCCCCCGCTCCTCACCTGTCGTTTCGCGCCTGCGACACGCCGCATTTCGGCCGCTTCACGCCCTCCGTCGTCTCCAAACTGATAACCGGGACGCGCTTTATTTAATGGAATCCTATTTCCAAAAAGGCTCCCCTCTGCCTTATTCCTCGTACACAGCTCGCGGTTGCCATGCGGACGCAGATGGCAACCACCAATCAGCTGAAAGGATGACGACCCCCCCACCACGTGGCCACACCCACAATACGCAGCGGACATCAAAACTTTGAAAGGGAATTGACAGATACAGAAAACAGGGAGTTTTAAGGCCATTCTCAGATTAAATCTTAACTGTGTCTGACTGTGTCTGTTTTGCCAAACTAACCTGCTTAATCTGTTAGTATATATTTACCCATTCAACTATACCATGTTGAGCTTTAGCAAATATCCAGGTGTGTTGTACCAAATAAAGCTCATTTAACGAAATCTTTTTCTATTTTCCCTCAAAAACAGGCTACCAAATTCTCCTCTAAATTGGAATGCTCCCCTTTTATGTAAAAAAAAATACTGCAAATAAAAGATGTGGCCTTGGATTAACATTTTATGTGAAAATGTCTGCAATAGCGAGCACACAGACAGGTGCTTTGAGGACAGATGCTGCATATTCCAGCAAACTGAATTGCAGAAATGAATAAAAAAAAATCTCTCCTAAGATCGAACTATGTTACACCCTTCTTACAGGGTTCATTCTGTGCTTCCTAAAGGCTCTAATGTGCACAAGGCTTTTTAGGTTTTGAAGGGAATGATCTTATTTTTAAGGGAGGATATGCAACTGGGAAAGTCATTGTTGTCACACATGAAAAATGAGGCCATGCTTAAGTTTATTGAATGGAAAACCCAAAAAGTAATCGAACCAAAATGAGACTACAGGTTCTGTAGTGTGCTGAAAGGATGGGCAGCATCTGACAAAGGAACTGTCATGAGTAGGCAACTTACATCAACATAGGGTACAGTATCATTACACATTAAATTATCTTTTGTTTTGTTTTTTCAATAAACAAAAATGAACATCCCTCCATTGCACTGAGATACATTTTTGAAAACATGTACATGCTCATTTTTGTTCATAAATGTCCCTGTTTTTTAAAACATGAAATGTCAGGTTTGTTTCGTTTAAAAATGATTTCACATTCAGTAGCAAAGAAACATCATACTGACATAAAGTAAACTTTATGACAAACCTCTACCCGTATGTCACATTTCAGACCCATTTGCCTGATTTTGTGTTTCTTTATAGGGACTTTTTTTTAAAAGTCAGACAAAAATCACTGACCTAACAGATGTTGCATTTATTGGTGAAGACAGGAAAAAAGTACTGCCAACAATGACACTTTCCTTAAAAAATTTGTTTCCATTAAACCCACTTATGCAGATAAATCAATCTAGACACTTTTTTTAATGTGACATTTTTAATGAACGGACCCATTTTTCAAAATATATCAGAAAAAGAAGTACTTCAGCCTGCAATCTAGCATAAGCACAATACCTATTACACAAGGGTGCTTTGTGGAAGTGACTTAAATTTATAATGAGTGGAGTTATTACTCAGATACGTTTCTTTAATCAAATACTGTTCATGTACCAGTACAATTTAACTCAATATTGTCAATATAAATAGCAATATCATATGTGTTACTGGTCCTTGCATTTTGAAAAACATGTTCATATCAGAAAGTGGAAGTGTGATTTTCATTATCGTCCTCATTTTCTGCAAAAAACCCTTCATGGTGGCAGCATTTCCAATAAGAAAAATAACAATGACTGTTTTATTTGTTCACAAACCTGCTGTGAATCAGCAACTCGATGCTCTTTAACAATGGCTATCAAATGTTTTGAGTGATTCCACTCCGGCTCCAACTATCAGTTGAATTTAATCACAAACAGGTTCGTATGCTCGGAAAAAAGTTTAACATGATTAAGCTTGCATGTTAGAAATATATTTATCCACCAATTTTCATCGGACTGTGAATCATCTGCAGGAGAAGCAGTGATTTATAGATTTCTCCTACGTTTTTTTTTTCTCCAAAATCACCTTTGTACAAAGGGTACTGAAAAAGCTGAAACCGTTTGACTTTGTTGAGCTGAACACACATGAAGTGTGTGGCTGAAACTAGCTGTATGTAATCACTTTTTTGTTTTTTTGGCCCTTTGTAGTATTTCGTAGCTTAATATACAAACTGTTTTACCCACAGAGATTAAGAACAAGTTGTTTTTTTCTCGCAAACACAAAGACAGAAAAAGCTTCTGCTTTACAAACACTTCATTGCAATCACAGGCGAAAAAATCTAATGCACATAAGGCCACACACATCCGACAGGATAATGCTAATCATCAATCAATCATTCAAACAATCAACCAACCAATCAATCAATCTGTACATGAATTAAAAAGTTTCAGTGCTTCAGTGTAACAGGTAAAATGTCCTAGCATTCATAGTGTCTCTTTTTTGACGTTTGGCACATAGAAAACAAACTTTACTCACAAATGCCTTCATAAATGAACCCAATTGTGACAATCTCTAAAAGGAGAAGCGATCACATCATTCTTCAACAGTTTCATACATTCCAGTTAATTTACTTTGAAACCAGTGACATCCAGTCCGGGGTATGCAGGATTGACAAGGACAGGATTGTAATGAGAGGAGAACTAACATTAAAAAAGATAAATATGCATTCATCTAACTGGCATTGCAGGTGTTTGAATCTTCATGGAAATCTACAGTGAAGTGCAAATTGACATATGTGTTTAGGATGGGGGGGGGGCAGAAGTGTGTTAAGTTCCATTAGGACTGCGCAGGCACTACTTTTTTAGGGGTGGCTGGCTTCTTGGTTTGCCACAGGTGGTTGTGGATGGTCACTGCGTCCACACTGGCCGACATGGTTTTGGCTGGTATCTGACTGAACTGCTTCTTGTCTGAGTTGTACTTGTAGAGCCCATCGACCATCTTGCGGGTGATGCTCTTCGGGCCGATGCCTGCGAGCTTGTTGATCTCCTCCATTTCCGGGCAGTAGGTGTAGAGAGAGCGGAACTGGCAACCTGCATCTCGGAACAAAACCAGGAAGTTGTTTGCCCCCGACTTCTCCATTTCCTGTTAAGATCAAGGAAGTGGAGGTAGTTAGATATCAATGTGTTACATGCTTTTGGAGTCTTAGAACACTGCGACTCCTACTTTGAACCTACTCATATCTGTACTCCTCATGCGTCTTGTTTTTAAACCTCTTTCTATGGAACTGGAATGCTATTTAGGCCGTCATTTACATGAACTAAGATGACTCTGACATCGTCATCTCAGCTGAATCATGGCATGAACCAATGAAAAAACACTCCGTGCAGCTACCTCCAAGATCTTGTTCTTTTGCGCCTCGTTGACCTTGCCTGCGAGGCAGCAGTGGGCCAGAGCGTTTTGGATGATGTGCTTGTTAGACTTGGCACTGGGCTCCTTGTACAGCTTCGGCCCTGAATGACAGAAAACAGAGCAGAGAACGTCACGAGGCGGCTATTCCTTTACCAACCGCTCCAGCGACATCACAGAAAAGATCTCCATCCTTATTTTTACTCTCTTCTGATAAATCATGCATGAAGACTTCTGCGTGTCAGCAGCTGGGCCGACAAAAGGAATGTGAGTGATGAATGCATGATTCATGACAAACATTGCAAAAGAGAGAAGACGTTTTTTCATCTGCGATTCTTTATGTAATTAATAAAAATGAAAAACGAAAAACAAAGAAATCTAAACAAAACTCTGGATAAACAATTGCCATTAATTCCTAAAAAGGAATGTATTATTTCTCTGGTATAAATACCTCCCAGATAAAATGGTCATGGGGTAAACTTACTCCATGCATCAATCAGACTCACCAGTATACTCTGTGTTGGATGTAACAGATGAGGTGGTGGATCCATTTTCCCAATCCTTTTCTCCATTTTTGCTGCTGGACCGACTGGGGGACAAGAAGCCGTCTGCAGAGTCGGGCCTGAAACGCGCAGATGGACTTTTGACTCTGATCACGAACACTCGGCAAGTCAGAACGCAGAGCCTTTGCTCTGTTTGACTGTCAAAAGCCGGGGATTGGTTTGACATTCTTACAGTGAACAGCAAAGCAGCAAAGCTTGCAAGCTCAGGCAGCAAGTGTGGTGTGGTGCAATAAGGTCAAGAAAAAGAGGTCAATCAGGAAAAGAGGTCAGTCAAAAATAGTGCATCCCTTGCTCTTTTGGTGGAAGAGGATTAATCGCTGGTACACACCGGCAGACTGACAAATAAAGAAATGAATTCCTCTTATTTCACTGGACTTCTAAAGCTTGAGAAATTGACAATACAACAAGCAAACCTTAACTGGTTGTGCTTTTGATGAAGGTAAACAGACCAACATTAACAAGCCATTTTAGCTTCCATTTTACTTGCAGTGTGTTTAGAAGTGGCATTAAATCTTTAATGTCTTTACGTATTGGAACAGGAGCTGACTAAAAAAATAAGGCATCACTCTTGACTTAAGATGGTGTTTAATGCAGGCTGACTTCTACAAAGCTGTGACATGGCTTTCAGAAAAAAAAAAGGTAATCTTTTTGCGGTTTTGGAAAAGGAGGAAAACAGCAGGTGTGTAAACTGGCGAAAAAGGGACAGCAGGGTGGTGAGTGGAAAAATAAAAGTGACCGTTCTCTGTCAAAGCTCATGCAGCATCTCACTGTAGAGCATCAGCCTATGTGCGTTGCACATTCATACCCAAATAGCCTAGCTTTTGGAGCATTTATCTACTCCAGTGGACTGCCAGCGGGACACATCAGTTTAGCTGCAGTTTAACTGATTAAAACCTTCGAGCCCACAAATGCTGCAAATTGTTTCTCACCATGAGATGCGTTGCTGTGCTTTCAGAGAACTGTGATTACTGTGGTGATTGAGTGTGTGGTGGTTAAGATGTTAGAGGAAAGAGTAGCATTAGATCAATGCTGGGGATTTTTTTTTTTTTTTTTTAGTGTTGCAGAATATGTATAGGAAAAACCCATTGTGGGAATGGGTTTCAGGGCAGGATTGGGACAGCATGAAGTCAAGAAACCAACCTTCTCCTTCTTAGTTTAGGAGAGCTCAGAAAGTAGAGGAGACTGCTAGAGGCTAAACTAGAACTTCTGACAAGTGAAACAGCAGGAAAGAAAATAGTAAAAGGGGAAGATTAGAAGAGAACATGTTCGTCAGTCTGAATGTCCAACCAAATTCACTGTTCATGTATGTCATATTCTGCTCAGGAAAAACATAAAATGTGACAAATACCTCTATTCATTGCTTTAATGATACATAAAATGATTGCTGATTGTTAGTGGCTTATCAACAGTTATGTTAAAGTATCAGACAGGTTTAAATAATACAATATTAATACAATACAGTGAGCGGTGACAGAAGGGACAGCATTTTTCTAAAACTTACCTCGGCGGTCTCTTCTCAGACTGAACACTGTCGCTGTCGCCCAGGTTGAGGGAAGCGAGGGACAAACTGGAGACTGAAAAAACATGTTGCCGTGAACCTGGATGTGACACAACAAAATGTGGCACGGCATGACAAAACTACAGGGACACCACAAATGAACACAACACCCGACTAGCTGCTCGCTTTTGTGCCAACCGTTTAAGAGAGCAATGGACTGAGGTGAAGTCCCATACAACACGTGGAAAAAACTGGATGAAACGTGCACTGAATCAATTCCTAAAATGCAACATTCTGTGTAATAAAATATAGAAAAACCAAACAAGGTTAACTTTAACGTAATCGAAAAAGAGCAGCAGCAGGACACAGATTTGACAGATGGGATGACCATGACCTCACTGGTTGGAGGATGTCTCCATGGTTACCTGTGGCAGCTCTGACGGGCGTCTTGGGGGAGTCCATGCTGTCACGGTAGATAGACTTGGGCCGGCCCCGCCTCTGTTTGGCTCCACCAGCTGGTCGGGGTTTGATGACAGTGTCCATGTCCTCCATCAGCTTCAGCTGCTTTCTCCTAAGGTACTCCTGCTTGATGAACTCCTTCCTGGCCTTTTCTTCCTCCTTCCTTATACGTTCCTCCTCTGCTTTCAGACTGAAAAGAAGATGAAATTGTTGTAGAGACAACTGCTGACAAAAAATAAAGGATTTTTAGTTTGATATTTAAGGACATAATACTAGTAATATATTTATAAATGTATTAATATGTATATACAACTTTTTGAGAACTGATAAATATACTATAAAGGCTTGTTGGTGTGGGATTCACCAATATCATGATGAATTTTGTTAGTTTAATCACACACTGAACATTCTTGGGTTTTGTTAGTCGTGGAACTAAACATTTGATACAAATACATGATTTTCAATTTTAGAAAATTAAGAGCTTACTATTAGCTCTATTTTATTTTTATTATCTATTATTTTCCAGAAATTTAAAAACGAGTGAGTTAATAAATCAACAAATTAAAAAACAAAATAAAAAAAACAACCCTCAAAGTGAACAGCAATGATTTTGTTGCACTTAAATTGCTTGAGTATCTATAAAAGTAATAATTATCTATAAAAAGGAAGGAAATCAGGATCTAAGATAAATTTGAAGATGGTTGGAATGGAACATAAATTATATAAAAGCTTGTCACACTGTTGTCGGCAGACAAAATTAATGAGTAACACTAATCATTGAATTGCATTACTGAATATAATATCAGCTCATTCATAAACGGATATTGTGCAGAAATGTTATCTCGTATAAAATCAGACTTTCCACTTTTTGGCCAATTCATTAAAATAAGCAGGAGATATTAAGCTGCATACCGAGCTTCCTCTTTCTTCTGCTCCTGCTCAGCCTCCAGCTGCATCTTTTTCTGCTGGGTCTCTTTCTCTCTTCTCATCCTTTTCTCCATTAGTGCAGCCCTCTTCTGTGCCATGTTCTCCTCTGCCTTTCCTTCCTCCTGAGGAAAACAAATGCAGCCGTCTTACACTATTCAACCGAGTTCAGAAGTGAGTGAAAGTTCATCGATAATAATAATTACTATAAGTGGATGTAACTCATTTTTAACTTATTCTTTAACTGGTTTCTCATAAACCGAGTTTCACATTGTGAGATACAGACATTCATTGTCATCCATTAAAATTTCTGTTTAATTCTAACATTATCTTTCAATTCTGAATACATTAATAAAATCTTGGAGACATGACAGAGATTTTAGACCAGGTGTTTTAAAACAGTCCTTTCAATTAGTTGTATGTGCCAAAATCTGACTTTACATCTTTTAAAATAGGTCACATTTGCTGTGAAGATAAAATGACACAATAATTCAATTATTATTAATTTACAAAGTTAAATTTGATGCATCTTCTAATTTACATTCAGACCAATTTCATCTCAACTTTCCTTGATGTGACTATCGCTCTTAAAAACCTTACATTTAAAGCGACAGTGCCTGAATTATTTACAGCAGCCCCAGTTTACTGACCTACATCTGAGCCCAGACGGCGGCTAACAACAATTCTGCGCACTTTAAATAGGGAGATGTTGCTGTCCCCGTGTGGAAAGCCTCTTTGATGTTTGGAACAGAAAGGTTTCCTTATGAAAACAAATATGGCTGCCCTTTGCAAGGGCATAATAGCTTTGTTCATGACAATTTTCAGTGATTTGCACTGCAAGGCATGCAAGCTGTGATTTTTACAATTTCATGCAACCCCCAGCAGGTAGGTCATATGGGATGTGTGATAACTAGTAAAATGAAATTGACCAATGCCTCAGATGGACTTCCTGTAATCTGCTACATTTGAATGTTACCTTGAAGAAGAAACCACGGCAAATCGTTTGTTCGTCGTCCATGCTCTCCATGTTTCCCTGCTCAGCCTCAGAGCCGTCATCGATTGTCAGGTCCTCAAGTGGCTTCACGACTGTCAGAGGAACCTCAATCAAACTGCTTTTGGCCTGACAGAAGGGTTCTGGCTGTGAGGGGATCTCTGTGGGTGTCACTGTGAAGGTTTCTACCACCGGGTGGGCTAGCACCTCAGGGAAGAACGACTCTATGGCTGGTTTGAGTTCTGTAAATGATTTCTGAACTTGCTCTCTCTGGTATTGCGGTTCCACGTAATTGATTTTCGGATTATATTTGGCATCTTTTTCAAGGGTCTGGTCACTTGTCTCCACTTCGGTTTCTTCTCTTTTGTTGGGAGAGCTGGGGGGCGATTTGGCTGCGCATATACTTGCCACTTCCTGCTCCGGGGACAAGAGCGAATCTATCTCCTTGTGTTTAGACTGGTCTGCTGCTAGTGTCTCTGGGCTGGCAGTTGCTGGCTTCTCCCCCATGTAAATGAAGGTGCTTACTAAGGGCTGGCAAGGAGAAAATCTACGGAGGCGTGGGATGCTGTCAACAGACTGTGGGGCAGTCAGGACTCGATTGTAAGGGGCCAGTTTGAGCTCGCTGGGCCGAACGGTGCGGGGATTGCGGGAGTGGAAGGAGGCAGACTTTCGTTTGATGCTGGTGGGCGAACGGTGGGTGGTGCAAGGCGAGTCGACAGGAGAGGACGGCCCCGACGACCGGGTGACGGCTCCACCTCGAGTGTGTTTTTGTGGCGACGGGTTTGTATGCGGAGGAGCGATGACCCATGCCTGCTGATGTTGTTGCCCCCGCATGGCCATGATCACTTCCTGCTGCTGAGCTAAACGCTGCATCTCCGTCTGGAGGAAGGCCAGAGAGTGGTTGAGCTTCTCGATGGAACGCGTATACTCCGAGAGATCCACTTCGGTCGGCTGTGCGTGGCTTGGCCCACCCTCCTCACCGCCACCTGGCGTTTTGCTTTGCCAACAGGAGGCCGTGCTGTTTTGTTCTGCCCCGTCAGGTGTGTCCGCCTTGCTCCTTCCAAATTTAAAGGTGGGACTTGTGCTTGCCGACTTTCCCTCCCCCTCGGTTTTCCGCCCCTCTTCTGCACTGGCCGCCCCGTCGCCTTTCCTCTTCACCACATTTAAGAAGGCCGAGTGACCCATCTTTTGCCGATGCCTTGTGAAAGCAGCCTCCACTTTCTTCTTCTGTGCTTCTATAGCTTTCCTCTTCTCCTCCAGCCTCATCCTTAGGTGCACCATCTCTGTAGCCATGACCTGGGCAGGATCGTTCGGCGGAAGCTGGACAGGAGTTGGCGAGGCCTGAGCTGTAACGGGTGTAGCAGCCTGCTGTCGGACGGGGCTATGTTCCGGGGTTGGTGCCCAGGACACAGACAACGGAAGGCCAAACTCAGAACCCTCTGGGGTGGTCTTCATAGAGCTGCTGCTGCCTCTGCCTGAATCCGGTGCGGACGGACTGAGTTTTCTCATCTTCTGCTCGGCAAAGCTGGTCATCTTCACTCCCGAGGGGGACTTGCTCTGATTGCTCGGACACGGGCTTGGTGAGTCCACATCCAGCTCCATGTTCACGGAGCAGTCTTTCAGAGAGGAATCTTCATCCAGCATGTCTTCTGTTCTGATATGAACGCCGGTGTCGACCTCTGCCGTGTCTGTGGTACTCGAATGTTCTTTGGTGTCTAGTTCTGACACCGGGTCTAAGGTGCCAACCCCAACTCCATGGCCCTGACTGTGGAGAAAGAAACCATTGTTGATGCCCTCTACGGGTGGCCTACTTGGGCTGTGGATTATCTGGAGGGCCTCCTCCATGGAGGGAGCCGCTCCCATGACACTTCCATGACCGTTGGGGAAAGATTGCCTGTCAGGCTCTATATCTGCTAGGCTCTCTGGACAGCCCTCCTCTTTAATGCCAACACTTTGGCCATTCACCGGCTGGAAGGACAGATTACGCTTCATTCCACGGGGCATTTGGTGAACTTTGAAACCCGATCCATCATCAGTACTGACAGACCTGACCATTCCACGTGTGGAGGAAATGTGGGAAGGAGCAGAGTCCTCTTTATCAAATGGAATGTCAAAAGAGACTCCATAAGGACCAGACCTGGACAGGAAAAGGAAAACATGCCGATCACAGTCAGTTTGTCTTACCGGTAATTACTAAGTGATGTGATCTTTCAGGAACAGGATGTGTTCCTCACCTTTTCTCTTTGGGCCAAGTGCCAAGGTTTCCATCAACAAAAGACATTGAGGTAGACCTCTTGATCTCTCCTGGATCACACAAATAAGCAAAGTTAAAAAAAAGCAATACAACAGAGCATATTTTGACATCTCCTCTTAATAACATATATTTACTCATAAAGATTGTTATATTGACCTGAGTTTCGAGGCTGGGGACGGAGTGGTAAGCTAGAGAATGGGAGACAGAAGAATCCATTATATTTATTTTGTTGTTTGACTTAATGCCTACAACATTTCAAACCGATCACCAGACTAACATACCTGGGTCTTTCAGGACTTGGAGGTCTCTCCATGAAGCTTCTCTTAGTTGCCTTGGAGATGGGGATTGCTTGTATGTTCTTCAACAATGAAGAGGGATCTGACACAGCAGATGCAAATTTTCAAACTGCCCTTCAACAAGGCATCATGCAATTTTCTCCCAAGATACAATATAGGTACTATTTAAATTTCAGAGCAATGAAAATGTAAATTTGTAAATTTAGACTGACCTGTGACTTCATTGTCCAGCACTCTTGGTTTCACGAAAGATGGTTTGACCACCTCAAACCACCAGAACAGCTCTGCCATGAACACCAGGTAGTTATTCTGGTGAATAGAACAACACTTATCGGTTCTATCCAATCAGCCAAGTCAAAGAAAGAGAAAGAGAGACTTGCTGTATGGTACAAGTAGCTGCATTACATGCCTTTCTCCAGCAGGTGTCACTGTTGATTGCAAGTAATAGGTTAACTTCTCCACTACTCATCATTATTAATAAAAATACAGTTTCCAGTGTGCACAAATACCTTCAACATTTCTCAATTTTACATGTAATTATATTAAAACTCATAGCTCAAACTGCAGAGGCAATATTTTCTTCATAAATCTAGATAATGTAATCATCAATATACTTTTTCACATGCTTGATAAAAAAGAATCTTCCATTTAAATAAAAGTAAAAATAGTCAGACCATGTGTTAGTAACAGGGAGATATGAAACAATTGATGTCATTTTCATGACAGAAGAGAGCTCTCTTAAGTCACCAGCATGCAGCCTATCAGCTGAGCTGAAGGTGAGTTATTTCCATGTTTCAGTGACGGCAGCATACAGTGGGAGGTAAAATTACTTTACGTCCATCTTACATACTGCTCTTTCTTTCCTTGCAGCATAAATGTGCTTTATGGACTCCATAATGGCTTAACACTGGATAACATTTGTTTCAGAGACCATGATTCAGTATAAGAGAATTTCACTTCAGGTTTTGGCAACATTTAAAATATGAATTTCCAATTATCTGAACCACACCAGCATAAATGGATATGAAACAAAGCCACTAAAAAAATCTTTTGCATGCATTTTCATGATATACCAAATTAGGCATTGTTTCTGGGGACATGCTTCTGTTGCAGCACCTCACGTGCACACACATATATATGCAAAGTGAGTGAAAGAACGACCTTGAGGAAACACACCCTCACTCTACCCTCAGACTACAGTCCCCAGACAAAGGCAGAGGCATGGCTCCGCTCCAAAGATGCCTGAATCACCTCATCAGCAACATTTTGTTCTGCCAAGCAGCACACACAAGTCATGCATAGACATCATAAGCCCTGAAACTGCAGCGCTGAAGCACACCAGGGGGGCAGAAGCAATTAACATCAGTGACACTGGCCTGCTTCAGTTCACACTGCAGCATTTTACGCTTCTCCTCTTTCAAATGTTGGATAACTTGAACTTGACTTATGTACATCCCAGTGTGCAGAACTTCTACAACAGACTCTTTTGTGTGAAACAAAAGACCAAAGTAAGTAAAATAAAGCAAACAAAATAAAAACAAGCAGAAACACAAATATATATAATATTACAATCCAACATTTAGATCGAACGTGTAAAAATTAAGAGTTAAGACTTATGAGTCTCCAGAATTAAGAACTAATGTAAAGTCAAACCATCTGGTTTACCTTTTGGTTTGTTCAGCCTCTGAAGCATTCCTCAGTGGTCAAGATGAACAAAAAGAGAACAAAACCAGCAAAAAAAAGAGGGAAAAAAAGGAAAAAATACTGACAGAAAGATGGACGAATCTCCTCCTGTTCTAATTGCCCACAGTGGTGAAAACAACCAAACCTCACTTATTCTCTCTGCATCATCTTGCCTGTCAGACACACCAGGTGAGAGTGTTAAATATTTAATTCCACCCTCGAGCAGACGGTCACACACATCCCTCAACAACCAACCACTGCACCACTGCCACACCTACCTCCACACTCACTGGCTCTACTATCTTGTGGGCTGCCCGGTTTCCAGCATTGCCAGATTGGGCCGTTTGGACATTTGAGTGTGTGAGTGGTAGGCAGAGGATTTGAACCTGATTGGTGGTAACAAGAGGAGAGCTAAGAGTTGTAGATTTAGTTGGTTGGAGTAGAAGGCGGGTGGGGGGGTTGGCTAATCCACTCTGCAGGGATCCGCACACCTCTATCGTTCACAGGCAGTCAAAGTAAAAACACCCAAACACAAGGACAATGTGCATCAGTTTAATCTATAAAAATGTTCATGGCAGAACACTTATGCAGACCCTAAAAATGATGTCATCCAGAGCAGCATCAGACAAGGCCAAGCCACACACAGAGCATGCAGAGGGCATTAATCTCAACAATCACTGGGCCAGAAGGTTGATTAAAGGATCTAGGTCCGCCAGCCAGCCAGCCAGACTCACTCCAATCTGGAAAACCCTCTCTTTCATTTCCTGCCAAGCTTACCCCGCGAAAAGAGGTTACGTGAGAGCAAAATGTAAAGAAGGCTTCTGAGGACATAACCCCATAATTTGATATTGGAAAGCTTTGTAATAAAATAGTCAGAACATTACAAAAAAAAAATTGTTGCCTCAGCTCGTCCGATGATCTACTTAGTAAAGTTTTTCAAGAGTGTCAGCCAAATGTGATGCTCTAAATTCAAAATAAAACAGAGAAATCAGTTTGTGTTTAGTAGCCAAACTGCTAGTTCTTTTAGAAAGTGGGACAGTTGAAATGCCTGTGTGCTACTTTTTGGCAGATGAAACGTCACAGTGGGGCTGCTGCTCTTCATTACCGACTTCTACGATAGACAGAGAATGGACAAATGACTAATTGGTAGTCATGTTAAAGACGCAGCTTTTGCTTTACAGTCGGTGTGCTAATTTGTTTCCTTTGGGGCAAACCCAGCATGTTTAGTATGAAGCTCCTGGTGGAAAAGAAGCCGGTAAGAGGGATGGTGAATTTAATTTCTCCTCCCTGGATCCACAGATGGTAGCTTAGGCGAGCCGTGAATTCATTAAAGGTAAAGCTAGTAAATGAGAGTGGGTTGACGTGACTTACTGGCCAGTGCCCATTAGTAAAGAGTGGTCCTCAATAATGTAGGCAATATATGTCTTGGGGGGCAGATTCTGAAGGATAATACTTTGTCCTTTATCAAGGATGATGGTGAACATGGTGTGCAGTAATCCCATCTTTTCTAAGCAAGCAAAATGTAGTGAAAGGGAAGTGAAACATCCGCTCACTCAGGCAGTTTCTTTGTGTAGTGCTCCACATATTCAAACAAAAATGAGCAAACCATTGTATGAACACACAGTATTGAATATTCACACTGTAAAGCCTCATGTCAAGTTTTACATCTACATGTACATGTATATTCAAAAGAGTGTGTCTGGATTTATATTTTCACATTTAAACAAGGAACATTTGTATTGCACACATTTAGATCCCTTTGTTAATTTAGCCTCAGTTGATCTTATACATTTTTTTAATATGATTAGGTGTATAACTACAAGTTTATATGTATGTTGTTTTTAAAATTTTCTTAACATGACCTGTTTCTGGGAGTCTCCCGAGAGTTGGCAGGACGGTTCAATTCAAAGGTTCCAGCATCTGTTGAAATGGGTTCAATTATCAAATGTGGCCTGTAGAATTATATCAAGAAAGGGAGGACTTCTTTTTATATATGAAAACAACAAGCAACTGCCATGTTGATAAATTTTAAAAGTGTTTTATAGCTTTTCGTAGCAGAAATTATCAGAGTCCAATCTTTCAAACTAACATGCAATCGAAGAATCAACTCAAAATGAATTTTGTGTTAATTTAGTGTCAGTGTTTTTGCTGGTATAACTGTTAATGTTCTTTTTCATGACTGTCACCCTCACTCCTCACTCCGATCATTTGTTTCACACTCTTATCATTTTTCCTTGCCTTTTCTTTCCTGTTCCCATTTTCCTCCTTTTTAACACCTCTCTCCTTTCGCCGCCCCTTTAATGTCTCAGCTCAGTCTCTATAATAAGGTCTCCATTAGCACGACAGAGCCACTGAAGATGTGCCTAGCAGGAATCTGGGTCAAGGTGACTGAGTCTGTGTGGTTCTGCGCTCAGTTTTGGCTGTACTTTGCTGCTTCTCTCAGGCAATAACTCTGCCCTGCTGGGACTCTCTTGTCCCTCCAGAAATCAGTGTCAGCAAAATAATGCTGCTGGCTGCTTCACACCCGTCAGATGTTATTTATTTTTACTCAGAGGGTACTTGAAATTGCTTGGCGCACGAAACTCTGCAGCATGGAGCAAAATTTAACTATATTTAAAACGATGAAGCAATAATGTTGGATTATAATATATTACCATCAGGACCAATATTACCATAGCTGTCATTGTGTTATGTTTGTTATGTTGTGTTTTAAAAATGATATCAGTCCCATGTTCTGTCAGTGTTGACAGGTTCTTCCTTTCCGCCCTGCGTCTAAGGACATGCTGAGATGACAGTTAAGGCAAAGCCAAATTCATCCCTCCCGACATGTCAGCTTAGTGTTTGCGCTGCTCTAAGGCAAAACACACTGGCCAACTCGAAAGGAACAAAACAACCAGCTGGAAAGTAGAGTTTTGTGACAACACCAGAGAAAAAGAAAGCTGCCCTGATAACAGAGACACAAAAAAGGTCAGCAGAATATGGTATAAAAACATAGAACTAAATAGAAGTTATCAAAAAAAAAACTCTGTCCCTGTCAAAAACATTTAAAAATAACAAAGCCTCTTCAAGTTGTACTGGCAGATCTCAAGTGACCAATGTACAGAGCGTTTTCAGCAGATGAAGGAAGAAAAAGTGGGGTTTGGTGGATGCTTAATGGAAAAAACAGGAGCTGTTTTTAGGACAGACGCAACAAGCGAAAACCTCACTGTGTAAGGAAAGGAAAAAAAACAAATGCATGGCTGGGAAAGCGTCCCGGATGAGTTTCTCCAAGTTTGTAGCTGGGGAAGACCGTTTGGACTGGGATGTTTTTCCACCGAATGACTCACCACACTGGCCTATAGTCCCACTCATTTCCCTTCTCTCTTTTAGCCAATGTAACCATAGACAACCACACCGCAATCATTTCTTGTGTGTTTTGTAGAAAAAGCAGCTTCACTCGGTTATATAGTTCGAACTAACAGGAGAATCACCAGCAGTGTGTTTGTTTTGTTGTTTTGTTATATTTACATGCTCCTTACCTTGATGGTGGAGGAGGCATAGAGCATGTCCTCCAGACTGAAGTGGCAGCAGCTATTGAGGTTGTCTTTGCAGAAGTCTTGAACGAGCTGCAGGTTGCAGAGTCGATCAGCGAGAGCCATGTTCTCCTTCAGACAGACATCTGGGAGGACAGAGGGAGCCATCAGTGAACATGAATCTGTGGTCTGTGACACAGAAAGGCCACTAGCAAAGTATTGACATTATTAGAGTATTGACTGTATAGATATTATGCAGAGTGAAAAGAGTTGCTGCTGTTTGAAAAAGGAGAGAATCGTGCCGCTGTTTTGATTTACAACAAACGAAAGATGTATTTTATCAGTTTATCCAGCCAAAGGACTCAGCAAACAGAAATCTTAACTTCTAATTAATAAACAAATCTCCCTAGTGTTCCTGTTTCCTTACCGTCTAGAGACACCAGCTGTGGACAGAAGAAGTGCAGCAGTGCACCCAGGGCTGAACCATCTGTGTTGTCTTTAAGAAGGTTGTCCACTGGGGGGATCCAGGGAGCTGTCTGGGTTGAGGACTGATCCTTCCTATAGCGAGCCTGCACAACATACAGCATCTTTACCCAAACTGGCTTGTTCAGATATTATTCTGCTTACATCCACAGAGCCACATTTGTCAAGTTCTTCCTTCTTTTTCATCTACTGATGTAAAAGCAGGCCTGCATAATGAGGCCACTCTCACACCAGCTGACCCTCAATAAGCTGGATCTTTAAAGCAGCAACAGATGCTTTAAAAGGCAGCATGACTTCATTATTTCTACTCAAAGATGATGGCACTTAAACTGATCCAGGCATTTGGAGCTATAGTACTGAAATGTGTTAACTGGAGAAAAGTGATGGGGAACAATGGCTGAGAATAAGTTTGAACAGTTCCTGTTTTTTTGTTGTGTTATGTGTTATGTTGTGTTATGTGTTATGTTATGTTGTGATCTGATGCTCATTTTTAGTCCTCGTAATACAAAAAAACAATATCATCTATCTGTTAACATTACGTCAGCCAAAAGGATTCAGTAAGGGTTCACCATTGTCTCCATTTTATGCCAATTTCCCCCAGAAAATCCAATCAATATAGGCTACATGATTTTTTCCCTCCTTTCTTGCTTCTGGCCTAATCCCCTGGGACCTTTGCGGTGATTCTCGAAAGGGTAACGGCAAGGACAAAGCAACCTTCAGATAAACATTCCTTGTGTCTACATTGATTTTAGTGCGCTCCAGCTTTAAGTGCAGCAGTCAATAAATTGAGGAAATGTCATCAAAAGATTTACGCTGATCATTTGCTGTGTGTAAAAGCACATGGCTGTGCCGCACGGGGTCACTTGTTAATCAGAACAGAAGCCGAGAGACTGACTCTGTGTTTATGTAACTGAAGTCACAGGTTGACAATACACATCCAGTGAAATGATTCCAAATATGACAGGAAGGAGACAGAGGGAGGAAAGAGGATCACCACAGACAGACAGAAGGAGCACAGAACTGATTAGTTGACTTACAGGCACAAGCTTCATGTACCACTTGGTTGGAGACTGCAGGGGTAGAGCGAGAAGGAGAAAAACGAAACAACAAAGACATACCGGTTAGTGAGATTAGTTCACGAAGCAATTAGCACAACAAAGAAAGACAACTGTGTTACTAAAGGTGAAGAAAGAAGTGTGTTTTTGAGTGCACATCAGAGAGATCCCACTCATCAGCTTTGCTGAAATGTTCCAACAAGGTCAAAAGAATTTGCTTTCCAAAGAATGAACGTTAAATTGTGCTCCGACTGCTTCAGAGGCTTGCTGTCATTGTTTCTCAGTGAAGACAAGAGTGAAACTCTGAACATGTTTTTGTCAGTTTGTGTCACAGCAGCTAAACGAAAGTCGCGTTTTGAAGCTCACGAGTATTACGATACGAATGGAGTACCAGTGGAGAAAGTAGCGGAATGCTGATGTTCTTTTGCCCGAGAAAAAAACAAATACATAAGCATATCTCCGCTTCGGTAACAGGGACGGCTGAAATGTATTCATATATAAAACAAATGATTTATTTCACTTTGCAAAACAGCTTTATATCTGTGTGTGTGTGTGAGTGAGCCTGGTAAATGTGTATCCTGAAAGAAAACACAATAACAGTGAAGGGACCAAATCACTGTCACGCTCTGTCAGTGGAGGAAACTCATCTAATAACACTTCTGCTGCATTAGCGTCTCCTCGCTGTCACCCATCCACTGACAATGTAAGCTGTACAGAAGAGGCTTGCCTCTGTTAACCGCTAATTCCCACTCAACCAACAGACATTAAAAACCCAAAGTGTATGCGCCAGTCATAGTGCCTGGCAAGCCCCTAAATTCAAAAGTAAGCCGTGAATAGTGGGAAAACTCGCCTAGTCTGTATCCAAACTTTAGGTTAAAGAATAAGTAAAGGGGCTCTAAGAGAAAAAAAAGACGAATAGATGAACGGACGGTCTTGATGTGATTAGTGTCATGTCTCTCTTTTATGGTCATTTTAGCTTCCAGCAGAATTTGATGCCACTTGTGGAACACACCTGATGTACCGTAATCAACAGTTTATTAGTTAATCGTTTCATCTATTTGCCAGTGGGCAAATATGGTCTTTGGAACAACAGAGCAGAACTTCCTAGTAGACCGAATCCTTGGATTATTGGTTCTGTAATAAAAGGGGGGGGCAACATTTTTTTTAGAGATTATTCAGGGTATTTTGGGGGAAAGCAGTACAGGTCTGGCCCTATTTGAGTGATACTCTTTAGACTATTTCCTATTTCCTCAGTCACTGAGCTTCTGTCAAAATATGTTAATCCCTGCACCCTATAATAACATTTATCTATTACACATATTCTGTGATTTTAATAGATGATTTATGCCCGTTAAATAAAGTAATACATTTAAACATGCTGCAGTGGAATGAAATTCAGTGCATTACAATGTCTCTTTGTTGACAAGAGACCTAATCTACCCCCACATCACCTCCCCAGACCGAAAGGCAGACATTCAGGTCAACAGGATTTTGTATATCTGTTTAAACTGTTACAGCCACAGGGCCGTAAAAGTGTAGAAATTCTTCTGGATTTGATTTGATGACGCTAGATTTATAATACGGGCTACAAACAGATTGCTCAGAACTTTTTTTTTAAACTTTCATATAACATGGTTTGATAGCACAATGTTCAAAGGTCAATTTTTCAATCTGAACCTTTGACAAGAGATTATCAGGAATACTAAATGTCTCTTCTTAGTGCCCCTGTTCGAAAATGAAGTGGAGAGAACTGTCTGCTAAACTGCTGATTTAACATTGTGGACTAAACAAGGTCACAGAATATGAACACCAATCAAACCCCTGGGGAGACATGAGGCCCTAATCAATTATCTCCTTGCAGTACAGCACACACACACACGCTGTACAAGAGATTGTACATACACTTATCCCACTCCAGCAACTTCTATTACCCAGCAACTCTACCCAATCTTTATTCTTTAAATTCCTCCATTCAGACATCTTCCACTGAGGTACAGCCGAGCTTTTCAGACTTAAAACGATTAGTTCTCCCTTCCTTGTCCTGATGCAACCTTTGCAGTTCCCTGCTCTGATCCTCCACCCATCCTTACCTCTACAAATAATGCAGTGGGCTCAAATAAACGCTCCCCTAAAAGCACTCAATAACATCATCCGGTTAGAGCCATAATTTTGTTCTGGGAGGACAAGTATCGTGGTGTTCGGCAGAAAGTGAATGAGAATGACTCACTGAAGACGAAGAGCAAAGACAGTGGGACAGTGTGGTGAGTGGGATAAGAGAATGAGTTTCTTCATGTCTTCAGCTCAAATGATTCTCTCTGAAAAAATGATTGGAACTTTAAACTGTCTCAAACACAGCAACCCAAAAAAAACACCATCGACAGGGAGCAGAGTGATCCATGCGACATATCAGTTCATCTGAAAGTGTTCGGCTGCACTATCCACTATCTGACTTTCCCCGAGGTGAGTTTCGATGGGAACAGTGTCTGCCATGAGGATGTAAACACTGTCACGAAAAACACACGCTTAACTACTGCACGTCAGCTGCCCAGAGGTTCAAGTGAATGTTTTTGAGGGGCTGACCTTGGCTCAGAGGGGATGGCAGGCAAACAAGTGGAATAACAAGCAGACATAATCACATAATCTCCAATAGGGAGACAGTCAGTGACAGGATGCCCACATTGCAATAGGGCTTTTCTCTTTCTATAAAAAATAGCATCACAAAAAAGGCTTTTTTCCATATTCAACAAAGCATAAAAAAAATGTTATGGTAACAGTTTTTTGAGTGAACTTCACTTTTAACTTTGGCGTTTGCATCTTGCTGTGTGATTGTAAGGGATGGCTGAGGCGTCCAGTGCTAAGTCTGCACACTGACTGGTCAGGTCAGAGTCAAACGCCGTGGAGGTCTGCACAGCCCTGGGACAAGGAGGGGAAGCACAACGCTGATGCTGCATCACACAGAAAAACTCACACAGTGGAGTTTTACATTTCTGATGAGTCAAAGCACATAAATGTCTTTGGGTATCTCCACACAGAAGCGGCATTGATTCTGAAAACTAAGTGTGTTTCAGGATTTTACCTAACTTGCTCGAAACAGTCCACATGTGATGTTTACAGTGTATGTTGAATGTGAACAGCTGCAGGAGGGAGAGTAGGGAAGAGGAAAAACACTCACCCGAGGACTACCGGCTGGCTCTGCACTCTGGGTTTCCTTCTTCCTCAGCTCCCTCATCACAATATCTTTAAGATACTCATTCACCTGAGAGGACATTGACAAACAAGCAGAATCAAAGACGATATCTCAATCCACCCTTAGCAGTTGTGTTTGACTGATGTGATTCTCGTCAAAAGAAGCTGAAACAAACGTGGATGGGCACTTTGACCTGTGTTTAAGAACGCATTTAACAAATATGACACAAAAAATAAGGACTGCACCAACAGCATAATTGTATTGGCCTTTATTTCCCTTTTCTAGCCTAATATGTCTATTCTACGAAGATAATAGAACTATAATACAACGAGTGCCAAGATTAGAGACGTAAGACGTGAATTAAAATGTTTCTAGATTGAATTAAATCAGAATGAAATTACACTGATGTCCAGAAGAGTTAGATTCAATAGAATGGAGCAGAAAAGAAATGGTTATAAAAATGGTTATAAAAAGTGAGTTTTTGAAAATGAAACGTGCTCCAACAGAGAGCCATATGTCTGGCTGGTGGGACATCACCACCAAATCTCCTGATAACTATTGTCTGTTCTCTCCGAGTGAGTGTAGTCTGGAGCTGGCAGTGGCCCAGTGCTCAAAGAAGAATGCAAACAGACTGGATTCTGCCATACTGTATTGAGGAGCCAAAGCCATCTGTGCAAGCAGGACAAGCGTGTATCTACTAACATATTTAGCTATGAAAAAATTCTGATTATTTGAGGCAAGCAGGTTAGCATATTCATTCGTTTTTTCTGAAACATAGAAACAACAATGAAAAAAAAGACACAGATCAGAGGATTTAGATTTTTAGCCTCAATCCAATGATTTTTTTTTCAATTCCCAGTAGGCTGTCATTAGCCTTTTAGTGAAGAACAGCGTCTGCCAGGCCACTCTACAATATTGTTCTCCCACATCCCAAAACCACCTCTCAATCTAATTCACGGCGACCACTGGCTAACTGGTTCCTTGTTCAAACAAGGTTCTTTGTCTTCTCAGGCTGAGCTGCCAGATTTAGCCAATTTGTTGGAAGGTTGAAACTCCATCCATTTGAGAGTGGATGCTACTCTAGTTTTAAAAAAATAATCTTGCACCATTCCACAGATGAGTGCCTTTTTCAATTAACACAATCCTGCCTTTCCAGTCCAGACTCTTCAGAAGGGAAAGTATTACACGAGTGATGAGAGAATAAACGGAGTGCTAATTTAAGATGAGAAATTTAAAAAAAGCGTGCCTTCTGACGTGTCTAAGCATGCATGCTGTATCGAACATGTTGTCTCTATGGAGATGAAGGCAGGTGTCCTGAACAGATTCGTTGGCATTTAGGTCATTACCTGAAATGCACCAACATGCAAACTATGGTGCACGCAAACACCATTACAAACCTTATTAATCCAGGTGGTTACGGCATCCTCTGTGTCATATGGTGTTTCGGCCTCAGTGTTGCAGGAAGATGATGAATACTGACTCATGCAGGCCATCACTTTCTCCACACTAATGGTTTCCACTGTGTATGCCATCATCAGCGTGTCGATCATTGCAAGGTGGGCACTCTGAAAGTAAAACAAACAAACAAAAACAATAGTTAGAGGGCAAAATCAACAGGTATGTCAGGTTGTTGTTGTAAATCCTTGTAGCTTAGCAGTATATGTAATATATGTGCCCATATTCAATGCACACATGCACACATTTTCTGCATAATAACAAATATTTGTGCAGTGGCAAAAGGCTGCATCTAATTTAAGAGTGAAGAATCACAACAGAAGATACACAAGAAAATGGACCCACTTTATTGACCTGACACTCTGCTATTGGACCATGACCTACGACAGCCTTGCAATAGCAGTAACAGATTGAGATGTCAGGATAAAGACAAACTAGCGGCATCAAGATGATGAAAACGCACAAGCACAGCAGACAGAGACCTGTCACACGCACTGAGAACAAGAGTCTGATAAATTTGACAACAGCACTTTTCAGACTAAGAAAGTAACAGGACATTTTACTCTGGGAAGAAACGTACAGTCATTCAACACATTGTAAGGCATTGAAACTGAGGAGGTTTACTGGACAAACTTCTGCACTATAAATTCTTCAGATGGATTCTCCCCTGTGCCTGTTACCCCAGAAACAAGTGAATCCACCACTTGTCCCAAAATCCACTCTCGTTGTCCCAGAATTCAACGGTCTAAAAAAAAAAACTTTAAAAGCAACGTACCATATGATCAAACCTACAATGATCAAATGTTTTTTCACTGGGTTGTATCTTAAATGAGGGGAAATCAGGTTGAATAATTTAGTAAAGAAACATGAGAAAGTCCTAGACAATCTAATTGTTGAATATATTAAGAAAGACTTTAACTCTGTTTCAGGAGGAATAATCATTCAATATCATTGCACCAAAAAGGATTATTAATAATTTCTACAATACATCATACAGACATCTCCAGTCAACAAATTTACTAAAATATTATTTTGTAACATCTATTCTTGTTGCCCTATTTCTATCTTTACAAATTATAAATGTAATTAACACTTAGTTAACTGCCACTGTTTGTAATGACAAGGGCATATTCTGTCTATAAATCAGTTATTTCTATGCTACAGAAGAAATTTTAATATTTTACTTAAATATTCAATATCTAAAAGGATATCTGGAATTAAAAAACAAACAATATCCACTAGCGTGTGGCACTCTTCATGTTTGTAACCTGAGAAAATAAGAGTAATGAAGCTAATTTAAAATCCCAAACTGATTTCTGTTTTTTCATCTTTTCTACTTCTTAAGGAGGGTCTAGGCATATAGCCCACCATGTAGAGCAGTGCAGACATATGGCTCCACAAAAGAAAAGCAGGACAAAAGGACTGGGGAGACTAGTAAGCAGAGCTGGCTCTGTCATGGGAATAGGTTTAAGTGGTCGACAGGGGGATGCTAAATAACTGTTCTCCATCCTGGCCACTGCCCACCACTGCCAAAAAAACACAGTCCAGTTGTCTAACAGTTGTGTGACTGAAAACAGCTGGTGAAAACTAATGTGATTGGATTTGCGGCTCTGAAATGAATTTCCGGTGTGAAATCGTATTAGTGTAATGTTTGATTTCCACAATCTCTAATTTGGCTTCCAGGCAGCAAAGCAACCCCATTTAATAGCACACTGCCAAGTGGTCTCCTGCTGGCCTTTATTTAGCCTGTCCAAACACTGAACAACATAATCCTGCTCCGCACCGAGTGCACACGCGCAAATCTTGACATCACTTTGCAGAAAATAATTACAAATCTGTCCCCCCTTTTCAGATTAGAATGATAAATGTGATCTTTAAAAGAGCAAAGTGACCAACATACGGTCTAAGAGAACTTTTCTTTTGCCTCTTCTCCTTCCTGTGGAGTAACTAAGAGGATATTAATTTCTTACCACCATCGTCTGATGTAATAAAACATGAAGAGTTCATCTCTACTTTACTAAACAGACACATGGTCATGCTCAAATCATACTTCTACATGGTAATGTGTGCTGAGAAGACGTTAGTTTGTAACCCTGTGATAATTTTAAAGTGCTCCTCACGTGACAATCATGCATCCTTTATAAAGTAACCACAGCTGACATGTGACACAGTGAGCTGCTACAAAGACAGGTTGGCATTACATTCCATCACTGTTTGTTTTTTTACACTGTTTTATCAATTAGAGAAAATGTCTTAATTAATGTCACATTCTGAATAAGGGGAATCATTTTATCATTTTGATTTCAATAGAAATAACTCATAATAGTACAAACTAACTCCTTTTTGCTAAATGTAGAAATGCCTTTTGATTGAAGGGCCTTTACAAAACATGTCGTGCACATAGCAAACAGCATGCATCCAGCTGATTTATTTAAATGCTTAAGCAGCTATTCTGTGCAACATTCATTGCAATAGATGTTCAGGGGGGCATCGGATGATCATGTGCAAACGGCAAATGCAATTTAGAGGGACATAAGGAGGCCTCTGTAAGTGGATGGATCTAAAGAGTACAAAAAGAGAAAGAACAGAAAAACTTAACGGGACTGATAAAGACCAAGCCTTCCTCATTACAGCAGATCTGCCTGACTTTGTCCAGATAGCTGCCCTCTCTGTTGCATCCCATATGTATACGTCATAGTGCATACCCTTTAGGTATACTTTCCTTGCACACTGCTCTTCGTCATCAGCCTCTAGCAGCGCACAACCACAGCTTGGAGCTGGCCATCAAAAGCCTCAGTGGTCATCATAGTGGGCATCCCTGGTGCGTTCAGTCTAGAGTATTTCAATGGCTGAGAGAAGAGTTAGAGATGCTAAACGATCCAGTTAAATTGATTGTGTGGGATTCCAGCTGGAGATTTATTCATTTGCCTAATTAAATTAGTTTATCTGAAAATGAATCAATTTTAGTCCAAGATACTGATAATAAGATCTATAATAATGATGACATCTAGTTCACACACAATTTTTCTCACTTTTTCTCTTCTTTATCTAAGCTGTTTGTGCCAAAGTGCTTGTACAGGTTTCTTTGGAGGTGCAGCTTTGTGGTCAATATCCTGTTGTCATTGTACTGTTGAAGTGCTAATTCTGTGTGGAAATAGATAACGTTGCTTATCCTAATTACAGATCCACCATAAAAAAAGAGCAAATCCTCCATGCAAGCTTGACTTATCACATTAAAGAGTTAGAAATATGACTCACAAAGACCTCCAAAGCACCATCTGTGATAGAACTTACCTCACAGTAATGTGTCTGTTGTAAATCCAGCAAAGATCTGCTTTGTCAGAGCTCTAAGCCGTTTGTTGGGACCTCACTCGGGTAATCGCAAAAAGGTGAATAATCCCTTCATCCTAGCCACTACTGAGGATAAGCTTAATGAAAAGTCTCAACGCAGACCTTGTTTTACCACAGAAAGATTGAGGATTGCGGCCTTCCCATGACTTACAGTCCATCACCACCATCACCCTGTGTCTGTCTTTAACTGGATCTCAAGCCTTCTTTGATTATTTACAATATAAAACTTCCATTTGACAATGTGCGACCAGAAATTTTGAAAAAAGCCTCCAAAGTCCTCTTTCCCCTACACAACTAAAGAGCAGCACACACACACATAATACCATCACCTCAACTCAAAGGTTGATGTAATATTGAAATGCAGTCTGCTTTTAGCATTACAGCTCTCCTGTCAAGGCTAAATAAGGAGCCATATGACTTAAAAATTGAATCTGTCTAGCTTCAGGTAACTTCATGCCAACTCAGCTGGACATGGAAATTCACTCAGTCTTTCCTCTCTCTGGTCTTTTCTGGAGGTCAAAAAAGCACTGTGAAGGCAAAATCTGCAATATGTGAGTGAGCTTTTATCTATATATAGATATATGACTATGTCTAAAGGAAGAGGGCTTAAAAATTAAGCAAAGTTTAAAAACTGGTAAAGTAACTGCCCCCATCCCTTCTTTAGGTTGAAGTGCATTTAAGGTTCAATTAACCTAACTTAATGGAATATCCAGAAAGTAATGAACTTCTTCCCACTTTGAGTAAAACTGCCTTTTTGGCATTATGTGTTACTGAATGTCCCCGATTTTAGAAGGTCATTTTTAGCTTTTTAAAGTAATACTTTTGCTTTTCATTTTGACAGATGAAAGAACTTCGTTAAAAGTCTGCCAGACTAAAAAAAAAACATGCACATTTTTTAATGTTTAAAATACCAACTGTGAGGTCTGGCATTCAAGTATGACGCTTTAAAGCTGCATACCTTCTATCTCCATATGCTAAAAAAGAACAACCTAGCAATTATACAGAAACCTCAAAGGAAACCTAAGAACACTATCTGTGGAAGGGATCATGGCAACAAGCCAGTGCTGACAGGCACTGGCACAATGACTGAACTCAGTCCTTCCATCTTGTTTCAAAAGGCCTTTAGGAAGTGAAAAAAATAATGTGGGTAACATGGAGTTTGAAAAAGTTATTTTTTCTTTCATAAAAAAACAACATATAATGTAAACTTATGTAGAAATAACAATGGAGACATCATTCTAACCGGAAGTGACCACTAATGTAAGTTAGCTGATAACATTAGACAGATTGCCTTCTGGATTGTTTGACTGTAATATGCCATCTGTGTCACATTTCTTCTTGTTCCAGAGGCCCTAACACTGCTTATTAAAGATGAAAACACTGCATGTGAAGTACAGACAGTGTGGGCAAAAGTTGCTGCATTCTGACCAGGAAAACTGTATCAGCATCTCTGTATGAGGCAGTTGGGCGGAACATTCTGCAACATGCCTGACTCTGAATGTGTTAGTATGTCACTCTGCCCTCCCTGCAGCAAAAAAGCACAATCTCAATAGCACTTGAACTTGATTCTCCAACAAAGAAGAACAAAGTGCTGCAGATTATCTGCAAAATGTGATCTGATTTCACACGGTTTTAATGAGGGGGCCGTGTGTGATATCAGCTGCAAACACTGTGCAAAGGTTGATGACAAATTACTCCTTTTTAACTATTTGTTCATTATGTAAGTTGGATGCAAAACATAAAAAATAAAACATTCCTTTCTAGCACATTGAAACAGTCATTTTGAACCTGCAGGATCTCCAAATCGAGAGTTCATCACTCAGAGTTGTAATACTCGAGAATATTTTTTTTTGGGGAAGAACATACTTTGCTTAGATGATAAGTCATGTAACAGTGTTACTGTTCACAATTTGTAGTTTCAACGGACAATTTTCACAGTCTACTTGTGTAGTTGTTGGGTCAGGTGGAGCCTGCACTATGAAATGGAGTGACTGTAAAACAGATCCACTTTAATCAATTTAAGCCAAAAGAGCAGCCGCAAAAGCAGTAAGGCAGCCCACAAAATCTGTTTGGAATATTGACCTCAATAATTTTCTGCTGGAAAATCAATTTTTTAGACTGGCCAAAGCACCTTTAGCCATTCACCAAGTTAACAACCAGCAGTATCCTTAATACTAGATGATCAAATTAGTTATTTATATTGTAAATTAATTCAAATACCTTTAAATAATTTTCAACCTAGTATTAGTTTAAGGAATTCTTTAGTGAAATCCACGTGTTAAGGGCATGAAAGCAGAAAGAGATCCCTTTACGTCCAAAGGATAACTGTTATTTTCTTTGCACATATTATAACCATACAACATAACATTTTTGTATGACCCCGAAACTCAATCTAACACTAATCAGCGCAGAGAGATGCAGCTTGCAGGCCATCACGTGGCACGGGGAGCGAGCCCACTGCTTATCCATCCACACTGTACTGCCTGGGAGTCGCCGATGGCATTGCACACAACATACTGGCTGTGACTCTGCTGAGGCTGACAGGAACAGACTTCCTCTCCATCCTACAGCTCGAGCTCATCCCTGTTCACAAAGGCATGATGTTTGATGTTGAATATTGACTCGCTTTGCCTTGCGCTCACATCTGCTTTACCCCTTCTCCTGTATATGGATGTGTGTGAGGGGTGTGTGCTTCCATAAAAGAAAAAGCAGCATCTTAGAAATGCAATCTCTCTGCTTGTATGGATCTGGTGTCGTCTTTCTCAGAGCCGGGCGGTGCTCACCATCGCTAAAACACTCCACTTCACACATATTTCTGCAAATACATACTGCACAGACGCGGGCCTGGCACAAGCATCCCCGCTCATGCACTCACCGTCACACAAACACCCTGCCTACTGGAGTGTAACCATGGAAACAAAGCGCCTGCCCAATATGGGTGGTGATGAAAGCAGCAAAAAAAGATGGAGAATAAAGGGAGGAAGAAAACCCTCCCTATTCATCCGTGCTAAACATGAGTTCATAAATCAATCTGCTACCTTGTGAAAATAACATGTGATTCAGGCGGTAATCATTTTTTTAAATGCTAGAAGATGTGACTTACAACAGGCTCTAATAAAAAGATGGATGGCTCATGCTGTGAGTGAGCATTCAATTATTTGGAGACTTTCTGTAACAAAACTAATGTTCCAGATCTGTTCAAAACACCCCTTTTCTTTGTAATTTAATCCTAAATGGGAAGGATTCTATTACCGTACTTAAAGTGAAATATCGGCATTTTTCCTTTGTTCTCATAGAGCTGACAGCAAAAGACCAATTTGTTGTTAATTTTATCATAAATCCAGCGAGTCATGTTCTGTGATTATCTGCTGTAATTAACCAAATTATATTTGTTTTCCTAATTGCTCCAGAAGATGCATTGTTACTTGTAGAAACAGGGCTTATATAGTGATCAATAATAGGGTAAGTATAATCATCCTTTCCTTATAGTGACAGAGCATTCTGTAAACCATCATAAAAATTGTGTCCATCTTACATTTGAATACCTGAACTGTTTCAAACCCAAAAATGTATCCACACATTACCATAGAAACATCAACAGCCCAGAATTTGACACTCGATATTATATCTCACATTCAGAAAATATCACAGCTAACATTCAGTCACAGGAACAACCCACATATAGCTAATAATAAACCAAACAGGGTCATATTATCAGCATCCACAGCATGGAGCACAAAGCACTGAAACATGATCGTCTGATTTATATACATGAAAAACCAGCAGCAAGATGACCCATTTACAACTACATTACTAAATATTAATGGGATGGTTCTGCAGCGGCAGATAAAAAAATATTCTCACCACATTAAGTAACAAGTTTTGAGATTTATCAGAACACATTTCCCACTGCCTGTGAACACGCTGCCAATCCTGCCGATGACATCACATCACATAAGACTTACTGCTTTGCCATCACAGCCAAGCTCATTTTAGGATGTTTGATCCTCATCTCTTCCTGTCCACATGTTGAAGAATACTTGAGAAAGTCAGAGTGCCCTCACTTTTTCCCGATTCTCTGCTTGTGCTTGTATTTGTGATGTGCTAAATCGAAAAGTGTATTATCTATTTTACAATAAATGTGATTATCATGATGATTCATATAAGGCGCAATTTAAAAGACAGGCAAAAGAAATTGTCTGTACCATCTTCTCTAAATGCACAAAAACTGCATCTTTGTCGTGCTAACTTTTCAAAGCTGACAGAGTCATGAAGCTGCCCAGGAGCAAATCAATTCACTTTCACATGTGCAGTGCATCAGTTTAGAATCCATCTGACCGTGCTATGATAAACTCACATGGCTGCAGCTCGATGGTATGGCAAATTGTTTCACTGAAGCAATGAGCTGTTCTTTGCTAATATACATGCGCGTATTATGTTTTGTTTTTCACACATTTCGAAAAATCTAAATAGTCATGATTTAGTACTGGTAGTACTGTTCATACAAATAAGCATTTTGATATTCATGAAATGGTGCAGAGAAACAATCTAAAAAATCAGTTTCTGTTTGCTGATCCCAGTGTTTGCTAATTTGGAGCTTTTCGCTCATGTCTGACTTGCAATAACTGATGTCACTTTTGTGCTTACTGCAGGATTTAATGTATCGAGCTAGAATAATATCCTCTGAACATCAACCGACCCCCACTTCTCCTCCTTGTTCTGTGCGAACGCTTTAGGTGGAAAAGAGAGGCTGCGATGCAGAATGTGCGTTGGCGGGTGAGTGGGTGCAAATTTGGATTCAGCAGTTCCACATGCAGAAATGTGTCACGTGGCAGAGGAGGGAAATAAAACCAGTGCAGAATATTGGTGGGAACACAGCCGGACATAGAAACGTAAGACTAAGCAAAGTCAGACTGGCAACTCGGACCAAACGTCAGAATATGTGCAGAACTGTGACACCAGACATCATCAGCATCGCTCTCTTTTGCTGACTGACCCACTAAGCCTACCTTGAACACCATCTAAAGTTGCTTGTTTTGCAAATTCTCCTTTCTTACACAAACTGCTGACCTAAGAGGACTGTTAACATAGAATAAAATAAAATGCAGTGATGCAGTATTTAAAGACAGGACAGGAGCAGCTGACATTTTCCACTGTACCTGTCTTACAGGCAACTTCATGTGATATTCTGCTCTTAAAGCTAATGCTAAAACAACTTAAAATAGGACCAATCCTCCCTTGGTAATTTTTCTTCTGCTTCTGCTCCTCTTTTACATTCCCCACACCTGGACACGAGCAGAGAGAGGTCGGTCCACTTGCAGCCATGTCAGATGTTGACACTGGTCTTAATAATTGATGACCTCCTCCTACCCCTGAGGTGCAGCAGGTAATCCTGTGTCTCACAGTGCTGGGCAAACAATACAGAGATAGGGCTTTATATTTTAAGACAAAATATTAGAAGATATTAGAATATTTGAATAGAAAATTAAAGGGAGGGGTGGTAAGTTTGGGGGAAATAATGTAAGATGATGTAAGAGTATTATACAACGCTGGGTAACTGGAAAAATCCAATTTAACACTCTTCTATCAGTTCATTTTCACTTTGAATAAATAAATAAAGAAATCCTCCTGTCATGAAAACACGCACTGCTGATCATTATTTAGGGAGTAACTTTGCAGATCAAAGTGTGAACTCCTTTTACAGTCCTGGGACACAAGTCAAACTGTAAATTCTGACAAGATATTTAGAAAAAAAAGCAGCAGTGAGTTAAGGAGACATGTAACAAACAACTGAAAAATTAGCTTTGGCTACCACAGAAAAGACACTATTTGCAATCTGCCCTAACTTTGTCAGTATATGGGCTCAGAAAATCCTTCTGTACACTGTACTCCAAATCACAGCCATCGACGCATGTGAAACATGTTCAATGTCAGTCTCGATTAGAAATGTTTGCTAAGATCTCGAAAACTCTCAAAACAGGATCTAATTACTGTCCTCATAAAATAAAGTGTTTGAGAATACAAACCCCAACAAAACTTAAATAACTTCCGAATTAGCATAGAAAGGATATTAAATCCCAGCAAGAGTCTACAAACAGACTGCAGGCATACTGTGTGTTAATTGTGTTTAAATTGCTATTCGCTGAAGCAAAAAAGCCCCCTATTGAGATTCTGCCCTAAAATAATGAGGATGCCCTCTTGTCACTCACTAGGCATGCTAAGCCGAACCATTTACAATACTGAGAAGACACACATGTCCTACAAAAACCTGTGAATCTTTATCCTGTGCATATACATACATATGTGAATCCAAGTATTGCTAATCTGACTTGTTGCTTTTTTTGCCCTTTTTTCTACCTACCACTGTTCCTAGGTTACAGACTGGAAAGAGGAAAAATTCAGGTACAAAAACCAAGGCAGCCAAGACAAACAGATCTGTTGAATTGAAACTGAAAAAAAAGGAAAAATGAAAAAGGGTCGTACCATTTGCAAAGGTCTCTTCCGCAGGTCCCTCTCAGTGACCAGTCTCTCCTGGTCAGTGACGTAGAGTCCCCGTTGGGCCAGGGCCTGGATGACCGCATCGTGCCCCAGCAGCGGTTTGGAGGAGTCGCTCTTCAGGATGATGCTGCCGGCCCTGCAGTAGAGGTCTGCGGAGAGCAGGAGGCTGGCCACTGGAGGCTTCAGGTGCTCCTGCTCATACTGGTCAGTGTAGAAGGGATCCCGCAGGTCTGCAGGGATGCTGTCTGTGTAGCAGAGGGGAGGAAGCGATATATGAATTTATCATGTTTAAAATAAATAACATAACATTAAATGTGTTTAAAATATTGCACCCTCAATATTAACATGCTGGAATTGTATACAAATAATAGAATGAATGCTGGACAACAATAAAGAAACATGTACAGAATGCAGCATTTTTGTCTCACAAAACATCAAATGTGTGTTGTCTGAAATAATGATGTGGAAGGAAAACATGATGCAGTAATTTGGACTTTTTGAAGTACTGTTTTTCTTTAACAGAATAACCTTTGTTCCATCGCGATGGCTTGACAGTATATCTTGACGTGGGTATGTGATCATAGACCCTGGTGTTGCTATAGCAACTAGAGTAGGAGTGGAAAGTGATCGATTCATCTAGTCTCTATCGTTGCAGCTTCCAGCTTCCCGGGAACACCCCTCTCACAGTTGGCTTCATCAAAGAGGGCCTGCACGTGAGAGTCCATCCCCACAGGAAAGTCCACTGCGTTTAGAGATGAGAGCTGTCTTTGATTGTTTTGTTGCTTTTGGCGTCCATTTTCATGGGCAGTGTTTGCTCACTGAGGATACGTTTTTAATAAAACTTGAAATCTGAAGTCTGCTTGACATGGGATCTTCCTCTTCTACCACAGATCAACAACACCATGATTAACCTGACTCAATTTTAATAATACCTGTTTGCGAACATCATAATGCATCTATATATTGTAGACTGAGGAAATAAGAGATCTCAATCACCAGTGTGTGTAAACGCATAAAGAAATACAACCAAAAAAAACATGTGGTGAACCACAAATGTTGCTCCCTATCCTCTAAAAAATGAACACACCCACTAAAGTCAACAAATCCCCTGCTTTGCTGATCAGTGTGAGGGTGATAATCTGATCCTTGCCATAAAAGCCAGAGATTCAAAAGATAATAAAATGAAACAGGGAAAATTCTACAGTCACTTAAACACGCAGAATGACAATGCGGCAAACACTGAAACTATGTAATAACCTCCCATACTTATACACAACATTTAATAACCTATTTCTTTGTAGCATTTAAAAATCTGCTGTGCGTTTCATTCAGTTGCTGACATATGATCAGGATGACTGATGTTTGGTTTTTTGGGGAAATCAAAACAGTCTGACCAGGGAATGTGGAAAGGATTACTTTCAACCACAGGCCATAGTTAGCCTTGTTTGAGCTCTGGATCCATACATTAAAACAACTGTATAAGTGTTATGATCTTGTCTGCGGCCTTAATCGCTCTCATGCATGTCCACGTATCCCCGATGCCTTCCAGTATCATTATGCAGCATACAGAGCCGCGTAGGCCGGGATGCAGCGATGAGCCAGCTCACTCTGTCTTCCTCTCCTCCCTCCCACTCCCTTTGGAAGGTTGTATTTTTGGAATCAGCCCATTTCATTCAGTCCTGATTAAAAACACACAGAAGATCTGCAAGAGATCTCATGCTAGCTGATTTATTACTAAACAGCAGTAAAGAGGAATGTGGACAAACACACTGAGCTGCAGGCTGTTTGTCAAGATGTGAGTTCATTTCAGTACCACAACTACAATGACAGAAATTAAGTAATTACTGAAAGATTAAGAGGAAGAAGAAAAGATGGAAGAATATTCTAACAGAAAATAACTTTTTTTTTTTATTGATCATAACAGGTTTTCATTACTGAATTGTAACTGTTAAGGCTGTTCTATCAGTACTCAAAAATTAGAAATAAATAACTTTAGTTTGGAAGACCTACAGACGATATCCTTTACTACTCTGGTCATGTTATATTTGTTAGTTCTTCATTTCAAAGGTTTGCCTGCTAATGGAGTAATTTAAGAATCTCTCACCTAATCAAAGATTTGGGGTGACTGCAGTGCTGTTTTTTCTCCACCTACTGTCAAATAAAACAGCTTTTTACTTCTGGGGAAACACCCCTTATAAAGAGATTAAATTCATGCCATTTCAGAACACTAAAATCGCTATGAGATGATTTATAGTTCCTCTTTGATCATTTTAGCCAAATTCCAGCCTGTGTGACTTCCGTTCTTCTCTCTTTTTAAAATGATTTGAATTAATACTTTTAGAAATGTGGGTTTGATTCATCAGGTAGGCTACCTCTATAGACCTGATTTACCTGCACTTGTAACCAAATCTTTATGAAAAAATAATATAAAATATCAACATCTTCATTGTTAGAGTCTCTCCTCTCAGTCAGGGTTGTTGTACATTGTCAGAATACTGTACATATTGTGGACACAGTGACTGTCAGCACTGTCACATCTGTTTAATGTATACACATTTGATTGTTTCAATTACCTCATACTTCACTGACAACAAATGCAAGCTTTGTATGCTTTGCATGGCACATACAATACGTCTGTCTCCAATTTGGATTTAAGTGTAGCCGCCTGAAGGTCATAAAATCTGACACAATTGTAACACAAATCTCAGGATACCCACATATCTCTTTGTGGACACAACTCTAAATATATTATTAGCATCATATGAGTTGAAAGTGACTACAATGGGAGCAACAGTAAGTAATAGTGAATATGGAATGGAAAACCCATCGGTAATTCTGGATTTATCTCTGATTGGCACTCAATTGGGTATGTTATAGTGTTATAAAATCTCATAGCATGCATCATCTGTAACTGGTTCAGGAGTAATTGGTCAATATAATGATACATATGAAAACACGCTCATGCTGCGTTTGTCTACAGTCTGCACCAACCTGTCCCGTATGCTTTGGCCACCAGCCATGTGAGGCTGCAACAGATTTTCGCTCGAGAAAAGTCATAGTGCTCAAAAGGCTTTATCGCTGGAGCGATGAAGGTCTTCCTCGCATCTCTGACGTCCTGAACTTCACCCATTTTCCCCTCCGATATTGCCAAGCAAAATCCTATGAAGCAGCACAGCTGGAGAGCATCCCACCGCTGGAATTCATGGAGAACAATTACAAGGTTGTAAAGTGAAGAGGTGAAATGTCTTTCCACTGGTTATTCCCAGCTTCTGTCAGTCATAGAGTTCTAGGCTGAGCGTTTTTTCTTTTTTTTTGTGTTTGTCTTTTTCAGTCTCGTTGATACAGTCAGTCGCTCATCTGGGTTATTCATCCATTCTGCTCTTCACCAGTTGAAATGGACTCCGTGGGACCAAGCCAGGTATCCGGGGATTTTAGAAGAAAAAAAATTATTCGGCTGCAGAAAAAAAAGCTTTGCTTCCATTTTTTTTAAATAGCTTTGACTCAAACGATTTCTTCCTTAAATTGCCACACAGCACAGGGAAATTAACCGTTGTGTTTCAGATGATCCCCTCAGTACAGGCTCACAGAACCTTAAGATGCAGTCGTCCTGCCGCACTGAGGCTCTCCAGCCCCTTACCTTTGTTTTGCAGTGCGCATGTGCAAAAGGCACCTTCACGTTCTATCGGACAAAATGTCGCATATTTGTAGTTCATTTTCACTTAATCTTAATGGTATTAAATCGCATCTGCACATACATCTGAAATGTAAAATATACATATAAATATTTGAGTTAATTATATTCACTCATTATATTGTGTTTATAAGCCATAGTAGATGCTGGTCAAGCTGCATTTTATTCGCTCTTTGTTTACCCATCTTTAAAAAATAGAATGCAGTCAAATACAATCACGGAACTAACCACATGCAATCCGCATGAAAGACGTTTTAAATGAATGAGTCATTTTTTATCACGCATATTAATTTGTGGTATACTCTCAAAATAAATATCTAACGCTCTTGAGTAGCATGTTTGCATGGCTTTTGGTTTCATGAAAAACATTCTGGATGTCTGAATGTGCCATATGAAGAGTACACCATGATTAAAACCAGACTTAAACAAAGCAGAATTGTATAATTGATACAATGTGTTGTATACATTATAGGTATGTGGTAATTATCCACCGCCAGTGTAGATCTGGTGTTATCGAAGAAAGAAAATCTTTTTTTGCACAGGATTAGACATTTTTTTTAGCATACTTGGTCATTCTCGGTCAAAGTTAAAGTGTGCTATGTATTTTACAGTTTCTGAAGCAGACATCGAAAACATTCTGTCCAGCGAAAACTGTATTTCCCAGCATGCAACGCTACAATACGCAATAAGGCTGCGTCAGTGATAATGTTTTGAACCGTCGGAAGATTTGATGAGTCGAGGTACGTACAGTGTTTTCACATTTAAAAAATAATCCATTTGAGGAATTTTCAAGTATTTATAGTGGAGAGATTGTCTCATGATACTCCTTTGAGTGTATTTCAAAACATACAAAATGCTAATTGTTCCCAGTGTGAGGTTCGTTCAGATTCGTAGAACGATGAGTTCTACAATTACGAAATAAATAATCTCTCACATGTGTTATACATGTTTCCGCTATAGCCTCTCTTAACTTGTAGACCTGGTCTAAATATCCTTTACTTTCTTGTATTTGCAGGTTAAATCAACATGTTTATGCCAAGAGCCCTGAAGGTGAAGAGACCACCTCAGGAGTTAAGCCATGTTTTGAAAAAGAAGAGCAAGATTGTTCAAGGGGGTGATGAAGAAAGTAGTTCAGAAAAACTTAATCAACAGGAGGAAGCTTTTGATGTCAAGAAACCTTTAAATGAAAGTGCAAAAGCATGTGAAGACTCTGGACTTTTGACTGAGGGTGATAGGTCTGATGGTGGGCATACGTCCTCATCAGATGAAGAGGAAGAAGAGGAACCTGTCAAATCTTTTAAAAAGAGTCAGCGATGGCCTGAGCCAGGAGAGCCTGTCTGTGTCATGTGTGGTCGCTATGGGGAGTACATATGTGATTCCACTGATAATGATGTTTGCAGTCTTGAATGCAAAGCCAATCATTTACTGAAAATGGGAATGGGGACTGGAGCAGATGCATTTAATGAAAAGGGCAGAAACACAGGTGAAAGGACCTCTAACACACAAGCAGTTGATACAGGTGAAATAGGTTTAAGTGAACCATGCTATTCCTATCGTGAAGATACATTCATATCGGGCCTGACAGATGAGCAAGTGGAGCGTATCCAGCAGGAGCTTGGCATTAAAACTCAGGGGAGTGATGTTAAGCGGCCTATTATTGAATTTGAACATTGTGGCTTCCCTTCCACATTAATTGGTAACCTGAAAAAGGCCGGTTATGAGGCACCCACACCGGTCCAGATGCAGATGGTGCCTGTTGGTCTCATAGGCCGGGATGTGATCGCCAGCGCTGACACCGGATCAGGGAAGACTGTTGCCTTCCTTCTGCCAGTAGTAGTGAGAGCCCTGGAGGTACAGTAGTAAACAAACAATTACTTTTACATGTATTTATATCAGAATTTCAAACAATCAAACAGCCTATTTATCAAATGCAAAAGCTAAATAACATTGCTTTATACCATTTGACTATGTTTAACAAAATGTTCAAAGTTGCTGAGGAAAAAATGACTTATATTTAGTTTAAGACCCCTTCATCTGAGCTGGAAAATAATGACTTCTTACTGCAGAAGGAAAAATGTCAAGGAAAGCGTTCAAATGAGTCCTGACAAAAGAGACAGACATAAAATCTGCTTCATCTTCCTGTTTTAGACACCACCACACAAAGCCTGCAGTCCCGTGGCTCTGATCCTGACACCAACGAGAGAGCTGGCTATTCAGATAGAGAGACAGGCCAAGGAGCTGGTTATAGGGCTGCCCAACATGAGAACTGCTCTGCTGGTGGGGGGCATGCCACTTCCCCCTCAGCTTCACCGTCTCAAGAGCAGCATCAAAGTACAGTACTTTTTTTTTGCCCTCGTCTCCACCCAGGCAAAGCATTGTCTTGCATGTTTTTTTTTGTATTATTTAGCAATATTCTTTTACATAATTTTCTTATTTTCTCAACCTCTTTTAGATTGTCATAGCTACACCTGGGAGGCTCATTGAGATCCTGAAGCAGAAAGCGCTTCAGCTTCATGAAGTGAGGGTTGTAGTGGTAGATGAGGTGAGACAAACATAATTAAAAGTCGTATTTCCTGTTTATATTCATTTCCAGTTTCACACTCTGGAGTTTATCCACAAATGATTGATACCGTGTCTGTTTAAAAGGTTTTTGCACTGTTGAGAGTCTACAAATGTTATTGTGTGGCATATGCAAATTTTACAATGACTTAAATTTGACATGATGACAAACAAAATGAATCAGTTTGTCCCTATTTAATTTACAAATGTTTCCCAAGATATCTCTCGATTTCAGACAATGTTATCATAGTTGTTGAAAAGTAATGAAAAAACATGCACGCTTGCATTGAAGCTATTATTTGAATTTAAAAATGAAGAAACTGTATGAGCAGGAATCACGTGATTTATCTTGCAGGTTGACACTATGCTGAAGATGGGCTTCCAGCAGCAGGTGCTGGAGGTTTTGGAGCAAGTCGCAGAAGAACACCAGACTCTGCTGGCTTCGGCCACCATCCCAGCCGGGATAGAGGAGCTCGCTGCCCGGCTGGTGCGTGACCCTGTTCGCATTACGATCGGTGAGAAGAACCTACCCTGTTCCAATGTCAGACAGATCCTGCTTTGGGTGGAGGAACCATCCAAGAAGAAGAAGCTCTTTGAGATTCTCAATGTGAGAACTTTTCTTTGTTATTGTTTATTGTTATGGTTATTGTTTATTGTTATTGTTTTTGGGGGTGGAATACATTTTGGGAAGTGTGTGAAAAAACAGACTTAAAAACAATAAAACCCTCACTTCCCAGTCATGCTTTCTTTAATCAGTCAGCAGTTTTTCTCCAGTTCTCGTCTCAAGTAATCTTATTTATTCAAGTACAAATGTTCTCTAAGGGCATTATACTTTTGGTAAGGACGAACGAACTAAGTATAGTTTTAGGATAAAAAAAAAAGTTTGTGTTCCGGTCTTGACCTGCAATGGTACCATTTTGGTATTTTTCCCTTGAAACTGGAGGAGGGAATTCCTCAGGCTTTAGCCACCAGTCTCCCCACAGTTCCATATTTAGACAATCATTACTGCTACCCCAAACTGGAGGAAATGGGCAGGCCCAGTTGTGGCCCCAATCCAGGAATCCTAGTAAAGGTTTGTGCCATTTGAACAAGGCAAGACCTGCTTTAGTTACCCCTGAAAAAATTTGTTGTTGCGCCACTGTTTTTAGTATGTCAGGCACATATCTACCTTTTTTCCATGTAAAGTTGGTGCTGCACAACGGACCGTTATAATTACATGCTTATAAAGCCCCTAAAACGGTAATACACACATTTAATCCACATATATGTGAACATCTCATGTTAATGTGACTGTAATGTCTGAAGAAAGTGATACAGATCTCATCCTGCTACTTTGTTATTCTTTCCTTTTTAGGACAGCAAACTGTACCAGCCTCCAGTGGTGGTGTTTGTAGACTGTAAACTGGGTGCTGATCTACTGTGCGAGGCGGTCACCAAGGTGACAGGTCTCACCACCGTGGCAATCCACTCTGACAAGACCCAGTGGGAACGCAACCGCATCCTCAGGGTGAGACCAATGGGCAGGGAAAACACGCACAAGTGGATGAACAACGGTGCCCCTCATGTTTACTGGACAAGAGTTGCTCGTGAATGAATTGTACTTCGAAGGCCACAGACACCTGCAACCGACTACATGGGGAAAATGTACTGTCTCTGTTTAAATGTAATATTTGCTCTGTTTCCTCAGGGCCTTCTGGAAGGAGACTTTGAAGTGGTAATCAGCACAGGTGTGCTAGGCAGAGGACTTGACCTCGTCAACGTCAGATTGGTGGTTAACTTTGACATGCCAAATACAATGGATGAATATGTTCACCAGGTTAGTCAAGCAACATGGCACACTTCATTTTGGTTGGTGGTCATATTCTGTACAGCTACCATTTGTAAATAGAAGTTTAAAAAAGCGCAATATAACACCTTCTTAATGTTTAGATTTAGAAATCATGCGCACAAAGATGAATATCAATGTTTTTACTTCACAGTCGTCTTTCTTACCTTTCAGGTGGGCAGAGCGGGGCGGCTCGGACACAGGGGAACAGCCATCACTTTCCTCAATAACAACAACAAGCGGCTGTTTCTGGGGGTGGTGAACAGGGTCAAACCCACTGGGTCCATTTTGCCCCCACAGCTTCTCAACTCACCTCATCTCCATGAACAGCAGAGGAGAGAAAAACAGAAAACCAAAATGGGGCACGAGGACACACTTGTTACACAGAACAACCTTCTAGACATTATTAAGAAACATGACCGTCGCAAGAAGTAGCTAGCTCTTTAAGCTTTTTATGGATGAGATACTTTGTTTAATCTTTATTTTCTGATAAAAAAATAAAAAAATAAAACATGGATTTTTATGTTATTTTGTGATGTGATGTTTTATATAATTAATGTAAGAAAACATGATTAGGGACACAATTAGATTGGGAATGATTATTCTTTTGTCCAATTCAATCCAACGTCATTTTAGCAAAGCACATGAATTTATTATACTGAATTATCCACTCATTTCCCCAACCATAGGAATGATAGAATCCTTTTCCAAAGTATCAATTTGGCTTTTGTGGCCTTTTTATAAGGTTCAATGTCTTGCCCAAGGGACACTTCAATATGTTGGCAGAATAACTACAGACTTTTCCACTGGTAGGGGACTGCTAAAATACATCCACCCCCATTGTGATGCATCAAATTTTTTTAACAGTTTTATTAACTGATTTTAGTTGGACTTTTGGGAAAATATTTTCACCGATCTGTGCATTATGGTTTATTATCATTGACCCTGCACTGCCCCCTAGTGTCCGTTTAACAGGATTGCTTATCCCCATTAAACTGAGACATAAAATTCAGCCAATCAGCGTTCACGGAGAGAGAAAATTTGAAATCGAGGCGGGCGAAGGCGGAAGCAGACGGCACAATAATAAACAAAGTTAGCTGTTTTTCGCATGTATAGCTAACGTTTTATTCAAATGTATTTATTTTCACTTGTAGCTCATATATTTTTAGATAGTTGCGTCGGTTTTACGTGTTTTTACTATAACTTCTTATCAAAACAGAGTAGTTGCCGTTAACTAATCTAATTCCGTAGTTAGTTTAGTAGTTTTTCCTGACCAATTAAGTGCCATGTCGATATTTAGCGTACAGGCAAGGAAGCACACGGCATTTTATGACAATCTTCTGTCAGCAACAACGCCCAGGACAGTCGGCAAAGAACGACTGGCAGGGAAAAAGGGAACAGACGCGTCTCTGGGAAAGAGTGACATATCCAGTGCAGAATCTGCGTGTGAATACAGCAGGTCGTCGGATAAAAGCCGTCTGGCAAACAGGACCCCTGTGACTTCAGCGCTGCCAAGGAGCGGTAACGGGCACCATACTCCTTACAGAGGCCGACTCACTCTACAGAGAAGATCAAGGTGGAAGACAGGGGCTGAAACAGCGGATAAGACCATGGCTGAAAGCAGCCAGAACACCACCCCAGCTCCGGAGAAGAGACTCACTCTGCAGCGCAGGACGAGGACACCCTCAATGGATAAAAGTGTTCGTGGCCAGCGTGGTGTGAGCAGCTCAGCCCAACAGCCAACGCAGAAGGTCCTGAGTGAGCCAAACGGCAGGACTCCAAGTTTATTCAGATCTATGAGTTTAAGAGAAACTGCCGCTAAGTGCAAGGAAGCCCAGACTGAAACTCTGGGGATGGTAGCACAAGGCAAAACGCCCTATTCTTCATCCTCATCTGCAGGTACATATCTGGAGGACCAGGTGCAAACTTTTAAAACACCCACCAAAAAGACACCTTTTGAGAAAATCGCTGCCAAGAGAGAGGTTTTTGAGAAACTGGCAAGTAAAGAAGTTCCCAAATCGGTAGCGGTCAAATCTGCAAGTCTGGAGAGGCCCAAAGCTCGAGCCCAGCAGGTGGAAGTCTCCAAACCTGTGCCTGCTCCCCGGATTGCCAGGACCAACGCAGGCCTGCACAAGCTTAGCAATCCGGCCAACTCAACCCAAAAGGGAGATGTGACCCTGATCAAAACCTCTGCCACCACTCCAGCCCACAGTGAACAACTCCTGTCCCATCCCAGTGAGACCTCCCAGCAACGGGACTCCCTTAAGATGGAGAACAGTGCAGTGACCGTGGCTGTCCGTGTCCGGCCTTTCAATGCCAGGTCTGTGGTGCCATATTTGTTTGAAAAGAAAATATGAGTCAGAAAGTACACAATGAATGGATACAATTTGAAAGTATCCTCTTACACAACAGTTTTGTAACCATTTGTGCTTATATTGAATGCACTTGATGTGAGTGTAAACTGGATTTAATCCATAAACTGTAATCTTAGTAAAATAAACAGCATTAGTGTTATCATCACTATTGAATTGATAGAGTATATAAAAGTAAAAACTCTTGGAGACTAATGACTTCAGCTAATTGTTCAACTGTTTTTGATTTGGTCTGTTTTAGGGAGAAAGCAGAGAAGACTTTGCAGGTTATCTTCATGAAGGGACAGGAGACTGTTGTCCAGCATCCACAGTCCAAGAAAAGCTACTCTTTCATGTACGACTTCTCTCTTTGCTCTTTGGATGAAAATGACCCCAGCTTTGCCAGCCAACGGGCAGTGTATGAATCACTGGCCAGACCTCTGCTGCTGAGGGCCTTTGAAGGATTTAACACCTGCCTGTTTGCTTATGGCCAGACAGGTTCTGGCAAGTCATACACGTGAGTATCTGTACTGATGAATGATTTTTCCTTTTCGAATAGTACATTTGAAATTCTAATCTACGAGTTTGATCTGTTTAAAATGCTGATTGTACAGGATGATGGGCTTTGAGGAGGAGGCGGGTGTTATCCCACGTTTCTGTCAGGAGCTTTTTGCAAAACTGGCCTCTATGGAAAATCAAGAGGTAATAGGTCACACAAACATTGGCACTCTCTGTTTTTCCCTCCCTGTTTTCCCTTTAAAAACAAAAAAAGACTGTTTAACTTAAGATGTGTTTGGGTGTGTCATTTCCCCAGAAAAGAATCTAACAATTAAAAGTTCCATAGCTTATCTGTGGTGTTTCATTTCAGGTCAAATGTCATGTGGAGATGAGCTACTTTGAAGTGTACAATGAGAAGATCCATGACCTGCTGGTGACCAGAGATGAGCCAAACCAGAGGACAATGCCGGTTAGTAGTTTGACCAAAATTCACTTTAGAAAACTGGTAATTGCTACAATTTACTCACCATTGCCTTTTGAGTTTGGAATTAAATCTTTTTAGCTTTTCTTGGTTTATGATTTTATTGCAGGTAAAGCTCCGTAACTTTTTTTTTTAAGAAAGAGATTGATATATCTATGGGAAACAACTCATTTTATTTGTTGAATAAAATCCATTCCAAATAGTCACATCCAGTCTTGCTCACAACTTAAGTAAAGTATTTCAGTTCTGTATGGTTCTATAAATAAAAACAGAGACTAAACTGACATCTTTTTTTTAGCTGAGGGTGAGGGAGCATCCGGTCCATGGTCCCTATGTTGCTGAGCTCTCTGTGTAAGGAGACACTTTCTGTCTTTTGATAAATCAAACCTAACATAAAATCAGAAACGGTTCATATGGTATTCTTTGTGGTTTTTCTCACTTTGCTTTCTTTACAGGAATGTGGTGAGCTCTTACAGTGACATTCAGGTAGGCTGAACTTGAACTGCTCCAACCTTTCTTATCACAATCTGTTTCTGATGTGTCTAAAAGGACGTTTTGATGACAAGAATCTCCATGCAAAATCTCTCACTGAGATAATCGGTCATAATTTTCTGTGCTCTGTTATTAAGGGATGGCTGGAACTTGGTAATAAGCAGAGAGCCACAGCTGCAACTGGAATGAATGACAAGAGCTCGAGATCTCACTCTGTTTTCACCCTGGTTATGACTCAGACTAAAGTATGGCTTTTTGACTTAACATTTAGAGTGCAATAAGTGCCTCATTCCTGCTGACGGTTAGTTAATCCTCTTTTCTCTGTCTGTTTCAGACTGAGTTTGTGGAGGAGGAGGAGCATGACCACAGTATCACCAGCAGAATCAACTTGGTCGATCTGGCCGGTAGCGAACGCTGTAACTCCGCCCAGACAAGTGGAGAGAGACTCAGGGTATACACATGTCTGTCGCTACTGCTACTCAAATGTTATTTTATCTGTTTGTCTCATAGTTAATAAAATTATATGTTTCATTTAGGATTTATCTTTGTTAATTGTGTTTAAATCAGTTCATTAGTACATGTTAACTTTTCAAACAAGAGCCCAAATATTTAAAAAATTCACATATTTTCTTACTTTTGGCATATAACAAATACTCCAAATACTTTGTAGACTGAATAAGTACTGTAAAAAAGTACTGTGAATATAAACATTTAGATCTTCTATTTTCACTTCTGTGTTCTCAACTAGACATTTACTCGCAAAGACAGTTATTGACATTTTTTTGGTCTTTATAGGAGGGTGCTAGCATCAACAAATCCCTGCTTACACTTGGAAAAGTCATCTCCGCCTTATCAGAACAGGCACTGAGCAGGAAGAAGGTGTTTATCCCATACAGAGAGTCTGTCCTTACATGGTAAGGGTATTGTTGATTTCGACCTTCTTTATTTGTGTTTTTATTATATTCACAATTTAAAAAAAAAAAAAGAGGAAAATGAGCAGCATTTACTGGCAGTACTTATCCACTCTCAGACATATTTCAAGAACTGTAAGAGCCCTGTTGTTTTTTTAACAACTCCTGTTTTATTTTCACCCTCAGGCTGTTAAAAGAGAGCCTGGGTGGTAACTCCAAAACTGCCATGATTGCTACTGTGAGTCCGGCGTGCGGCAACGTGGAAGAGAGCTTGAGCACGCTGCGCTACGCCCAGCAGGCCCGTACTATCATAAACATGGCCAAAGTCAATGAGGACACAAGTGCCAAACTAATCAGAGGTCAGACATCTGTAACTTACACGTTCAGGGTTATGGGGCATTCTTATAAGTTTATCAATTCAACTTTAAAAAAAATCTAAACTTAAAGGGTAATACGGTCATTTCTGTTGTCTCCCTGTCTCAAGGAAAAGCTGAATCTGAAACAAACACAAGTCCACTGACTTTTTCAGTTTATGCTTTATCTTTAATTTATTTGCATTATTAAGTTTTATTTAAATTGTATCTGTGTTGATTTGCTCTATAAAATTCTAATCTATATAGCTTGTACTTAATTTCCTTCTGTCTTTTTCCATCCTTCACACTCTCCTATTTTCCCATTTATCTTTCACCAGCTCACTATCCAGCTGAAATGAGAGTGTGGCCCTAACCTTGCTTCCTGGTCATATTTATGCACTGTCAGTTGCATTTGGCAGCTAGAAGTTTTTCTATTTATATATTTTCTTTATTCAACGGTGTGCTGCTGTTTGGTGTTTTTAGCACTAAGGGGAGCTCTTGCTGTGCATATCTCGCATCACTACTCAGTGTATGACCGTGCTGCTCGGCCAATCATTTTCAATAAGTGAAAATATGTGAGGTCTTTTAAAAAAAAAAGTACTTATAACCTTCTCAAGATTTTTAAATGAATTTCTGCTATATTATAAATTAATGTTAACCTAAAGCTGTTTTTTAAACATGTTTTTTTAAAGTAGTTTGGCCCAACTTTTTTGTGAATTTCAGAGCTGAAAGCAGAGGTGGAGAATCTGCGAGCTGCTCAGATGAGCTCTCAGGGTGTCGAGCCAGAAAGAGTCAGGCTATTCCAGCAGGAAATTACCACCCTGAAGAACAAACTCTCTCAGCAAGAGAGAGAGATGGTCGAAGCCAACCGGTCAGCTCCACAGCACTGATTTTACACATTATTGCTTGTTTTTGTCTTACATGACCCTGAAACAAATTCTTTGCTTTTCAATAAGAAGAACCTAAAGCGAAAGAGTTAGTTAATGCCAGCCGTTACGACAAATCTTGTTAAGATTGTTCATGGTTTACTTACATTTCAAGCTGTATGTGGTTTTAGATGAATCTTACTAGGTAATTGCAGGGTTTCCTTTTGGTCTTAATGGGGATTTGTTTGTTTTTTTCCAGGGCATGGAGAGAAAAATTTGAGCAAGCAGAAATCCGTAAACGTGAAGAGACCAAGGAGTTACAGGTATATATATATATTTTTTAACATTTTTACTTTCTATCACTCTATGCAGCATCAATTTCATTTTATGAAATGGTAAAACTTTTCCGCTTTAGGAAAAATGAGCATGGACATTAGCTGTCCCAATGCTAAAATATGTTTTAGTGAAGACAAATGATGAAAATCTCACATTTCTCAATTTGTCCATTCAGAAAGTGGGTGTGACATTCAAAGTTGACAACCGTCTTCCCAACCTGGTGAATCTGAACGAGGATCCTCAGCTGTCTGAGATGCTTCTCTACATGATCAAAGAGGGCCAGACCACAGTGGGCAAGCTCAAACCTGGCTCCAAGCATGACATCCAGCTTTCTGGAACTCTCATTGCTGACCAACATTGGTGAGAACTAAAACTGGGCAGGGTGTGAATATAATAAGTGTTCAGTGACAATGATGTTATGTACCGCGTATGCTGAATGCTGTGTATAATAATCAGGATGGTAAGATTAAACTTTAATTCAATTTTTAAAAAGATGCTCCTTTAAAGCTTCTGTTTAAAATTAGAGATACATTTCAATAGGTTTAATATAGTTTTATTTTGCTGTTTAGTGTGATATCCAACATCCACAATACTGTAAGCATCAGTCCTATGGAAAATGCCAAGACCTTTGTAAATGGAAACCTCATATCTGCAGCCACTGTCTTACATCATGTAAGTAGAATAAAATATTTCATTATATTCCAGGAATGATGTAAACATGATAAATATATCAGCCTGTCTGTCCAAAAGATTTAATAGATCATTTTAAATCCTCATAATCTTTTTTTTTATTTGACACCCAGGGCGACAGGGTTATCCTCGGGGGAGACCACTACTTCCGCTTCAATCATCCAGCAGAGGTGCAATCTGGGAAGCGGGTATCATGCTGGACAAGCGCAGGCGATGGCCATAAAGACTTTGAATTTGCCAAAAATGAGCTGCTTGCTGCTCAAAGAGCAAAGTGAGTGTTAGAGGGCTTTCATGTGAATGGGAGCAGAAGACCAATGGTCTTTGTCCTGCTGTGTGTCAAAATCAGATGATCTATTTTTCTATGTTTCAGACTTGAAGCAGAAATTGAAGAGGCCCATTTAAAAGCAAAAGAGGAGATGATGCAGGGAATTCAGATGGCAAAAGAGGTGGCTCAAAAGGAGCTTTCAGACCAGAAAAGTCTTTATGAAAATAAGATCCGAGCCCTGGAGAGAGAGCTGGTAAACTGACGCCTTCCTGTTTCTATCTGTTTCAGTTAAATTCTAATCGAAAAGCTGGAATAGGTTTTTTGCACTCCAATTTATGACTGTAATGGTGAATAATTTGTCAATTCTAAAGGACTCATGCATTGTTTATGATATGTTTTCAGTGACTTTTTTTTAAAAATCACAATGCGTTACATTGCATTATTGCATGACCATCGACAAAAAAGGGAAAAATACTCGGAATTCTGCAATCAGTTAAATTTTTTTCAGAATGAAGAGAATGAGCGAAAGCGTCAGCAGGAGTTAAACCAGCAGAGGGTGGTAAATCAGATGGCAGAGCTGAAGGTGGCCAAGCTGGAGCTGGAGCAGGAGGTAGACACCCAGAAGAAACGCCTCCGACTCCACATGGAGGCCCAGGTCAGAGCACCAGAAAGTTGACATTTTATGCTTTTTTTATGCATTATATTTTCTGCATCTGTTCTAAATTAATTTGCTAAGTTGAAAATAAGTCATCTTTTTCTACAAGTACCTAATATAGAGCTAGTTTTTATAAAAAATGAGTCGAACGTCTAATTATGGCATTTTTATTTTATTTATTTTTTCTTTGCTTTAATCACTGAAGAGTTAACCCTCTGTGCCTTAAATCCACAGTATTGAATGATAACACCCATCAAATCTGTAGAATTGAACTGGAGATATCAATCTTTAATAAACTACATAGGTTATCTTTATAGTTCTTCCTTACTAAATTTAAAGAAAATAAAGATCAGCTATGGTTTCACAATTGTGTGGAGCATCATCTCAAGTAAGAAAAAGTGTTGTAGAATTGAATAAAACTTTTTAACTATAAGACTGCTTTCCAATGAGAAACTGTCTTTCCAATATGCACATACTGTTTAAAACTGCCCTACATGTTGGGATCCATACTGTGTGATAGATCTTTTTCCAGTGAAGGTAATTACATCACAGCTTCCTTTTACAAAAGATTTTTCTTCATGATTTTTTGATGATACAAAGCAGCTTCAGAGGTTTAGTCAAATACTTCAACACCTGGTTTTATGTTTACCTAGGGACCTTTTGGGATACCTTTTAAGTCATGCTAGAGCTTGGCTTAAGGCTACATGTTATGGCCTGATGATTTTTAATGTTATTTACATTGCTTTGATTCACCCTAGGCTATGGAGGAACGTCGAGTATGCCAAGCAAAGATTGTTGAGGCCCTGGAGGCGGAAAAGAAGAAGATTGGCAAAGAGCTGGAGGAGATGCAAAAGAAACGAGCTCTGAAAGCTAGCCAAACTCCAAGAAAGGGTGGAGTATTTTACACCAACTTTAACATTTTGCACATCTTGTATCTATTTGCTAAAAAAGAACTGTGAGGTGTATGCCTTCAAGATTCTTCTTTTCTTGAATGAAAGGCTATATTTGCTACCAGTGGTGTTAAATCAGATATGTAGTACAAGGGTTGGTGTTTCACTTCCATAACCAACTGAGTGCTTGTGTCCTGTGTATAAATGTACTGTCTGTTGCTACAAAAAATGCTCATAACAATTTCCTATTTTTCTCTATTACCGTTCTAGCCTCTCCACATTGGGATGCCATGAAGTTGTCTTTAATGATTGAGGAAGCAAATAAAGTCAGTGCTAAATTGAAAAAACACACAGTCTTCAGCAGGTAGGATCAACATTTAAAGTCTGAATGATTTTTTTAGTTTACAGGCCAATGAATAACATGAGCATGGCAGTATTTATTGAATTTCTTTGCATCATGGCTTTTCCCTAAGAGATTCCACAATGTGAGCATTGGGTCCATCAAAAATGTTTTATTTAAATCATACAACAGTCATGTTGTTTTTCTTCTGTTTCAGGCATGAGAGTGCTGAGAATGAGAACCCGGAACAAGGTGCCGTGCAGGTGCGGGTTCAAAACACCAAGCTGGGAATCTGTACTTTCTGGAGCCTGGACAAGTTTCAGAACAACGTGGCTGCCATGAGGGAGCTGGAACAGGTTTGGAAGTCTCAGTTATTGAACCTGAATCCTGACAAAAACTTGATTGATGGTTTTCAAATGCAACTGTCGAAAAGGCAGTAAGGTTTCGGCCAGTTTGTAGAGATTAATGAGAAATTTGACATCTGACAAAGCAGTTTTTATTTATTTTTCGATTTAATTTGATTGTATTGTTACTATTTGATTTTGCTTTGTTCTTTGAACTGAACACATAATGACTATTGATTAAAACATATACAGATAGTTGGCATCTTTCTTTCTCCAGTTGCATTCTCTGAAACTGAGGTCAGCTTACACAGAAATCCCATTTGTCTTGACATTTGACTTATTTACAATCCAAAATGGATGCTCTGATGGCCACCTTAAGGAAACTGCCTCACTTTGCAGTTCTTTTCTCATTAAATTGAATAAATGAGATTGGGCTTGTCAAAAGTACTTTAATCTCTGCAGATGGAGTCAACCTCTAAAGATGACGATGTGTTTTATGACCCTGATGATGAGTGGGAGCACGATATATCAGCCTCCTCTGCTTCTACGTTGTCCTTTTCTCGCCGAAGGTAATTATCCAGCACCTCTTTCTATCCGTCAAGTCCACATTTTAGCGTCTTTGGCGTTTATGGTAATAAAACATGTATTTCAGAAATGGGATGTATTCCTGCTCTGTTGAATGAAATATGCAGTTATGAAAGCCCTCAAAAAGAGAACTTGTCCCTAAGGATGTTGTAGGAATGTCTCTCTGCACTCCCCTTTTTACTGTTGAACCATGTCAGGGCTTAGATGAAGTATTTTGGATATTAATATGCAAGTTCTGATCCACTTCTTTCATGCTCAGCTCTTTTATTTGAATGATATCCAGAAAAAAAATGTTTGGAAATTCAGGAAAAGTCTGTTAGATGGAAAAGTTGCAGTTCAGAACGTTTTACTTATTTTCCTAAGTTCTTACTGGTTTCCAACAGTGTAATTTACAAGCTGGCACATACAGTTGATGTTCCATCCTTTTTTCTTTTATGAAAAGGCTACACAGTATACTTCCCAGCTTGTTGTATTTCCCCTGTTTAATAATTCTGTGTCCACTAAAGTCCTGGCAGGGCATTTGGAAAAGGAAAGGAAACTTCATGTCCCATAATCTAAACATACACATCTCCAGTCATACAGGCTGAACCCCCAACATTTTCTCCCCACAATGTTATTCTTCTCCTGTGCTTCAGCTGGCACCGAAACTACCACCAGATGCAGCCAAATGGAAGATGGCACAGATTCTGTGGTTCCGTCATACTGTTCTCTTTTGCTCCATTAAATATCTATGCAATGGCTGAAGTACATGTTATTCAAAGTAAACACAAGAAACTTGTGCTGCAAACAAATGGACCAGACCCAGTGAATAACTAAGTACACAATATATGTTGCTTTTATTTAACAGAAGTTCTTCTAGAATCTTTTAAACTGATTTATTTTACTATGTAAAAAGCTTGTAGAAATATATTCTGCCAACTCAAATAAGAAGCAAATACATTACGGGAGAGATGGTACAGCATAAAAAAGGTGAATAGATGAGTAAACATTGACCTGAGCTGAAATTTACCTTGTTGTTATGACAATATTTGTAATTAGAGCAGACATAGAATGAAAAGTAAAATATGATGCAAATTGACTGTAGAATTCTGACAGGGCCTCTGTTTGGATTTCAGGAGCAGGAGTCTTCTTAAGAGCAGAAGAATCTCAGGACGGCTGTACGAGATCCGGGTCCATCCAATTCAGAGCCTCCACACCGGCTCCTCGGGGTCAGCTGGTAAGGGAATCAACAAAACGACTTAAGTCACGATACCTGTGTCATTTTTTTGTCAAGTATTTGAGTGGTAAGTAACCAGACAATGGTTTTAACAGGTTTAGGGTTACAATTTAGATGTTCATTAAGTTATGTTAACATTTATAATGACACAGAGTTAAAGAAGTGTTTCACGTAGCCTTTTTGTAGCTCTAACTCTATTTGACCCTAGGGTTAATGGGTGTGAGCAAACATCCCTCCACCCACTGCAGCACTACAGACACTGCTTTTGCTGGCATCTGCAAGGAGCTGATTGGCCAATCAGTGTCCCATCTACGTAGATACAGTGGGGTAGAAGAAACCCTTGCGGACAGACTGATCTCTGATCTGAATCAAATTTACATGGCGGTCCAAACTATATGCGACTTGCATGATAACCTGGATGATGACAGCCAGGAGAGCGGTGAGTTTGAAACAAATTCCAAATAATAATTTAAATTATCAACAAGATGGTTTTCATTTAAAAAAAAATCTATGTTATTATTACTCATTAAACAAAAAACATGGTATCCATGTAAAGCTAAAATACCTTTGAGTGCCTTCCTGTTTAAGCATGAGCTTCATTTTTCTTTTCTTTTGGCTCATATAGTGTTTGCATGTAACAAAGTGGCACAGACTGAGCTGGTCAAAGCCACCACTGCAATAGACAGTGCAGCGTTTGTTACCATGCAGTGGTTGTCCAGTGTCAAACCCAACTCTGGCCTGCTCTACACCATCGCTGAGGAACTCAAGAGCCAAGTCAAGAGGATGGGAGGTTTCTTCCAGATGCTTATTCAGGTGAAAAAAGAAAACTCCCAGATTAAAACCTTTACAGTGATATGATACTGGAGTAATCCTGATACTTTTCGTGTATATAAAAGTTAAAAAAGAGAACAAAATCTAAGCTGACAAAACGGTTTTCAATTTGGAATACTTTTTCAGATGGGGTGGCTTATCAAAATGCAGAGCATTGATTGACGGATCTTAGCTCTGAGCTGTTTGAGCCCTGTCTATGGAAATGGCAAAGCAGAGGGAATTCTCAGCCTTGAGCCCCACACAGAACATGAATATATGGAAAATTAAATCTAAATTCCTTACCAGTCTCAACACCTAAACACACTATTTTCCCCTTTCAGCCCTGATTTATAATATTTTCCAGCATTTTAATTTATTTACTGATCCTTCAGACTTGGTGGACTGTTGTGCTGGCTTGCGAGTATTGATTCACCATTAAATAGATTCTAACTCTACCTGTTTGTCAGTTTGTTTTTGCACACTTGATGTTCAATGTTTGGTGGTTTGTGTTTTTTTTCAGTTTTTTTTTTAAAAACATTTTTTTATTTTTTTTAATCTCCCATCCAGGGTTGTGAATCTGAGATCACATCAATGGTGACTGAGGCACGAAGGAAGAGCAGCCAGTGTCTGGATGCAGCCTTACTTGCGCTAGGCCACATGGCTGTGGTGACGGGCATGCCGCTGAACATCATGGGACAAGGCACTCAGGCCACAGGCAAGGTAATGCCACCAATAACTCTGCAGCAGCTACTGCCTCTCTTAAGGCTCAGGGGTGCGCTCTATTTAAGCTCCTACCTCATAATGAGAGAATGCACTATTAACTGTGTGGATATCCTATAGCAAGGAAGATATTAAGAAGTGTGAAGTTAATGATCTGAATATGAATGTGCATTTGAGTTGTTCAATGTGCAAGTGCTGTGGAGTTTTATTTTGCATGTAAAAAAAAAAATCAAATGACTCTAAACTGCTCAACCGATTAAACAACTGTGTGATATTAACCACATAAAACCCTCTATATATTGATAGAATATCAACTAATCAATATTTTACTGTTGAATCCACTCGCATCAAACTCCTCAGGAACCAGCATTATTAGGAAAAAAACCCTCTCTTGCTGTGTCTTGGCCAGAAAAAAAATTAACATACCACGACGATGCCAACTTAAATAAAAGATCTATGTTTCTGCAGAGTAACATTTCTTTCAATGCAAAAGAAAGCTGCATAGACTGAAAACACAAGTATAGTCATTTTATTCACATTCTTAATGTCTGTTGGGGCTCATTCACCAAGACACCAGATGCCGTACTGATAAGTTCAAAGAGGGTGGAAAGGATACTCTGGGAACTAACCATGGAAAGTAAAAAATATTAATGAAATTGTGACTCATCTGATCATCCCAATGTGTCTTCTCAGCAATCAATGGTCACTATCTTGGTGAAGGGAACATATAAGGGTGTCCAGTCTCTTTTAGAAGAGAGCCTTGCCATCACCAAAGAAATGTTGAGAGACGCTCAGCTGGCCTATCCCAGAAACCCAGTAAGAGATTACATTACAGTGCATTTATATTATACATATACTACATTGCATTTCAATAATATTACTAGCACTATTAGCATAGTACTACTTGGTAAAAATTTGATTTTTCTGTTGTAATAACTTGCCTTTCACTGCTTACAGGTTCTGCAGAGCTTAAAATCCAAAACTCTCGATACAGCTCAGGCCCTCCAGAGATACATAAATTGTCATATTTCGGTGAGTCCCAGTATTACCACAAAGTATGCCAACAATGTTAGTTGTAGTAACACTACAAAAGAAAAGGTCATGTTCACATGTTACACGAGAGCATCAGATATTAGTCGCATGGAATTTCAACATTTAAAAAGGAAAAAATGATGGCAATTGCATTGTTAAGCTAAGAATGACACATTGGTGTTCCCAGCCAAGGGTTCTTATTTACTCTGTATCTTCTAGTAAGAAAGCCATTATTCAATCTTGACAGATGTTTAAATGTTACAGATTAATACCCATGCCCACAACAACCCTGTTAAAGATGCCACTCACCCTTTATGGCTCCTATAAAGCTCAGTGCTTTGTAGCCTTATCTCCGTGCAGTCATCCCTTGATGACCGTTTGCGTAATGAATGTGTTGAATGAAGTGCCATAAGTCACAGCTAACAGGCTCGCCTCCTGTTATCTTAGCCACACAAACTAGCAGTGTTTTTTTTTTTGTAATTTTTATTGAACCAATAACAGACACATATAGGCACGGGCATGTTCTGCTGCCTGTTGTGTCATTGTTGTCAACCTGTCCTGAATTATGGCCTCAAACATCTACACTTAGTGTCCTTTGAACGAATGTAGATGCATCTGCCTGTGCAAAGTTTCATCAAAAAAACCTAAACTAAGAAATGTCAAGCACTAAGTTCAATTTAGTTTGAACCTGCGCTGTCTATTAGCATCTAAGTGTTACTCAATATTTCATATATATTATTTACTCTGTATTGAGTGTGTTATTGTTTTCATACAGGTAAAGGAATCTGACCAACAGGAGATGGAGCAGGGACAAGAGGAGGCCTCAGTTGCTCATTTACAGAAACTGAGGATTGCATCCACCAAACTGTTCCATCTGAACCAGGCCATCCAACAGCTGCATGCCTGTCTGTCATCAGCCTTACGAGGTGATTCACACGTAGCTCGGTTTATGCAGAATTAGTTCCTCTACAAACATTCTCAAATCACAAGCACCAGAGGCAAGCTCTGTGGAGCCTCAGACCAGTGACAAATTAAAGGAAACACCATCAAGCCCTTTTTTACTTGTAAGCCTGTCTACATTGGCACTGATTTGCCATTTCACTGCAATCCTACTGAAGAGATGGAAAATTTTCTTCCCGCAGTATTTTCACATGTGGTACACTGTTGATGGAGGAGGAGGCTGACCGATATCCCATGGGAGCTTTGTTTGGTTGAGATTTAGTGACTGACAGCCATAGATTCACTTCATTTTATAGATGTAAGACCATCCAGTTAGACACGTCTGACGCTTAGTGCCATGTTAACAACTGTCTCATCTTTATCTATATATATATATATATTTTTTTTAATGTATATATATACACACAATCTCTGTCACAACAGGGGATTTTGTTGCTATATGTGCCACACTAATCCATCCTCCTTAACCTCTCCAGACAGAAATTCTGATCTCAGCAGCAGCAGAGAGCAGATCTCCTCCTCTGCTAAGATTGTGGATGATCTGATCACTGGCCTATCCAAGGAGGGAGCAGGAACTCCGTCCCTGCAGCTTCCATGCCTTCAAACCGTGTTGTCTGCACGAGACGAGCTCCTCTCTGCCCTGCGCGACCTCTCTTCTTTCTCCTCCTGGAGCCAACAGGGAGAAAGCAGAAGCTCAGCTGGTTCTGAGCAGAGTACGAAGAATGGCTCACTGACCAAAGATGGAGTTATCAAACATAGTTCTGTGAGAAATAGGGTTGTAAGTAAGATGGTTTACTCCCTTGACCAAGCTGAGCAGTGCAGTGTTAGCCCACACTGGGTGTAGTGTGTGTTTGTTCGTTAGTGATAATCAACACCATAATCTATGGATTTCCTTAAAAAAAGAAGATAAATTCTAGACATGAGGACAAATGTGTTGACCTGCTTTGGTAATTTTTCTTTAACTTTATGTAACAGGCAGCAAATACTTTGGAAACGGCAGGATGGCAACATCCACTGATTGTAATTGTTTTTACACAGGAACTCGTCTAATGTCTGTGTAACTGGTCCTTTATAAGTCATGTTAATACAGCCAGTGTTTACTGCTGGTTTTGTTGTTGTTTTTTTCTCCACCAACCACAGCAAAACCTCTTCCCAAAAGACTAAAGTTATTTTTGAGCTGTGCACACCAGAATCTGTAGAGTTTAACTGAAAATTCTGGTGGATAAACATTATTCTGGGTAAATGACTATAAGGCAAATATTACTCTCCGCTGGGCCAGACTATCATTCAATACATTTGCATGACATCAGAAGAGGGAGAATGATTGTGCAGTTCAGACTAAAATTTGACAGTAAAGATGTACATATCAAATTGTATCAAGTCTTATTTCTCAAAGTTGGACTATGATACCCAGCTTATTTGCTCAGGGTTTTTCTTTGCATGCAATGAATTGGCACCAAACTGGCCTGGGCTGCCGTTTCTATCACTAGCTTGAACAAAAAAGTCACAGAAGATGCTACAACTGATGGTTTAGACAAAATATTTGTTTAATTTTTATTCTATTTAATTAAAATTTTCTAATGTTGTTTTGAGAAAATGAAAAGAAAGACTGTAGAAAGTGTGCAGAGCTGTAAAGCTCACAGATTTTCTGCTCAACATGGTACAAATATTGTAAACTCCATTTGATACTTCTGTTTAAAGTTATAAGTGTGTTAGCTTAACAGTAAATAGCTTTTCAGAATAGAATTGGACGTCCAGGGTTTGCATGTTGGAACTCAGTCAGTATTTCAGTTGAAGAGCAGAATTACTGTGCTGTATTTTTTAGAGGCAACTAAATGCTTTTTTTGGGCTATATATCATATACACTTTAGTACCAAGCAGTTCAGCTAAGCAGACTATGCAGAATGCATATTTTGTTACTGTATTAGCCAAAACCTTTGCTCTTGTATATTGTGTAACGCACCAACATTTGCACTCTGATATTTAGAAATCCTGTTAGCACTACACACGTAAACAAAATGCTGTTTTATACCTTTTTTGTGACCTGTATATGTATTTAAAAAAGAATGAATAAAAATGGATGTAACATTGCCCCCTATTAGCTGTGATGAATTATCTGTATTTACTGAAAGCATAAAGGGTTATTTGCGTCTGATTTCCCTGGTCCATTTATGTTTTCTCAGATTTAGATGAACAACAGCGGTAGACCAGAGTCAGAGCAGACCTCTTGGAGTCCACCCAAAGGCCCCTGGGTCTCCCTAAACCCTATTTTGGCAACCCTCTGCTGGCTGTGGGTTACACCCACCCCCGTGCGCAATCTGTAACGCATCCTCCCTTCATGCTTTCAGAAGTCAGCTCTACTCTTACGAGGCTCTACCCATATACGTTAGAGAAGAGAAAAAACTTCCCAAAGTGCTTAAAAGAATTAAAAGAAAAACTGCCTTCGCACGAAAAGGATGCAAATAGCGATCAGAGACACGACGCGACTGGAATGAGAGGACGCACAACAAAGGAGTAACTCAGGTAAAACAATCGTTTTGTCCAGTCGAACAGAAGAAAGTTTATCCTCTTTCATTCTCCGCTAACAAAGTTTTCCACTCCTCCTCTTCAGGATGCGCGTACTATTATTCCCGAGCCTAGGCCTGCTTGTAAGTAGAAAGTCTTTATATTGACGTTGTGCTCTTTGCTTTGTTGTGTCATCATCCAAGAAATGATCCTTTCCCCCCCTGAAAAGAGTAAAAAAGAAAAACAGGCTAACTATACATTAATTGATTGGGAGCGTGTCACGAATAGTGCCACAAGTGAGAAAAATAAGTACTAGAATAACTCTGAAAAACGGTTGACAGTCTCATCTGTTCTTAGGGTTTATATGGCTGATAATTTCAAATGGGGAGTAAGGGCTTTATAAGATTTGTATAGATTTTAATCCTTAGTGAGGCTGAATGTGCTTCTTAATAAAATCCATGTGACCCTCAAGAAAGGAAGATGGGGCAGAATGGAGACCAAAGATTCTGACTAAACCCCAGCACATCTCTGTTAGGGTTGGGGCTAAGTTGTGTTGTAATGGTTTAAACCAACATTCAGATTGGATCATATCAAAGCCAGGGACTTTAGAGGTTATTGCAGCTTTAAAAACATATTACATAGTCTGTCATTAATTTACATTTTGTCATATTTAATTTCTCAAAGAGAGCAATGTAAAAAAAGAGAAAAAAAGAAAACTGAATTTGTAATCTTTCCAAAAACACAAAGATTGTGGATTATAACTTCATAATTACTGTAGTGGTGTGAATATTGAATTAACTGTTTCAGTAATACGGCATCAACAATGTAGGGAAACACCATTCCCTCTGTAATATTAGATTTACAATATTGCCACTGATAAAACAAATAAAATAAACTTTCTCCATGTGATTAATACATGGAGAAGTTTATGTCTAAATCTTCTGAATTTTCATTCTATGGATTGGAGTGTAGCTTGATTAGTGACATCGGCCTATATGGCAAAAAAACCCCATCTTTTTCCACTTTTAGTAGCTCATACACAAAGGAACAGTTACAGTTTGAAGCCCAATGCGAATGACTCGTAACACTCCATTCATCAGGGCTTCAGTGAAATGTAAATCATTTCCCCTTAAACCTGACTCAGTTTATCCTGTGATGTTTGGCTCACTTTGCCCCATATTAGATATTTCATAGGTAATTCACCAGTTAAGGAAAACCTTTTGCTAAATGATTAACATAGTTTCATACACTGGCCCATTTAAATAAAATGGATTTCAATTTGTAGCCTTGACCCTATAAGCCAAAAACAGATATTTTTTGGATCGTTGCTCATTTATTCTCACCCATTCCCTTATTACCGAGGCACCCGGTGCTTCCAAAGCCTGGGTCCCCTGTTCATGAACAGTTCGAGTCAAATAACGGGAAAAGCGATTCATTCAAATAATTAATCATATTTACATTATTTTCTAAACAAAAAAGGAGTAGCTAAACTTGTGCTTTTGTTTCAGGTTTGCGTTCAGAGCTTTATAAAAGGTAAGTCATTTTCTGTCTTCAACAGCTGTCAAGACTCCTGTTAAGTTGACCAACTAAAGGAGCCAACACGTTAATTGTGTACATAGTATATATTTAAAGGTGGCCCTCACTTCAGCCACTACATTGGAGTAAGAAACACAAACTAAAAAGGGAGGTAGATAGTTGTTTTTGCCGCTATTCAGTCATGTCACTGTTTAGTCATTTTACAGGTTTGCTATTTTTGTCATTATCCTCATTTTTTGTTCAAGCAATCCCATCCCATTTTGGTAATGTTATTTCCATTTAGTCTTTACTTAAAGCCACATTTTTACTTGAACCGTGCCCATTTCCCCTTTTGCATGGCTTGATAGTCAGATCCTTTTTTTATGGGCATTTGGTGATTGTAAATGTCTTAACCCAAGGGCTCTTTGATCGTTTATGCAATTTGTACATTGTCCCACCTCTATATCAGATCAGTCCAACAAATCCAACTAAAGGACAGGACCATCTTTTTTTGTTTGTTTGATTTTAATCTATATTCAATAAGACTGTTAGATCATAGAACCAAATAAAGAGTTGTGGGAATAAACCAAATTGTAAAACTACAAGAAAAATAGGTTTAAAAGAAAGCTGAGAAGGAAAGTCTAAGGACTAATAAGAGAGGGAGTCCTTTCAGGAAGGCAGCCAGATATTTTAGCATTAGCATCATCATTTGGCTGGTGGCTTATTGCACTCAGTGAGTGTAACTTACCCGCCCATTTAATGCATGTTTTGAATATGTGCAGAAGAAAAAGAGTTCCAGCAGATGCTTCTCAGGCACTCAGATATCACTATGATAAATTAACAGAAAAGTTAGGTATGTAGCTTTCTTTTTGTTCTATTGGCTGGCTTCTGAAGGGAAACCTGACTTTCTCTATTTCCATCTTTATTAATTTACATGGTAAAACATTTAGCTTGAAATGGAGTGCTCTTTTTTTCCATGAGTCACCAATTTCATCACTCAGATACCAGTCTGCAATGAAATTTAGTAACACACATGGTCTGAATAGTATTCAACAATTCCAGGCATGTCAGAAACTAATTGACAGTTACAGTTTAAATTTCACCTGTATTGTCCAATGCATTTTTTCCAACAACTTCTTCTTTTTCCATTTTTTTTTCAAATTTTGTAATCTACCTTGGATCAGCTTTCACAGTGGAAACCAGGACCCAAACCTATGATGAGTCGTATTATGAGTATGTACCTGATCTTCTGCAATGGAAGACTGCAGAGGAACTATGTAACCAGCGCTCTGGGGCCTTAGCAACCGCTTCCAGTCCTGCAGAGAACCAAGAGCTAGCCAGTTTTTTAAAATCCTTGAACATCTCTCAGCCTGTGTGGATTGCCAGGAGACTCTTGAAAAGTAGGTTTACCATCCCGTTTGTTTAACTTTATAGCTGATTTTTAGCAATCTTTCATTGTTTTTCTTATCCAAGACATATTTCTGCCAGCCTACTCTCTTAACATGTTTAGCCTCAGTTAATATAGGTTTCTCGGCTATTAACATCATTAATAGGACTGCAAAATGGAATTTTATGAAAAGCTCCCATTTTTTCCATAATGTGAGCCAGGCCTTTTCCCTCATTGCCTCTTTGTTTTCTCTCTTTGTGGTGAAACTGAAGGTTCCTCTGACACCCTGATTTTGGACTTCTCTGGGCGCTCGGATAGGAGACATGCCCGTCTTGTGCACAAGTTTCCCTCCATGGGCTCGGTGACCGTTTGCACACAACTCCGCTTTAATCAAGATTGCTTTGGAAGTTTCACGATTTTCTCTTATTCCATCCCATCCTTCACTAATGACTTCCAGCTTCGAGCAAACCTGTCCCAGAGTAAGCCTGTGAAGTTGGCTCTTCTGGTCCACGGCATTCACGGGCCTTACATAGAGGCCTTTGCTCATGACTTCAGCTGGCACTCAGTGTGTGTTTCCTGGAGCCATAAAGGTGGACGTTGGACACTATATACTGATGGTTTAATGGTCTCAAGGGGTGATGGCCTGAACAACACTGACAGCATTGGCCCTAATGGCCACTTTGTTGTTGGGCAGACGCAGGACACGTTCGCAGGCTCATTCTCAGGGAGCATCGCAGAGCTGCACATTTGGGATCGGGTGTTGAACAGCAGTCAAATAATCGCCATGAAAAAGAGCTGTTCACCCATCCCCACTGGGCTGGTGTACAAGTGGAATGAAACGACCATGGATATAGAGCGCTCCCTTAAAAAGGAGTGGAGAAACAGCCCATGTGAAGGTAAATTAGTTTTGATGGAACCTAAGAAAAGAGACAGAGGATGGCTTTGTTAAATATATGTCTAAGCTAAATTGATCGTCTCAAGCTTTTCTTTTAGTTTTAAGAGAAATAAAAGACTGTTATCTGTATAGACCGTCCAGAAATATACCATACCTGTCCTTAAATGTTTGGTTTTAAATAAATATTTCGAGTGGAGTACACATATGCACACTTTATCTTACAGGATCATATAAAAAATAGACCTTTAAGTAAACGATCTTTGTAATACATTCTGAAATTGTTGCATCTTTAGTAAAACTTACGCTTACACAGACACTCTTCCAAACTCCTTTCCTGTCTTACTTTCTCCCTCCAGTAAGTACTGGAAATGGTGACCAAATTGTAATGGGCAAATGTAAGACTCCTAACGGTTCTTGTAAATTTTTTGTGACTCGCATCATTCCGAGTCCCACCCTTCAAAACATACTTCTCCCTCTCTGACATCATGGTCCCCAGGGAGAGAGTGAGTCCAAGAGTCTCACTCCCTCTCCTTGAACAAACATGCAGCAAGAGCGGCGTGGTTGCTTTTAATTTACTGATCTTGACTTATATTGTCAAAACCTGGCTTTTTTGTATCAGTTTACAGAGACATCTGTTGAAGTCATGGCATTTATCGGGTTCAAAACATAGAGACTTTGGTAGTGCTTTCTGCACAGTACTGAATATACTGTGACATTCCTCTACTCCCTTATCCTATCAATCCAAAATAAGTCTTAGTAACATATTTACCAAAGTCCTGATCCATCACCCTCAGCAGGAAATCCATAAAACCCCCAAATCTACCTTTTTAGAACTACTTGGACTAAAGGGAGACAGTGAAAGGCATAGTTTTTCTGAAATATTTTGACAAAGGAGCTGGATCAAGAGCTTTGGGGACTCTGCACTGTTTAATGGAGGGCGTGCAAAGGGTTGCCTATGAGGGAGAGCAGTTTGGTCAGACATTTCTGTCTCAAACATGTTTAATTTTTGTCCCCGTTATTGTTCCAGCACTCTGGATCAGTTTGTAGAACCCTTTAGCATCTCTGGCAGTTATGCTACTCCCCCAGCAGACCCCACAGCACAGTAGATGGCATTCACCCTGATAAAAGATCTCAAGTTTTCAAAGGGGTTTGGCCCTTGCCTTGGATTTTATTCTATTATTTAAGTAAAAAAGGTTCCAATGACTAAATTGTTGTACACCTAAATGATAGTGACGCTTTAAAATTTGGCATATGAAAAGAATATTTTCACAAACTGTATATGTATAAGTTTAGATTTGTTTTCTTTTTGTAGAGAATGTATAATTGGCAAAAGGTAAATGATTCAACTTACAATATTATCTGAATCCCACTGACTCCTTGAACAAATCTCTTTTATTTTCAGAAAATTCTTTCCCTGAGTTATCCAGTAACCCCTCATCAGATGAAGACTGTGGCATTTTTGAACCCGCTACTGAGAGCTCTGACCTAATCAAGTGCAACTCACACAGAGGGGCTGTCTGTCAGTTTAAGAAGGGTAATTCTTGATTAAATCTGTTTATTTGTTTACTCTAAAAATGCAGCATATCTAGAGCATTGTCTCAATATCACACATAGTTGTGCTGTAATTATGACTACATTTTTCATCTTTTTTATATTGCTACATTGTCAATTTTCACAGTTTTAAAAGAATATGAGTTTAGTGTTCTAATGCAGTTGTAATACTCTTTAACCCTTAAGTTCTTTCTGTTTCTGCAGAAGGATTGGATGAGTTCAGTCTACCAAAGTCACCATTCTTCAGTTGGCTCAACAAGGATCCTAAAACCAAACTGGTGAGTTGGACAGACGATCAGCAGGGGCACCATCACATTAGATGACATGTACAAAATAAAAGCATTAATCACAACATTAAGACTGCTTATTATCAGCCTATGAAAAAGATTTTACCATGAATACATTTCAGCTTATGAAGATTAATTTTTCATCGTTGGTATGATGTGGCATGGCATTCCTCATTAGATTTTAATTGTTTCATTCTTCATCTCAACACCAAGTGTTTGTCTGAACTGCTTTGTTGGGTCAAAATCATAGAAAATATTACATTATTTCTGTTAGTGCCCATTACTGTGTGCATGTGGAAATAAAGCTCGAGATCCTGATATGTGCTTTTCTTCAGGTTATGGAGGAGCTAAATGTTAACACCTCCTGGAACAGGGATCTGACCTTGCTTCAGCAGCTGACACAGAACGTTCTCTATACGATGAAGGGCGGTGGCCCTCAGCCCCTGACCTCCAGCGATGTTTACTTCCTCTCCCAGATGATTGACATGGTTGCATCTACAGCTAGCTCTGCAAAAGAAAATGCAACAAAGGTGCTGGAGTCCATTGCTACCAACTATGTAAAGATTGCAAGTGTGATGCTGGAGCCCCACATGGCTGCGCAGTGGATGGGTCGCACTACGGACGGGGTGAGGGACTGATTTTTGTTTTTCTTTGTTTGTGTTGTTGTACCATATCCCATATATGACTCTTGGAGGGGGAAAGAGAGAGAAAAAAACAAGTCTTTGAAAAAATAACCAGCTGTTTTTTGGTTTCCATCCGCCAGAAGTGTGTATAAGAGCTATATATCTGTATCTTTTTGGCACTACTTGAACTTTATACAACTTTCATGTGAAAAGTTAAGAAATCACGTAACCTTTGTTGGCCGCTGTCTGACATTTTTGTTCAGGTCAGCGTTGGACCGTTCACCCTTGTGAAGAGCATTGACAGTCTCGCAGAAGTTGTGGCAGACACTCTGTCTGCAGAGCGAAAAGACTTCACTCTTGCTAGTAAGAACGTAGGTAAGATGACCAATCATTTTTATTTACACTGATTCAAGCCTCTTGACTTTTTTTAAAAATCTTAACACGTATAAGACATAACATTAGCAAGATGAAATTAACATATTGCTAAATAATATTAAAAAAAAAAAAAGTGGTTGTTTTAGTTATTTAAACTGGTTTTGTTGCTTATTACACCCATGCCCTCAGTTGTATACATGAAGTGGCAAAAACTGTCTCAAGAAAGCTGTAATCAAGTCTTCAAGCCATCTGCAGTCGGATCTCACAGCACAAGCAGCAGCGTTCATGATGAGCTGCTCATACCTGACTCCGAACTAAAGAGGATACATTCACTTGGTAGGAATCACATACACATCTCCATACCCGATGTTCACTTGCCAAAGAGATAAACCCTTTGAGCTCAGATATGAAGATGCACTGCAGAAACATGAGATACATGCAACCACTCAGGTTTATTTCAGCTCACTTTGTAAGATGAATACTTAACTTCTGATCTTAGTCTTTACAGATTAAATGCTAACTAAAGATTTAGAATTTTAACAAACGTTGCTATTTGTCTGTATATGTTTGACTTTGTATATTGTGGTGTGCATGTGAAAGTTTAGTTAAAAACAACATGAGGTCTGATCTGATTTTACCCTCTCAAATTAGGGTGTGAGGAGGTTATCTTTATTCACACACACTACAGCCATCTGAGCGAGGTTATGTCTGAAGCAGAGGAGCCTGCGCCGAGTCAGCGAGAGAAAACTCAAAGGTTGGCTGTTGTTTTTCCATCGATTGCTGTGCAGACAAAGAATCAATTCCCCAAAATAACCTGCCTGGAGCATATTGTATTTTGATATCAACATTCTATGGTTGTACTTTTAGTAAGTTTAATGATTATTTACTTACTGCATCATAGCCAATCAGTTGCTGGTTTCACACAAATGCACTGTGTTCTTAGTTTCTTTGTGCGAGTACATTGTGTGTAGTACTCATTCTCAACTGCCTGTAAAACAGATTAATAGTTTATCCATTGAGAAGTAGATGTTAATACTTATTTCCATTTGCCTTTTCAGAATTTCTCCAGGTTACCTAACTTCTGCTGTCATATCTGCCACTGTCCGTGATGCCTTGAAGGCCCAAACCATTCCTGTGGCAGTCAAGTACACCCTTTCTTCTTCACATGTGGTACGGTCTATATTTCGGCAGATGTCACACAGTAAATCGTAATGTATGGCACACTGATGAGAAAGATCAAGGAATCTAATACCTGATGTGTGTCTGTTACTAGGTGGGATATTCACAGCGAGTTACTCCTACATGTGCTTTTTGGGATTTCATCCCACTGTAAGTACAACCAGTGACACACCCACATTAAACTGGAGCATTTTGAGCATGTTTTAAAAAAAAAAAAATCAATTTTCTTTCATCTTGAACTCATTTATCAAATGTGGCAGCACATGCATCATGTAAATGGATCTACAGTTACGTTCGACGTGATGCATGGACGTTGAAGTCTCATAATCAGTGAATGTGGGTTAAGATGTATGTTTTTGGGGCTTGCCACATAGGGACTCTCAATCAGGAAGCTGGTCCACTGATGGCTGCTCTGTGATCTTTGCCGGCTCCAGTGCCACGTCCTGTCTGTGCAACCACACCACCAACTTTGCCGTGCTGATGAATTACCTGGAGTCGAAGGTAGAAAAATCACTGACACTTCATTTCTGGCTGCCAGAAGACAATGCGTGCATTCTGCGTTCAATGCGTTTGCTCCTAAAGACGAAGGGGTTTAGTGTCTTGAACCATGAGTTGGATGTTTCTTTCAGGCTTTCTTTCTTTTGCTTTCTTTACCAACTGTGCCTGCTTGTTTACCTCTGAATACCCCCGCAATAGTGACATATTTCCTTCTCTTTGTCCTGTTTCTTCCCATCGCCATCCCTCTGCCTCTTTCCAGTGGAGTCCTGAGGAGGAGCTTATTTTGACCAAGCTCACATTCATTGGTTCTGGAGCATCACTGTGCGCGCTGGTGGTAACCTTGATGCTGTTCACTGTGCTGGAGTGAGTTGCTAATTTCTCTTCCCATTTTTTAACCTATGAAGCAAAACAAGTTGCCCTGATGCTGTTTGAAGAGCCAGACATGACTTAGTTGATTATGAATCCAGTTATCTCACATTTCTGATTATTTTTGCCCATTACCACTAAATCAGACCATGGTGTTCAGTTATGAGAAGAAAAACAATCTAACACTAGGATAACCTGCTGGCAGTGCTGAAGCATCTCTCTTTTCCCTAAGGCTTCTATCAGTATTGACTTGTGCTAATCCAGTAATTACTGTTGTCTACATGTGAGTCCTCTCCGAAGGTTTATGGCAGAATACTGGAGCTGTTAATTAACATTATGGTCACTGAGGGATCACACGCTGCTGGAGAGGATCAGCCCCAGTAATTTACGACTGTTCTGAAAACCGTGAATGCTGCCGTGCATTTCACATATAGTTCTCTACAATGTGCATTTACATTCAGAGGCACACTAAACCAAAGTGTCACACAGTAATGCATTTATAATGTGTACCTTTGATTAAAGCTTTGTCAGTTGAGTTTCTCACTGGTGTATATGAATTCTACCATCCAAATCTTCCATCCTACATTCTGACCTCCATCAAGGATAGGAGCTCAGCATTTTTTTTAAACATTTTCTCCTAAACTTGGAACAGAACGGGGAAAAAAGGCATTAAACTCTGCTGCTCCATTTTCTTGGAATGAGCTACAAAAAGACATGAAACTAGAAGATCTGGTTTCACTGGATTTTTTAAGAGAATGTTGAGAAACTTGGAGGAGGATACATCTGGCTGCAGATGTTTTAAATGATTATGTAATTTTGAACTCCCTAAGCAATTTTAGCAAATTTTGCCAAACAAAAACAAATTTTTGATTAATTGAAATCTCCTTTCGTGTCATGCTGCCCATCTTGGCCATTCAGAATCTCAATAAATTTTTTCTGATTAAACAGAGGTTGAATGAATTACCGGTAATAACACTGTTGACTAGCACACATGTGATGTTTGAACAAGTTGTAACGCATTGCTGTTAAGATAAAGGATCGTAAGGAATGAGCTGAATAATTGCTTCTAAGATTTTTTTTTATGGTCTTTTTTTCACAATTTTTGCCAGCATTTCTGCAATGTATCTTGTTTTTTATGCTGTCCTTTTCTCCGTCTGCAGTATCCCAAAATCTGACAGGACCTCCATCCATAAAAACCTGTTCATCGCTCTAATCTGTGCCCAGGTGATTTTGCTCTGCAGTGGCTCAGCCATTCACAGTAAGGTACGGAGCACACAGAACATGAGTGCATCTGCTTTCAGTATAAGTAATCTAACATTGTCACACCAAGAAGCGGACAGGGGGCTGAATGGTGAAAGATTAGTAGAAGTGTCCAATTAGTTGTGATATGGTGGCCAATAGAAGAATAAAATAGTCTTTAGTTGTATTTGAAGATTTCCTTCAGCAAATGTATATTTATGTTTATATTGTTTATTTCCATTACTGGATAAAATTAAATTATTCAAACTATAGACCTATTTATTCACACATGGTTAAAAAAGGCTCTTATTACAAGTATCAAAGTGGAAAATACTGCAGAAACATTCTCCAGCTTTTTCGATTACAGCCTTAGTTTTATACAAGCTAATAAAACACTGCCCACTCACTTCTTTTGATGCCAACTGAAAAAAACTCAAGTAATTCTCAACCCTATCACTTGTATTTATTATTGTATTGTCCAAAGAGGCATTTGTAATACCCATTTGGCTGATTGTTTTACATATAAGTGTGTTATTAAAAGCTAGAAACTACCGTAACTTTTCAAGCTACATTTCTGTAATATGTTTCTACTTTCAGATTTCTTTACACATTACTCTACAACTCCACCTTGAAATGAGATATGTTCCCTGTGCATTTATCTTTGAAGGTGGCATGTACGCTCGTCGCTGCGCTGTTGCACCTCTTCTTCATGGCAGCTTTTAGCTGGATGCTGGTCGAGGGTCTGTTGCTCTGGAGCAAGGTGGTTGCAGTCAACCTGAATGAAGATTATCACATGAAGTATTACTATCTCATCGGCTGGGGTACAGTGGCTTGAGAGAGCCAAATTATCCTTTTCACTCAAGAGAAGTGGTTGGGCATGATTCATTATATTAGATACCGACATCTTACATAAGAGAATAAGTTAGAAAGATTTGATGTATACACTGGTGTATATGTGATAAAAAAAAATGCAACTAACTTTCTTATACCTGCCGTTACTGACCCTGTTAAACCCCACCCTTTAATATTTTGCTATTTCATCATCCTTGTTTTTTTTCAAGGTCTGCCAGTGCTGATAGTCACCATCACACTAGCATCAGCTTCAGGCAAATACTCAGCTGATGGGTACTGTTGGCTTAGTGTCCAGAATGGAATCATTTGGGGCTTTGCTGGTCCTGTCATCTTCATCATAATGGTTAGAAAATAAAATTATTCTTCAGCCATTTTGATAATTTCCATTTTAAACTTTGGCTGTATTCAATTTTTCTGGCCTATTCTAAATGAAGTTTTACCATGGTGACGACAAAACATGGGATATTATCCTGTTAATCTGACCATGTTGTCTTTTTTGTGCTGCTCTTAATGAACTCTTTATTTTTTCCCTCAATTCGTAGTTGTTTTACTATTGACCAATCACCTTATATCAACATTATGTATAATTTCCGTATCTATTGGCTAATCTCATACCTTCCTGTTTTTTTTCACCAGGTTAATATCTTGGTACTGACCAGGGTGGTGATCATCACCATCTCCACCGCAAAGAGAAGGTCTATCATGTTGGCCCAGGGCACCAGTCCCGTGGAACAAGCCTATGAGCAAATCAGGTAGTGACCACTGGGAGGCACCATTTGTCCTCCTTTAAAAAAGCATTTAAACTGGCATCTGGATTGGCGTCAGATCAACTGTAGTCACGGGGCAAGGTATATTGCTGTTTTGATGATGAAAGAAGATAAGGATTTACTCTGAGTTCATAGCCTGAATATTATACACGTTTTAATGCCTTTATGGCTCAGTTACTTCCAACATTTACAATATTTCAGTTTGAACTCATGCTGTTTTATTCAGAACTTTTTTTTCTAATAGTGTTACTGTTTATAGGATAAGCAGGGGGTGCATCAGTTACTATCATCATTAGGTTTTTTTTTGGAATGATTTGTTTTGGAATGTTGTGATGCAAACATATAGCACCTTATGGCATATAACATAAATTTCCCTTCACTTTTTTTCCTGTTTAATGACTAAGAAATTATAGAATTCCCTTCAGTTTCTATACTCACTGAAAATAACGTTTGCACGGATCCTTCTTGTCCTCATGTTTCACATCTTGAGCTCGTGGTACACACAAGAACAGTAGATGCTCTATAAAGGCTTTCAAAGCAGGCCTTGAATCATTTGGCACCCCTGGGTGGCAACCATCTTGGAAATTCAAACAAATTCCTCCTCTGAGTAAATTAGGGTTCATTGCACATGATGTCTCACACACAAGCACACACACACACACACATACACACACTCACAGCTGTTGTGGTTTGGCGGTCACCTGAGCGGGAAACTAATTCCACTCCAAACAGAATTAAGTTGGATTGAAGGTGGGAAGTTGTCACCTCATGAGCTTTCCTACCCATATAGTTTTGTACATGGAACAACCTAACTTGCCAGACCTGCTCAGTTTTGAGCTCCTCCCATAGCTGATTATGTGGAAAACACTTTTACTCATGTTGGCCAGAGAGGAGTTACATTTAGGCAAATCAGAGTTATCACAATTTAAGTTGCCTTATATTAAATCACAAAGCCCTAAATGTTATTGTATAATCTTTAATAATTTTTTGTTTAATTAACATTGTCTTGCTTGGCAATGCACATTTTAGTAGTCTTTGATATCCAAGAAAGATTTCTTTTTCTAAATGAACTATCTCTTAGAATCAGAATCAAGCTAGAAGGAGTAATGAATGACAATACCACCTGCAGTTGGGTCAGCCAATTGGAGCATAATTTTGTGTTTCCCTGATTGTTGGGATTCATTTAGTATTTGTGGTGTATTTTATTTGTAAGATTTTTATGTCTATATCTGACTACAGGGCTGCAGTGAAAGCGGTTCTGGTGTTGCTGCCGATCCTTGGACTGACATGGCTGTGTGGCGTTTTAGTACCTTTCTCCATTGTCATGGCCTACATCTTCATTCTCCTTAATTCATTACAGGTACACACACACACAAACTCACACACACATGCACACAAATGCAACCGCCAGTGACCTGACCCCTCCTTCCCTCACCCCCTTTACCACCCATATATAGTTACTGTATATGTATATATATAAACAGAGAGAGAGAGAGAGATTTGTATGTATATATACACTTGTTCACTGCTCATGTAGAAGGCTTGAAAGAAATCGCATAATTGTTTATTTTTTTCACTGCAGCATCTGACCTCTTGTTCCTCAGCTTCTCCAAATCTGCCTCCTTGAGTTGCAGTCATCTTATAATCAGCTGTATCTTTAATTGAGCTGTATATTTAACGGAAAAATCAATAGAGGACTTAGCTCTGCTCTGATCATTAAGCCAGGCCCCTTGGTTACCATAAATAGTTTCTTTTCCCCTCTCATATCTAATTATCTTTTTTTCCATGCCAACAGTAATTAATACAGAGGGTTTTACTTTGCTCTTCTTGGATGACTGCACAGCTCCACATGTTAACATGTCGTAGTGATGTTTTTTCTTTGTTGTTTTCATGTATATTTCTGTCTGCGTGTGTTCATTCAACTGTCCATTTGTCAACCTCTTTATCTCCACCTCTTCATTTCGACTGCTTTTAGTTAGCTTTGAATTGGGCTCTTAACTATAAAATAAAACAAAATATAGACAAATGTTGATATCATTGATATTATTTTTCTAATACAACAGTCATGCCACTTTTTTAATATGTAGCTTAAAAAAATGATGCAGCGAAAGTGTGAATGTTTGTAGTTGCATTTATTTTGTCCATATTTTGCAGTTATTAAATGTTCTTGTAATTGCAGGCTGTTTTCAGCCTAATATTTTTTTCTGATCAGAATAGCTGTGTCCAGCAGAAAATCTTGACTTACACAGGACTTTGTCTGAGAGAAGATCACCCAGACACTATACTGATCACAAGGAAATGGACCAGCCATCACATGTGACAGTCCTCATAAACTGCTCCCACTGTGGTTGCTGTACTATTATATTTTCTAATCTAATTTGATCAACTAGCTCTGTATCAAGGCCATTGATGTATTAAAGAATACATTTAGTCCGTGAAAGTATTATAAAATTATCAAAACTTTTTAAAAGGAACTTTCTAATATAGTTTTTGCAATGACAGCATTCATTGGCTTTTGATGAAGAATTTTCAAAGCTTCTTTGTGTGATGACAGCAATAGTTTCAAGGTCAACTTTTTTTTACTAGAATCATGGCTTGCTAGAGTAACTGAACAGTCTTTACTGGAAAATATGATTGCATGAGATGGAAACCGTTGACATCAGTTTTAATAGATCCGCATGTGGAGTATGAGCCTCAAATTTCAATGCTGGATCCAAAACACCCATGTATCCAAACCCAACTCCCTTCCATTGGTCTTCTTGCTGTAGTGAGTGGGATTATTGCCTGGGATTCAAGAAGAAAAAGATACATCTGATGGGGGCATCTTGTGCTTATTTCAGATGTTCAGCAATGTGAAAATTAAGTAGGGTTAGGTTTTTAAGAATTTGTGTTGCATTATTTAATCGACATGCCCACTTATGAGTGGATTGTCATGGAATTGTGTTCAGTAGTTTGCATTTTGTCTGATTTTGTTGACCTCTTCATGGTTTATGTAGTGGCGTGGCCACGAGCGTGACTATTTAGTCTCTAATTAGACAAATTACAATCCGTTTTGATATGAAAAGCCAAGTATAGTTCCATATTTATCTGTGGATTTATTTATTTTCTATATTCCTAGAAATCTCAAAACGTTTTGCCCTGCAACTTTGTGCCATTTTCGGGCTGAAATATTCAGAACATGCTATCCTTTTCTTGACCAAACACTGGTATGAAAAAATAACTCTTGGACTGTTCAAGAGTGCGTAAAATAGTTACAACCGACACTATGACACATCTAAACTAAAAAGAATGGATATGCTAAAACAACTAGAATAATAAATAGAAAAATCGAATGGCTTAAGTAACACAGGGGTGTCGGTGTGCCTGTTGTCTTTGTTGTGACAGAACATAGATCATTTTCTCTTGTCCTCAATAGTTCTCTTAATATGTTGATTAGACCCTGTGTTAGAATGCATCACTATCCTAACGTAGATGGCAGCCTCGCCGTCCTCACTGTCATTGATCATTCTGCCAGGGAGAGTAGAGTAAAACACGCTCCCGCTAATGGGCTCTCATAAAGATGATGAAATGCATCTAACCATAAGAATGATGCATGCAAAACCTGTGAGACAAGACATAAAATAAGTCAATATATAAATTAATAGAAAGTTTTTGAGGAAATGTTTTTTTTATTTTATTTGCAGCCGTTGTATTTTCAGTGGGGCCAGCCAAAGCTACATAAAGCTTAAGTGGCAAGCTTTTACTGTCAAATCAATAAAACAGATAATGTTGACAAGCCTTTTTCATAGCTCTCCCTGATGCCTTCCTTTGCTAGCCCCCCACCCCACAGCCGCCACCTACACCCCACCCTCACAAGACTGCCTCTGCTGAAATAACTATCTCTAATAGTTATCTATCTCTAATGTTGCTGTTATTACTCCCAATACCACAGGCCATTATGAGCAAATCCACTGCCAACTTGGCATAAAAGTACCACCAGGACTTGTGATTTCCTGCCCTGATGGGAGATGATGTTTAACTTCAATGTCAAAGTTAGATACCTGTGCCAATAATATGCAAATGAAAAACTGATATACACTCTATACTAATTTTCTTTGATCAAACAGAAGGAACATGAAAGTAGTTCAGCTTTTATTTTTTGATAATTTCCCTCTCTGTGTTGAATTTAAAAAGAATTGTTAGATTTTATTGTTCAGCACAAAGTTTGAACCGCGTTCAACTTTTACCTTTGAGCCATAGGTCTTTTTTTTTTTTCTTCTATGAACATCCCGACCATAAATACAGACATGCCTCATCTACTTCCTTATCAGCTTGAGATAAATAGCATGAAGTGAACTCTGTGCGTGTATGTGTGTGAGACAGAAGGTAAGAGACCATAAATTCTTCCACTCTCTGTCATCCAATCTCTGGGCAATGTCATTCAAAACCCCCACACGATCTATTATCCCCATATAATAGGCTCCTGACCATGCAGTGTCCATCTTATTATTAGCCCATAACTTTAAACTATCAATAACTTTAAGGTGCAGAGACACGTTGGAGGGGGAGAAGGGGGGTGGGGGGTGTGTGGAGTGGAGGAAAAACTCAAAAGAGAGTTGAAGGAAGTTGGGAAGTTCGAAAGAAAATGTTAGGGTTACGATCGCCCTCTGCCAGTCGTTGGCAGCGCATGAAGTTTCTCTTTAGTCAATTTCGGTAGGTTTAAATGGGAGGCATTTGTAGGACAGTGTTGATTTGTTTCTGTCATGTTGCTTTGTGTCCTGTGGGGGGCAGCCCTGTGCCTTGCTGTTAAAGTCCCAACATAAAGAGAAGAAAATGAAGTAACCCTCACTTAGACATATCACTCATGTTATATTAAAGTATAGATGAAAGTATAACAAGATAGTACACTTGTACGTGGTAATGACATTTTACAGGCATTCAGTAAAGCTTTAAAAAATGTGATGATAGAAATGGCTTGCAAAGAAAATCATCATAATACCATCACTGTACATTTACAGTAAATATCTTTTTCAAATGAGTTATTCCATAAATTATCTTGCGTTTCAATGAAAAAATACATGTCAAAATGCACACATTACCTTTTGTGTGTTAAGGACAAGAACAGTGACACTGTTGAAGTTCAGGTTTTGTTTTTAATCAGATTATTTAAAGACATGATTGAAAGTCATGGGTAAATTCACAGCTCCGGTTGAGACATTCGTGAAGTTGAAAACCCAATATTTTGCATTCTTTTTTTCCCCCATGTTTTAATAGTTTTAAAACAGCTTAAGTCTTCAAAAGGAATATCATTTGCAGTGAAATGAAAGCTTCATCCCCCAAACTTGCATTAACACACACGTGCACACACTCGTGGCTATTGGATATCGGAGTATATCCAAGATATAGATATGATCAATAGAGTGTTGCTCTTCCTATTGATTTTTGCCATATGGGAGATTTGTTGTGGGAGTAAGCAATGCTTTTACACCATCTGAAGCGTTTGTGTGAGATAAGGTTTTCTTTTTTCTTTCTTCCTTTATCTCATCAGCTCTTTGACTACAAAACACTATTTGAACTGCTACCAACAGTGGTTTTATCCCAGATGTATGACCTTATCTAATATGGATAGGTTACGTTCTGCTATAGTATCGTCAGTCTTTCAGTATTGTATTTCAGTCAGTTATGTAGGCCGACTCAACAATGATCACAGCTACTATTTATTCTATGATTTTAGGTTAGAAAGTTGTCACAAAGTTATTTTAGTTCTGCTGATAATAGTGACGATGAGGCAGCAGCAGATAAAACCCACAACAAAGACTGAGAGTAGCTCTTGACCAACTTTAGTTTTGGTGAGATTGGAGAGATAAATTACTGCCCATCTCATTCATAAATTAATTTGAATTTATTCTAACTTGGCTTAATTTTGCGGATTTAGAATGAATTAAGTAAATACAACAGGAATATTATTTGTATGGATGTATATGTATTTATGTATAAAAAACACCAAAATTAATCTTATTTTTGAAATTGCAGAGGTGGCAAAAGGATAGATACAATTTTCAGTCATGCATATTCACTGACACTGATGAATTCAGTGACAAAACTGAAGAAAAAGCTGGAAACGGGCTGGTCAGTGAGAATAATAATTCTCTGAAATGTATTTAAAACTTTCTCAAAAATAATGTTAGGTTTGTATTTCTATGTGAGGTACTGTACTTTAAATTTAAGAGAGATCTGCATGTATTCCTCATAAGCCGTCATAAGTATTTTGATTATGGGCGTTTGTGTATACAAGAGTGAAAGATAATTTGCCCCTGACTACCCTGAATGGGCTGTACACAAAGTTAAAGGTTAGACAATCATTTTTCTCATATGGCAGAAAAAAAAAATCCAGCAGAACTTGGATCCGGTTTAGCAGACGGGCAGCGCCAGTTCACTCATCTGGATGTTCGCACCCAGATCATTTGAAGACATATTTTCCGTTCCAGCTTCCCCTCCCTCCTTAATATTGCTGACATACCTTGCTTCAACTTTTTTTAAAAACTAACTGTATTCTGTTTTAGCTTGTAGCTGCCAATTTCACAGTATTTTCCATATTTTTGAAAAGGCTTTGTTTATATTTTTATTGGAAAATTAAACCAAGGGGCTAAAACCATAACTAGATATTATTGACACAGATTTGAATATGCAAGAGATTTAATCTAAAGGTAGGATTTTTATCTTTATATTTATCCTTAATAGGACAAAACCCAGATATTGTCACATATTACAGTTTCAGGTATAATTTAGATGGTTAAGGTGCCAATAAATGTTATTTAATTGAGGGTATATTTATTACACATAGAACAAAGTTTAGTCATCATTTAAATGACTACATATAAGTCCAGCTTTGGTTGTAACCAAGTTCCTGCTGCCTACCCACAAAGAGTACATACGAGCACTCACATGCACACATGGCAAAGCTCTCACTTGTCAGATTATGGAGGGAAATGTTTTTCATTTTGGACTGTTTAAGCAAACAGGAACCATATTCCCCTGACATCCTTATTCATTGTCAGCGGTATCTCAGATCCCACACAAAACGGCGGGCGTCTCTCACAGTGAAGTGGAACTCATGGGATGTTCTAGGAAAGTGTGCAGTTTTGATTATTATTGTCTTACAAGGGGGCTTTCATTTCTATATTTTAATGTGAAATATGATATAATATTTAAAGTTTCATCTGTCACATAGAAATTAGAAGGCTTTTAATATTTATTCATTCTTAATATGCATTTTTCTCCAATTGCACAAATGTCTTCTGGACAGTTAAACATTTTATTGAGATTTGTGCTAACGTTTTAAAAAGAAAAGGTTTTAAATATTTTTTGAATATTTGAAAATAAAGATGAAATGACAATGAAAAAAATTCAAGCTAATGTAGTCATAGGTAAAATCATGTAGATTTATTTATAAATCCATATTTTAATTGGAGTCTGGGATAATTAAGAGGCAGAGTTGGAAAAAAACAAACAAACAGATACACGACATGATTGTTTTTTTTCCCCTCCGACAACCAGGGAAGATAACTTCCCCTTTGAAAAGGAGTCCACTGTTTGGATTACATCTTCAATTACCAGGCACAACATTAAAACAATATTCAAACGGGATACCAAGGTCAGCTCTGACTCCCACCACTCCTCTCAAGAAATGCCACTTATAATGAGAATGTTGCACATCTGTTTTAAGTAGTGTATTTATAGCGTGTTTTGCCTCAACTTGTATTTATTTTCTCCCTTGTTGTCTCTTTTCATCTTTCTCTATTTTCATGTTTTATATGTTTTTTTTCAATCGGAACTAAATTGAAAATTTCATCATGATGTTAGTTCCCCTTTTTTTTCTTTAGAG